GTGCTTGCTTAGAAGCACACAGATCAGAGCTGTCTGAAGATATTACAAACCTGAGGAAGTCCAAATGCTCTCCTCCTTTCTAATTAACAGGACTCACATAAGAACCTGCCCATACCCTAAGAGCTGTATCAGAAGACTTTGGAGTTTAGGTGACTGGCAGCTGGGGATTGGGGGGCCACCACAGAGAAGGCCCTGTGGAATGCTCTTTTGAGAAAACACTCACTGTAGCCTACATTGTATAAGGCACCAGGGATCTCAAATTGTGCAGGGCCCAGGCACTACTAGGGCAACTCTTGGCCAGAGTGTATCTATAGGTCCTTGGGTCCCAGATCGCGTCCTCCACTTCTCGCACATATTGGATCAACATCTGCCTGACTCAGAACCCAACCAGTCCCGACTAGACCATATCATTTGCCTCTGACTCAAACTGGCCAAGCCAAGCCGAGCCGAGCCCTGCCCTGGCACTGTGGCTTAATGGGCAATATTTTCATGTTGCTCTTATTCTTTTATTATGGTCTTTTTAAATTGCTTATTGTTTTATGATTGACCTTTACATTGGGGTTACATTTCTGTTGCATGTTTCAGTAGATTGTTGTTGTTAGCCAGTTTGGAAGTCTTTTTTCCCTCATACTGACAAGTAGGAAAGAAAGCAATCAAGAGGGATTTATTTTTTTTAAGGGACACCCTTTTCAGAGTAGATCAACTTCCCTCCATTTCAATAAAGCTTGTGCAAGAGAACTTCTCTGTGCCTTTAACTTCCACCACAGCAAGCCCAAACCATTTTAATCAGCCTTGTACAGTGGTACCTCGGGTTACATACACTTCAGGTTACAGACTCCACTAACCCAGAAATAGTACCTCAGGTTAAGAACTTTGCTTCAGGATGGGAACAGAAATCATGCTCCGGCGGCACGGCGGCAGCAGGAGGCCCCATTAGCTAAAGTGGTGCTTCAGGTTAAGAACAGTTTCAGGCTAAGAATGGACCTCCAGAACAAATTACCGTATTTTTTGCTCTATAAGACTCACTTTTTCCCTCCTAAAAAGTAAGGGGAAATGTGTGTGCGTCTTATGGAGCAAATGTAGGCTGTGCAGCTATCCGAGAAGCCAGAACAGGAAGAGTTGCTGCGCAGCAATCCCTCTTGCTGTTCTGGCTTCTGAGATTCAGAATATTTTTTTGTTTTGTTTTCCTCCTCCAAAAACTAGGTGCGTCTTGTGGTCTGGTGCGTCTTATAGAGCGAAAAATACGATAAGTACTTAACCTAAGGTACCACTGTATTTAACAACTCAGCTAGCATCCATTGGCAGCAAGGAACTCCAATACAGGTGGGTTGGGGAGGGAACAAATATTCTCCCGCCTCCACTAGTCTACTTGGTTTCTGTGATGGCCACGGAGGAAGGGAAGTCTACCCCTGTTCCACCAATTCTCTGGATAGAAGTCATGTTAAGCCCAAGAGGCTAGCAGCTTGCATTTTCATGCTGGCTGTAGAATCACAGAATCACGGGATGTGGAAGATAATCTGGTGTAAATTCCATGCCCAATGCACAAATTTGTAGCTCCCCTGGCAGATGACCATTTAGCCTATGCTTAAATGCTGCCCGTGAAGGAGACATCACTACCTCCAGAGGCTGTCTGTTCCACTGTCTGCAGCTGTTGCTATTAGAAAGTTTTTGCTTATGCAGATATAGAAGGAAGAAATAGCAGGTTAGCAGTTTGATTTCCTGCTCCCTCTTCTGGAACGGCTCAGAACAGCAGTGTGTACTATATTGCGGAGAAAGTTAGTAATTTGTCGCTTTGTGGAGCTTGATGCTCGCTGGTGTCAGTTTGTTTAGAAAGTATGGGCAAATCTTCATGGCAGTTTTGATAAGTGCTAATGTACATCTGATGCAGAGAGAGAGAAAGAATACTCAAATCTAAATTATCTCTAGTTCTGTTTCGCTTTATACTCAGACAGAAGACTTATGTAAGTTATGCATGCGACTGTAACGGTGGTCTAACGGTATAACCAAAAATGACGAAGGTTTGCAGAATTCATCTCACCATAGTGGGCAAGACTGATCAGGTGACCTGTGTGCCTGATCAGGTGATTGATCATCTGTGCCCAGATGCTCAGGACAACTTCAAGGTACCTGCTCTGCCTTCTTATGGTCCTTTATCTTTAAAATGGTCTTGAAATAGACTGCCCTTCAACAGAGAGCTGTCTTCTGTAAAGCTGGACACATGGTCACCTGGGCAACCATTTCACTCTTTTGCTGAGAGCACCTTTTCTTAGATGAAGGGTGTGTGTGTGGAAATCTCTTTGTACTTTTAACTACTAGCAGCAAATTTTAAACCACTAAGCTGGGCCAGTAAAGCACACTATTTGCTAATGAGATGAAATGGCACCATGAAGCAGCCAAGCCAGATGAAAGCAAAAGCTACTTCTCTACACACCTTTGCACCACATGAGCTTTTAAGAAAATGTTGGAGAATCTAATGCGGATGGTGCTTTTGAAGTGGCTTTCCCCACTATTACTAGGTTGCAGAGTTGAACAAATCAAGGTGGAAATATCGTATGCGAGGCCTTCATGTTTTGAATGCAGATGTTTCCTATTTCAAACAGCTTTTGCAAAAGCGCCTTCCACCAGATGTTTAAAAGAGCCAGTTCTCCCTTCCCTCCCACCCATCTACCTTACGTATTATACTAGCCGCAGTCCAGAAATAAATTCCTATTGCAATCTCATGGGTAGGAAACAATGGCAGACTTACTGCAAGGGGGAAATCACTGTACTTCCTGTTCACCAATACCCCCCCTCTAAAAATGGGGTACATGTGCTCTCCAGCACTGAAGAGGGTGGTGAGGCCAGCCTTCTTGTTCCCTCTGGCGCATCTTCTGTACACAGTAGAATGCTCTATGCCAGACTTGAACTTGACAGACATTTGGAGTCTGCATCAGATACCCCTAGAAAGGGATGGTCCAAGGAGGTGTGGGGCATTGCCATGTCTATGTGTTTAGCCAATCAGAAGAGGTCTTTAAGAGGGGTTACAAAACAAGACCATTTTGATACTGTATGGTCTCCAATTACACCTTTTATAAAGATAGTGCTTTGAATAGGCCCTATACGGCAAGGCTAGGTAAAGGTACCCCTGCCCGTACGGGCCAGTCTTGCCAGACTCTAGGGTTGTGCGCTCATCTCACTCTAGAGACCGGGAGCCAGCGCTGTCCGCAGACACTTCCGGGTCACGTGGCCAGCGTGACAAGCTGCATCTGGCGAGCCACCGCAGCACACGGAACGCCGTTTACCTTCCCACTGGTAAGCAGTCCCTATTTATCTACTTGCACCCGGGGGTGCTTTCAAACTGCTAGGTTGGCAGGCGCTGGGACCAAACGACGGGAGCGCACCCCGCCGCGGGGATTCGAACTGCCGACCATGCGATCGGCAAGTCCTAGGCGCTGAGGTTTTACCCACAGCGCCACCCGCGTCCCACGGCAAGGCTACTCCATATCAATATGGGACTCTTGCTTCCAAAATGCCCCTTTGCATATTCTACTGTATTACAAAGCCTGCAAAAGTATACTGAACTGTCTGTTCATTTCCCCCCCCCAACTGCAGTAATGTGCTCCACAGAGACCCCCGTTTTCATTTCTTTGTCTTGTCTGCAGGTTTTTGAAAACTTAAACACATCTTTTTTAAAAACAACAACAAAAAAAAGGTGTTTATTACAGCAGTAAACTGAAAGGAAAGGGTGGGGAAGAATCTTCAGTTGCAATTTGGAATACAGTGGTACCTCGGGTTACATACGCTTCAGGTTACACACACTTCAGGTTATAGACTCCGCTAACCCAGAAATAGTACCTCAGGTTAAGAACTTTGCTTCAGGATGAGAACAGAAATTGTGCTCTGGTGGCACGGCAGCAGTGGGAGGCCCCATTAGCTAAAGTGGTGCTTCAGGTTAAGAACACTTTCAGGTTAAGAACGGACCTGGGGAACGAATTCAGTACTTAACCCGAGGTACCACTGTACTGTTACCTTACAGAAGCTGAGACTGCTGCTGCTAACAGGGCTGGCCATTGCTGTGCAAATGCTGCCCCTCTTCATTCCCCAAACCAGCCTGCTGTTCTCAGGTGGAGTGGAGGACACTGTCCCACCTGCTAGTGTTGAAGTAAGTGTCAGCAGTCACTCTGGTCAGGTTTTGAACATAGATGGGGAAGGAGAGGGCCAACTTGCACTTTTATCGCAACTTCCCTCCCTCCTCAGACAGAGGTTTATGAAGAAGTGATTTGGTCTCGTTCATGGCAGTTGTGTTCTCTCTTCCTCCCAGAAGGGAAGGGTGGTGGCAGGAGGCTGTATGTTTTTAAAGTGATATTTCCTTAATAAATGGACACACAGCAAACCCTCAGCACTTTAGCATACTACCGATTATACAGAACATTGCATTTGAAAGACTGATGCATATGTTATGAAGATGGCATGTGCCAGCCAGGAAATCTTGCGGAAAAGGTCTGGATTGAGCAATGATCTTTGGGAAACTACCGTATTTTTCGCTCCATAAGACACACTTTTTTCTTCCTAAAAAGTAAGGGGAAATGCCTACGCGTCTTATGGAGTGAATGCATGGTCCCTGGGGCAGAATTGCTCAGATCATGCAATGGCGCAAAAACGTGGTTATAAAGCACGGATCCACATGGATTCTCAGGATTTTTGCATTGGGCTACCCCAAACTCACCATCAAATCACATGTCTGTGGCCACAGCATGAACCACAAAAATCATACATCCACTGTTTCGTTCCGAATATTTTTTTTTCTTGTTTTCCTCCTCTAAAAACTAGTTGCATCCTATGGTCAGGTGCATCTTATGGAGCGAAAAATACGGTATTTCCACACAGCTCGGGATTGCAGCTGTTTCTTTTACAAGAACCAGCCCCATTGAAGAATGCCAATTCTGCTCTGCTGGGAGAGCAGGTGACCACCATTCAGTAATAATCAAGCAATAATGGGGTGTGTACAGAATGCAACTCGAGGGGTCCACAAATGGATTTAAAACAGTTTTAATACTTGTTGAAGATGCAAATGCAAAGTCAGTCAAGGAGCAAAACATCCACATAGCAGGGTGGTACAAAATCCATGTAGAGCAGCTCAAAAAACGCACTTCTACAACAGTGATATGGTCTGTTTTTTAATTTTTTTTTAATGCTTTCGGTAACAATTCATTCTTTTAACTCAGCAGACGGGGCAGGTACTAAAAGTTAAAAGGAGAGTTTCTGGGTTACAATTCTCCCAATAATCTCCGATAAACCTCCAATACCATCCAATCTAATTACTGCCTCCGTAGTCAAGACCACTGTGAGCAAGTATTGTGTTCCCATTATTTCCAAGTGTCAGATTTTATTATCATACCAGTAATTCTAAGTTTTGTATCTTATGAGAGAAGAATGGAAGGGTTTGTGTATTGTTACAATACCCTCATTCCCCCACATTAAAATAATCCTGGGACAGTAACTTAAATATACAGTAGTCCAAATGTGCAATATACAAGTTTAGAACATTACATTTTACACTTTATATGCATATAATAATATATAATCTATTTTACAAAAATGTTACAGCATTTTCTCCCCCAAAGTATTGCATTTCACATTCTTAACCAAATCTAGACTGTCAAGTAAGCCTGGCTAGAATCCAGTTTTTTAAACAAATAAATATATACAAACACAAAGCAAACAATTCTTTATATATATTAAAAAAAAAAACCCAAAGGCACAATCCCAAGGTCTTAAGAAGCCTTTATTTTATGGATATATAAAAATAATAATTTTGTGTGCAAATAAAAATGAAAGGTTGGTTTTGTCATGATATTTTTTTTAACAATTTGGGTTTTTGTTTTGTTTTTGTAGTGATTTAATCTCAAGGAGGACCCTTTGTGTGATAGGTGAATTTAACACTTTGAATGCCAGGGCAAAGAAAACATTCAGCAATATCCCTCCCTTGTGAATTTGGCAACTGTGCTATCAACGTAGTGAATGTCCCAGAAACTTTAAATGGCAAGCTTGCACCTGGGGTGTGCGGAGGGAGAGAAGCATCCCTATGGCCAACTGTGCATATGCCTAGTTTTTGTTTCCAAATAATAATTAGAAAACACCACGAAAACACAAAATGACAGGTAGATATCCAAGACAGTGGAAACTTCCCATGTGCTAGAAGGGTTCAGCCACTGTAGAATTAGGAGTGAAGTCAGAGGGACCGGCATTTGGTTGGCTGAAGTTGTGCAGGAAGTTTAAGTGGAGCCTAAAAGAAAGAGGCAAATAATAATAATAATAATAATAATAATAATAATAATAATAAAATTTTATTTATACCCAGCTCTCCCCGGCCAGAGCTGGGCTCAGGGCTGCTAACACCAGTAAAATTATAATAAAAACATAATGGGGGGGGAACCAATTTAAAATACGGGTTAAAATACACCGTATTTTTTGCTCTGTAAGACGCACCAGACCACAAGACGCACCTAGTTTTTGAAGGAGGAAAACAAGCAAAAAAATATTCTGAATCTCAGAAGCCAGAACAGCAAGAGGGATCACTGCACAGTGAAAGCAGCAATCCCTCTTGCTGTTCTGGCTTCTGGGATATCTGTGCAGCCTGCATTTGCTCCATAAGACGCACACACATTTCCCCTTAATTTTTAGGAGGGAAAAAGTGAGTCTTATAGAGCAAAAAATACGGTAATTTAAAATGCAGTCTCATTTTAATAGTAGCCCATAGATCAAAACCATAAGGGGAGGGAAACGTAAGGGTCAGACTGAGTCCAAACCAAAGACCAGGTAGAACAGCTCTGTCTTGCAGGTCCTGCAGGGCCCTAGTCTCTTGTGACAGAGTGTTCCACCATGTCAGGTCCAGCACCAAAAAGGCCCTGGCCCTAGTTTAGACCAATCTAACCACCTTGCAACTTGGGACCTCCAAAGTGTTGTCATTTGTGGACCTTAAGGTCCTCCGCGGGGCATACCAAGAGAGGGTCCTAGGCCGCATAGGGCTTTAAAGGTCAAAACTAGCACCTTAAACCTGACCCTGTACTCCACTGGGAGCCAGTGCAGTTGGTAAAGCACTGGATGAATGTGATCCCGTGGCAAGGACCCCGTAAGGAGCCTCGCCGCGGCATTCTGCACCTGCTGGAGTTTCAGGGTCAGCTTCAAGGGCAGCCCCGCATAGAGCAAGTTACAATAATCAAGCCTGGAGGTGACCATCGCATGGATCACTGTGGCCAGGATCAGGGCGAGAAAGGTAAGGGACCAACTGCTTAATACGGCGGAGAGGGAAAAATGCCACCTTTGCTGTGGCTGCAATCTGTGCCTCCATGGAAAGGGAGGCGTCGGTTACACCCAAGCTCTGAGAGTTCTGTAAACTAGTGCTGAAATTCATTTTGCTTATAGTCTTAAACAGACTCCACCCTGCCGGCCCCAATCTACCAGTTCATTACCATGTGAGGGCTGTCCCTCAATAGATGGATTCAGGCAACAGCTACCCTTAAACACAATAAGCTGAGCATGAACACAGATGCAGCCTTAAATACAATATGCCAAGCATGCAACCACAAGTTGGCATGCGCACAAGGGCAGTCAGCTACTAAAGCACTGTGCCGCCCCTCAACACTTGGAAATGGCAACGTAGGACTATTTTAGCTGCCGATCCTGCTTCAAAAGGCTTGGAAGGACATGCAGGGGAATGAAGGGAAGGAGGAAGGAAAAAGATCTGGGGGTAATTGTAAGCACCCACTCCCCAATAGCTACTCCCAAAGTTCAGTGCGTACATTGTTCATTTGGGAGAAGATGTTGCTGAACCTTACCTTTGTTAGGAAAATCTAACTGCTTGGACCTTTGAAGACAAATCCGTTCTTTGGGCACTGACCTGGCCGGTTCATCTGTGTGTACAGATCCATTCTCTGCTGCATACTATAAAAATTACAATTAATATGTGTTGCAAGGGGAACAGTTGTTAACACAAAGCATAGCTTGTAACATCATCCCAGGCTCATTCCATAAAGAGCGTAAGGTGTGTCTATTGTCTGCTAGCACTATTACTTGATTCCTAGTGTCTGTTTAACATTTACAGTTAAGTAAAAGTTGGATTCCAGAGAAGGCTTTCAGCAATCACAAAATGGCAATTGCTATCAAATGTTCACAGTTTTACCCCCCTGCATCCGGTGGGCTTGAATAAAGACCCCAAGGTACACATGGATTTCTATTAATCACGATTATTGTAGAGAAGATTGATTAGATAGCAACCTTTTCCAGATGTGCTTGGTTACTCAGGTCAGGCTCTCAGCGGAGTTTTATTTTTTTTATTATAAGATATTTATTAAGATTTTTTTTAAATATTACAATAAAAATGAAAAAAATAACAAAAATACAAAATAAAAATGGTTAAAAACACACAGATTTTCCATTACTTATTTTCCTTTAGCTTGTTTCCCGGACCTCCTCATACCTCCCTTTTTGTTTTCCACTTCAATCTGTTGGTTCAGCAAATCCTTACCCTCTTTAATTATCCTAATCCTTGATCTAAAAAATAATAGCATTAGATTTTTACCTATTTATAACCCTTTTTTCATATTCCCTTAAAGCATTACAGCTGGAAACCACTTAATTTCTATCCAACATCATTCTAACATTCATTAATTTTACAATATTTCTGTCTCAGAGGAGTTTTAGTGAACAGCCTGTACCGAACTTGAACTTAAAAATACAACTCCATAAGGAAGTTCAGGACCTCAGGAGTCACAGCCTAACTGGGTACTGGAATATTCCCCAAAAGACTTCGGGTTTGGTTTGGCTTCTATTTCAATACCTTCTTCTGTCCTCATCCTTGTCTCAGCCAGAACATTTTCCAGGATCACAAACCAGCTCCTTTCCCAGTGCTCAAGAACTACTACAGCTCCACCATCATATGAGCCTCCATTCCTCCGATATGCTGAGTTTCTGGACTTCCTTTTCCTTTATGCTGCTCTCTGGGGCTCATCCCCTCTAACCCTGCTAGGCTCCATTAAATTTCCAAGGGGAATGCCTGTGGCACATGCCCACCCCCCGTCACTGCTAGACTAGCTGCCAACGCACAGAGTAAATATTCAGATATTCCCCGCTAGGTGGTTCCAAAAGTCCATTTACTAAATAGTATGGGGGTAGTCCAGTGTTTCCCAATTGTAGTGTTTTGGACTACAATTCCCATCATCCCTGACCAGTGGTCCTTGCTAGCTAGGGATGATGGGAGCTGTAGTCCAAAACCAGCTGGAGACCCAAGTCTGGGAAACAGTACGGTAGCCAATCCACTGCATCAGCTTTACTCAGCATGGTCAGTGGTCGGGGTTGATGGGAGTTACAGAATAGAACATCTGGAGGACCATACTGGCTACCCTTGCTTTAGTGCAATGCACCCTTGTACATAATTTCTGACCAATTACAGGTGCTCTGTACTCTTATATATGTCTGATTGAGTTATCTGGGACATACACTCAGGTAAGTGTGCGTGTACAGCAATCTTTCTCCAAACTTGGGTTCCCAGATGTTAAAGGACTACAGCTTCCCTCATCCTCAACCATAGGGCTGTGGCTGGTTGTTATGATGTGGGGTCAACAACATCTGGAGACCCATAGATTTAGGAAATGCCAGTGCACAAAATTGCAACCTTAGTCTCTCTTAATTTGCAGATCAAGAAGGAAGTTGACAGAAATTGCAGACACACACACACAAACCCTTTCCTTGCACGAACAAGAAAGCCACTTAGGATCCAAGTCAGTGTTATTTTAAGACAGGTCAACATCCTTTTCAACTGGTAAAACATTTCACTCAGGTCATAAGCCCAAACTCACTCTGCCTACCCGTAACATAACAGCAGCAATCCGTAATGCATCCTGATCAGTGATAAGCAACAGCTTGTTTTGCTGCAACATAGCATGTTCATAGCTTGCTATATTCCGCTACAAAAGAAGTCTGTCCCTCACTCTCTCTTTTTTGGCGTTTTGCTTACCTAGGGTAATATGCTGTGTAATTCATAAAGAGCTGAGTGCCAGCTGGATAATATGCTGTAGAAGGTTGAAGTGTCCGTGGGTTGAGGAGCACGGAGGGTTGGTAGAGTGCTGCGTCCGTCGGGATAACTGCCGCAGGAGCAGGGAAGGAGTAGGAAGGAGGAGACATGCCTAAACGACAGAACAAGACAGAGATGAAGAAGGTCAGTGCTTCTGCGCGCAACCTTTTTTAAAAGCACAAAGCATGATTAAGGCCAGGCTACACTCCCGGATCCAGGTGGTCATTTCACAGCAGAAAGATGCAATTATACCACAAGCTATATTTTGCCCTCACACTTCTAGGAGGTAAAGGTAAAGGACCCTTAGACAGTTAAGTCCAGTCATAGGAGACTATGGGGTTGCGGCACTCATCTCGCTTTCAGGCTGAGGGAGCCAGTGTTTGTCCACAGACAGCTTTCCGGGTCATGTGGCTTGCATGACTGAACCACTTCTGGTGCAACGGGACACCGTGACAGAAACCAGAGTGCACGGAAACACCGTTTACCTTCCCGCCGCAGCGGTACCTATTTATCTACTTGCGCTGGCATGCTTTCGAACTGCTAGGTTGGCAGAAGCTGGGACAGAGCAACGGGAGCTCACTCCATTGCGGGGATTTGAACCGCTGACCTCCTGATCAGCAAGCCCAAGAGGCTCAGTGGTTTAGACCACAGCGCCACCCACAGCGCCACTTCTAGGAAAAGCTACACTAATTGACACATACACAAAAAAGCCATACTTCTTGCTGACCACTGTTCTTAATCTGTTGAGTTATATTGCGGCCTTCATTGGAAAGAAGTATTCAGATCCAAAAATCAAAAAAAACAATTAAACCAATCACACACTCAAAGAGGGTGTAGAGGTGGTGAGAGGTGTGGCCTAGGGAGAATCCTGCCTGATCATTTAGTGTAGGTTTCCTTCCAAATGTTTGGGATTATAAACTCCCATCATCTGACCACTAGTAGTCATGGTGGTTGGGGCTATTTTAGATTAGATTAGTTTAGAATGCCGCATGAACCCTAAACTGTGACTGAACTTAAAACCATGGTTAGCAAAAACTAGCCAGTTTCACAAACTATGGTTTGGAGATTTAGTTCTACTAACCAGTTAAGTTTAACCAGATGGCAAGGCAGGCTGTGGTTGGTAAAATGGAAGCGAGATCTTCCAGACACCCCCCTGTGGCTATGCGAGCTGAGGGGAGAGCATGGAAGCCCAAGGAGTGGTAGGTTTGTTCTCATAGTGCTGAACCACGTTTAGCATTACAACCAAACTAGCCCCTGTGAACGCCAACTTTATACATAAAGAAAGATTACTCAAAGAGTTCTTCTGTCTGAACACTGGTCTGCCTCCAAGATCTTATTGCACGTTTAGTTTGGGCTATTCCTAAATCAGACACAAACCTAAGTAGCTGACATGTTGGGAATTTGGGACCAAACACTGACCCAAACTACACCCATTTGAAGTGGATGTTATCTCATGTCAAGCTGCAGGATTAGTAGAAGATACACAATACAGAAAAAGGAGCTCTGTCTGCATATTATAGTCCTGTTCTCAACAATGAGGATGAAAAATGTGTTCCACCATCCTCTTCCAGACTTAATGCCTTCCTTGTTTTTGAGACTGGCATATACTGAAGTATGGAGTGTTTAACTTCTAAAAGGAATAAGTCAGGATCAAAGCCTTTCTAGAAAGAATGTGTTTTCAAAGGTCTCTGCCCTGATATTAATGTTTACACTCTGTTTTATGGCCCTGGCAGAACCCCCAAGGCAGCTTATAGAAATTAAAATTCCATATACAACATGAAAACCCATAATAATAAAGCCAAACCAATACAACCCAATAAAAATGGAAGTACTGCTCAATTCACCAGTATCCAACAAACATAGGAAGCTGCCTTATATTGAGTCAAACCATTAGCTACATCTAGCTGAGTACTGGCTGTCAACACTGACAACCAGTGACTTTCCAAGGTTTCAGGCAGATGTCTCTCCCAGGCCTACCTGGACATGCCAGGGATTGAACCTTAGGCCTTCTGCACACCAAGCAGGTGCTCTGCCACTGAGCTACAACCTTTCCATGTCAACACAACCAGCTATTCCAATTACTTTATAAAAGAGCCAAGTCTTAACTGACCTCCTGAAAGCTAAGAGAGCACAAGCTGATAAGCTTCCTTTGGACAAGAATCCTGAGAACAGACGGACAAGAGAATGCTGCCCTCAAGATGGCTTTTGAAATGCAAAATAATTTGTGGAGTTGTAGTTGTTAGCTTCTTACAGCAAAAACAAATCAAAGATGCATCTGATGAAGTAGGCTTGAGTCCACAAAAGCTGAGGCCATTACAGATTTGGCTAGTCCTCCTCCCAGAACTACCAGGTAATCCTAGTCCCCCACTGAAGTCACCTGACAAATCATTTCACAATCCACACACACTTGACCTGTGCAAGCTTCTTTCCTGCCTTAAAGACTTTCTGCATTCTCAGTTCCAGCAGAGAGCCTTCCCCCTCCCCAAGCAAGTGACACTCAACTTCACTCTGGCCAAAGCGGGTGGGAGAGAGAGGGAGGGGAACAAAGAAACAAAGAAAGAAGCTGGACATATTTCACCCTGCAGATGCTACCTTATTGGCGCGAGTAAGCCTCATTGAGCTCAGTAGGGCTTACATCTGAGCAGGCAGGCATAACAATACAGTCATACCTTGGTTTTCGAACAGCTTAGTTCTCAAACGTTTTGGCTCCCGAACGTCGCAAACCCGGAAGTGAGTGTTCCGGTTTGTGAACTATTTTTGGAAGCCGAACATCCGACACGGCTTCCAACTGGGCTGCAGGAGCCTCCTGCAGCCAATCAGAAGCCGCGCTTTGGTTTCCGAACGTTTTGGAAGTCAAACAGATTTCCGAAATGGATTCCTTTCGACTTCAAGGTATGACTGTATACTGTACAGCAGGGGTAGCAAACATGGTATCCCCTCCAGAGGTTGCTGAAATACAACTCCCATCATTCCCTGACCATTGGTCAGATTGCCTGGGGCAATGGGAGCTGTGGTCCATCAATATCTGGAAGACACCATGTTTGCCATCCCTGCTGTAAATACTAGTTTTAATTCAACTTAATTGGCATTTCCTTGCTAGCTGAGAAAAGTGTTTGTCCTGTGCAAATTTCTCCCCCTGCCCAGACCCCAAATCCCTGGAGGATCTGTGGCATATCTTTCTGGCATCAGTTTTTGTGATGACACCTGTGCCAGTTTGCAGTTTGCATCCTCAGTGGAGAAGGGGTGGAGGAGACACTGCACAAGGAGGAAGGGGCCCTTCCTGCTTCCCAGAGTCCCACTTCCCGCTTCTTTTTCACACTACTGATGGTTAGGAGTTAAGGGTACAGAAGGCTTTCAGGTAATAAAATCAAACAGGAAGGAAGACGCCTGCAGGGGCAACAGATCTACTGAGGGCTGGATCAGGCTCAGGGCATTTGGAGTCCATCTCCTCCCCAACTAACTCCCTAGTGACGATCATGAGCTGGTCAAATGGGAATTAAGCAAAACAAGCAAATAGACCCAGTATTGCTGGCTTCCAAATCTGGATTTCTTTTGACACAGCTTTTTCGCTTTATGTTTTACTTTGCAGAGCAAACAGAAGCTAGTCCAAGATCAACCGATCAATACACCTGGGAGACTTTTACCAGACGCAACTACTCTGTGAATGTGAACAGAGGGAGAAATATTGGACTAAACTCAACTTGGAAGCTTCTCACTGGCCATTGATAGTGGAATAACCAGGCTTTGTTCACTCATTTCTGAATGGGGCATCTAATCGACATAGTGATTAGAACAGGGGTCAGCAAACTTTTCAGCAGGGGCTGGTCCACTGTTCCTCAGACCTTGTTGGGAGCCTAACTATATTTTGGGGGGACAATGAAGGAATTCCTATGCCCCACAGATAACCCAGAGATGCATTTTAAATAAAAGGACACATTCTACTCATGTAAAAACACGCTCATTCCCAGACCATCTGCGGGCTGGATTTAGAAGGTGATTGGGCCAGATCCGGAGTGCAGAGAGAAGGGAGGATTTCTCTCTCCCCGCACCTTGTACTCAGTGGTCCCAATGAAAGTCACCACACCTGAAAGTCATTTGGGACTGAGGAACTGCCCACTTGAGTACCATTTGGATTCTGGAAGTTAAGATGCTATTCCACTTTCAGCCTGACGTAGAACACTTATGATCAGATGTGACTACCGGCAAATCACCCATGTCATTAGGATGCACTCCTGGACTCCATGTTAAATTAACTACCTCTCTCACCAAGGCTGTGACTATTGAAAATAGTCACCTATACCTTCTGAGGTTCTTAAGCGTAAATATACTGAAATATACATACTTGTAGTATTTTACTATGTCAGCCAGAATACATAGGTCTCACCCATCTGAGCTAAAAGCTCTTTGTTCCCTAACAACCCATCATGAATTTTGGCTAACTTTGATGTAATGAAATGCCCTGTGCATGCTCCTCTGCATTTCCAGGTACCCATATTTGATATTGGCTTCTGCTGCCAGTCAGTTTAAAACAGGAGCCGGCAAGGCATGAGCCAGATCACTCCCGCAGAGATCCTTCGTGGGCCTGACCAGCACAGCACGATGGTGGTAATTGCTTCTGCGCATGCCCAGACACCGAAAATCGTGCCTGCGCAGAAATGATTTTCGTGCATCTGGGCATGTGCAGAAGCGATTTCCAGCGCCGCGGACATGCGCAGATGCGATTTCTGGAGCCATGGAAGAGAGTCCCCGTGCTGCGCTGGTTTAGAGCAGCACACGGGGACTCGCCAAGCGGGCGACTAAGTTCAGGGGCGGCTTGTGGGCTGGTTAAACGGCCTCGGTGGCCACTTCTGGCCCATGGGCCACAGGTTGGGGACCCCTGGTTTAAAACATGATCCTGCAATTCTGAGCTGAAGTGCTCGAAATCAACACTTGCCCAGTGCAAATTAAACTCCAGAAGGTGTGGGGGTAGGAAGGTGTGGGTCAGCAGAAAAGCGAGAGTAAAGAAGCCAATCACTATCCAAATCACAGTAGTCCACAGCCAAAAGGGAGAACAAAAATCAAAGGCTGCTACCGATTTCAGATGGGAAAAGCTTTGCATTCCAGACCCCACACACGCTGATCCCTTCCAAGAGAGGAACACAAAAACAGAATGGGTGAAAGAAGCTCCGACACCTACCAGCGTACAGCAGAAAGTAGCGCCAAGACCCAAGCTAAACTTACATGGTAACTTACATGGTGGTGGGGATAAGCCATTTCGATTTAAAGTGCCCCCCATTAATACAAAGTTCATCTCCTCTGCAGAACACTGAAAGACTTCGACATATCTGTCCTTCATGGTTTTCTTATGGCACTTCTGAGCAGCCATAAATGCTCGGTCTGAAGATTTCATCTGGATAAAAGCGTCTCCGGAGGGACGACCCTAAAAGGGGAAAAGGAGAAAGGTGAGAGGCTGCAGCATCAAGACAAAAGGATTTACTCAATTTTTAAAAGAAAAAATCATCCGAGATGATAGCTCTTCTAAGTTTCACCTAGCAGCTGTTATGTTTCAATAGTGGGGGAAAGGTACAACTTTTATTCCTTGCTGTAAAGCAGCAATATGCCTGTTGGGCAACAGTCCGACAGAGTTCCTATGTACCAGGAAGTTATTTTGAAGAGCACAGATTAAAACAGTTCATGTTACATCCTAGGATAAATAATTGCAGGACATCTTTCTGAGCCAGGCTTGTAGTCAATGTGAAACCCAAACCCATCTCTACATCGACAAGCAGTAGCCGGGAAACAGCGCTGGCCGTTGCTAGGCACCCGAGAAAGCAAGTCAACTGTACAACTCCATCCCATAATCATGCGACCAGTGTAGAACAGCTGTGGCACAACCAAGGGCTGCAGGAGTAGTGCCCAGTTAGCATCATAACGAGGTGGGAGGTACAAATTTTGACGTGCCGTGAATTCTGCCTCAAGGACTGCCTCTTTCCATATGAACCTACCCGGACCCTGAGATCATCTTCTGAGGCCCTCCTTCGTGTGCCCCTCCTCGAGAGGTTCAGGGGGTGGCAACATGAGAACGGGCCTTCTCACAGTGGCAAGACTGCTAAAAATTGGAAATCTCAAGAAATGCCAACGGTAGAAGAATGGCAGATGAAGATGTTGGAGTTTTTGGAGCTAGCAGACCTGACTGGAAGAATCCGCGATCAGAAAGAAGAGGAATACCAAGAAGACTGGAAGAAATTTAAAGACTATTTAGTTAAATATTGTAATATAAGATAAGTAGAAAATACTTGAAAATACCAAACAGGCCAAGAATTAGAATAAGAATGTTGTATATTAATATGGAGCTAAGTCAATAAGAAAAGAGATGACGATAGTGAATTGAAGGAGTTAATTGTAGTAGTAAGATGATTTTGGAGAACTGTTACAAGGTGATACAATGAAATTCAGTTAGAGGGGATTTGAGGAAGTCAGTTAACAATAAAATTTAAAATGAACTTTTGAAAGAATATGTTTCTATTTTTTTTCTTGTACTATTGTAGTGTGTTTTCTTTTGTATGTTTTATATGTTTTATCTGTTAAAATCAATAAAAAATTTTGGAAAGAAAAAAAGAGAACGGGTCTTCTCTGCAGTGGCTCCCCGTCTGTGAAATGCTCTCCCCAGGGAGGTTCGCCTGTCAACTTCATTATACACCTTTAAGTGCCAGGCAAAAGTGTTCCTTTTTAGTTCAATAAATAAATAATAATAATAATAATAATACATAGGAGCCGCGAGCCACGGCAGAGTTCACCACTATTTAGTTCTCTGAGGACAACCCTTTATAAAAGCCAAGAACACACAGGGAGGGGGTTCTATACAGCAGCAGGGGGGAACTGGGAGCCTCACTGCACAGTGCTTTGCAAGCCCCCCACATCAGCTGATCATCAGCATCTGAAAAAAAAACCCCTATTTGGCTCGGTCACACATCTTCCAAACTTATAGGCATAGGGAGGTGAGAGTGGCTTGGCTGAAATGGCCTCAAAGAGCACCAAGTGGAGAGGCCTGGTGGGCCCGATTAGGCTAGAGGCTCCCCACTGCTACTGCGCCCTTGTGAGAAAAATGGGATTGTCCTCTCCACTTACCTGGTGATTTAATACCATGTGAACCCCATGAGTCCTGATATCTCCAGAGAACTCCCCTAGGAAACCCAGAATGTCTTCTATAGTGGCGGCATACGGAAGCCCCCGCAGCCGTATGCAGTCTCTGACACTGGTGGGAGGTACAAATTGCTGAGGTAGTACAGGGAGGATGGGCGGAGCGGGGAGAGGAATGAGAGGCACAGATGAGTATCTGTTCAGTACCTGCAATAAAATAAAATAAAAATATGTTAACAGCCGAGTGGCTTCCCTGTATTTCGGACTATAGCCTGCACCGTCACATCGTATTTTGTTAGCATTGTTAGGTTCCCATTTAACTAAAAGCAAAGTAAGACAGCTCATGCCTGATCACTCCTCTGAGTAGGCAGCTGGTGTATGGGGTACAAAGAGGCCAAGAGAAAAAAGAAGAGGTGGCTTCTTACTGGCAGGAGGAATCCCAAGGCACACCAGAAGATCCTGTACTCTTGAATTCAGCAGCTAGACTGGTGACTGGGAGCAGCCGCCAAGACCATATAACAGCAGTTCTGAAAGACCTACATTGGGCTCCAAGTACATTTCCGAGCACAATTCAAAGTGTTGGTGCTGACCTTGAAAGCCCTAAATGGCCTTGGCCCAGTGTCCCTGAAGGAGCGTCTCCACCCCCATCGTTCAGCCCGGACACTGAGGTCCAGCGCCGAGGGCCTTCTGGCGGTTCCTTCACTGCGAGAAGCAAAGCTACAGGGAACCAGGCAGAGGGCCTTCTCGGTAGTGGCACCCACCCTGTGGAACACCCTCCCACCAGATGTCAAGGAAATCAACAACTATCTAACTTTTAGCAGACATCTGAAGGCAGCCCTGTTTAGGGAATTTTTTAATGTTTGGTGTTTTATCGTGTTTTTAATATTCTGTTGAGAGCCGTCCAGAGTGGCTGGGGAAACCCAGCCAGATGGGCGGGGTGTAAATAATAAATTATGATTATGAAAGGACTCTTCCATTCGTGAACCGGCAGAAGGTATAGGCTGCATATTGCACGTCTCATGCTGCATCCCCAAATAATGACAGCAGAGAGCAGCACAGAGACATCACTCTCAGCCCACCCGAGTTAGGCCTGCCATTTGAGACAGTAGCCTGGCGAAGGTTTTATACTGCTGCTTTTAAACTGCCGACTGTAGTACTAGTAGATGAGCGTTTTAATTTGTGTTCATGTGATTTTATTGGTGTGAACCGCCCTGGGCTCCCTTTAGGGCGGAAGGGCAAACTATACATTTGCACGCAATAATGATCTGCCTCATCCTTCCAGCATGAGGCCCATATAAGAATAATAACAACCATTTTATTATTCATTTTATTATTTTATTATTCATATGGCTGTGTGTGTGTGTGTGTGTGTGTGTGTGTGTGTTTGTTTGTACCCTGACTTTTCCCACTGACAGCAACTCAAGGTGGCTTACAGATAAAATAAGAAGAGCTAAAAACATTAGGGGGGAATAAATAAAAACCAATTAAACATTAATATAATTAAAACCATATTTTAAAAATCTATAAAAAACAGATAATAACAATAGAAGCTGCACAGCACCAGCCCTTTCATTAAAAGCCGTCTGCTCCCAAAAGCCTTCGGAATAAGATGGTCCTCACCTGCTGGCTGAAGGGCAACAAGGAAAGAGCCAGCCTGACTTCTCTAGGGAAGGAGTTCCAAAGTCGAGGAGCAGCCACTGAGAAGGCCCTCCCCTGCAACCCTGCCAAGGGTTCTTGTGAGGGTGGTGGATCCCAAAAGGGACCAAGGAAGGGTGGCAAGGAGGGACTGGGCTTGGTGAACCATCGGGCAAGCATTCTCCAGCCTCACCAGCACCACCAGACCTTTTAAAGGTTTTAAACTGTAAAAGAGGAATGGCTCCCTGGCAATTTAAAAAGTTTGCAAGGATGGTAGTGGAATTGGCCTCTGAAAAACGCTCTGCTGTGATCCACTGCACTCCAACTGTAACATTCCCGCTCCCACTTGTTAGAATGAAAACAGAAAGGGACTACTGAATGAGTTACTGGTACGCTACAAACACATTTTCCAATCATCACTTTTGTAATTCTACATTCTTGTATCATGCTTCTTCTCTCAAGCTACAGCCCATTGCTCAGAGATGTTGCAGCTGGGATCTGAATGCGCAATTCTGAGCAAGACTTAAAAGCTGACATCGTCATTTATTATTTGTACCCTGTCCATCTAACTGGGTTGCCACAACCACCCTGGGCAGCTTCCAACATATTATATATAAATAAAACATTAAACATTAAAAAGCTTCCCTGCCTTCAGATGTCTTCTGCAGGCTATATAGTTACTCATCTCCTGAATACCTCTTGACAGTTGGAAGCTCAGAAATACCCAAGTTGTTATACAATCAAACAATGTAGAAATTTTATGAAATAAAACAGTAAATAATCTTGTATTGGTCCTGGACCCAACACTGAATGGACTCCTGCTATAACTTCCTCCGTCCCACAAAACTTCAGTTTCCCAACAGATTCCTTTTATGACATTAAATCAAGTCCTTAACTCACCTGCTGGACCTCAGCAGCTGTACTCCTGAAGAGCTCTATGTACCTTTTGCCCAACAAGTCCTTGTGTTTCTTTAGCGCATTCTGTGCATATTCCTCACAGGCAAACAACACAAACGCATCCCCTGTCGGCCTACTGTCAGGATACGTCACGAAAAGGATCCCTTCTTTTCCACCCGTCACGGGACAGTGCTGACCAAAGAATGCCAACACTTCATCGGAGGTGACGTTGAACGGGAGGCCACGCATACGAAGGATCACTTGGTTCTCTTTCGAAAGGAACTGAGCCACTTCATTGGATGTGCCTTGAAGAACCAAGGAAGTTAGAAGTTGAGATAGTTGTTCGTTTCCCACAGATAGGACAGAGTAAAATGGGCTCAAGACCGCAATATCTCAAGGACCGCCTTGTTCCATATGAACCTACCCAGAACCTGAGATCATCTTCTGAGGCCCTCCTTCATGTGCCTCCTTCTCGAGAGGTCTGGAGGGTGGCTACACGAGAACAGGCCTTCTCTGTGGTGGCTCCTTATCAGTGGAATGCTCTTCCCAGGGAGGTTCGCCTGGTGCCTTCACTATACACCTTTAGGTGCCAGGCAAAAACATTCCTTTTTAACCAGGCCTTTGATTGACCTGATGGACATCCTATACCCTTTTAAAATGTGGCTCTTGGGGGGGGGTGTTATTTGGGTTATTTTGATTTTATATATTGTGATCTTTTCTGTGAACTTCCCTTAGACCTCCGGGTATAGGGCGGTATATAAATTAAATCAATCAATAATGAAATGTAATGTAGCAACTCCTCTCCCTGTGTGGCCTGTGCTCATTTTAAGAAGACTCACATCTACAACATACATTTAAAGCACTCCAGTGCCACTTTACCTGTCAGGGAGAATCATGAGAACTGTAGGTTGTAAAGGTGCTGGCAACTGTAGCTCTGTGAGGGAACAGTTCCCAGCATTCTCTACGACTGGGAGAAGGGTGCCCTTCAGTGTATGAGGTGGATGGAAGTTTCTTTACTTCTATACAAGAGCCAGAAATACCACCACAAGGGACACACCCCGACAAGTCTGGCAATGAAATTCCTTTAGCTGTTTGCGAGGTCCACCCTTACCTGAGGCAACGTGTGGGATTTGTTTAGTTTTTCGGAGCCTGCACGCAATGCTTTTGAAATGCTAAGCTTCCAAATCTAGAAGCTATTTTTATTGCCCTATCAGTGTACGGAGTGCCTTATAAATGCAAGGGGACTGGCCTTTGCCCCAAAGAGTCTACAATCACTTTTTTTTTTTTTTTGGCCTATTAGCAATGCCAGGTACAAGGCTGCTTGGGAATTTGAAGAAGAAGAAGAAACAACCCAGTGCCATTTTGAAATCAGGTGGCTAAAATCAGTGCTGTTTTGAAAGGTTTGTTCAGCCACTGCAACGTGAAATGGTGTCCAGTTGCATCCAAGTGTGGATGAAAACCTGCTCCTTGATCTCAGGAACCACCCCACGAAATTTGGCTGCGATATCTTCAAAGGTTTCCAAATTCAAACAAGCAACTTTTTGAAATATGTAGCAGATCAGGAGGGGAGTTTCCCATAAAGATTGTTGCAGTTATGGTATTTTTTCTATAATTAGTCAGCATTCTGAATGGCAGCTAGTCCCTCCTGCCTCCCCCAATTGTGGGTGTGTGGAAATCTTATTACTTTTAAGAATGCTAACTGTTCGTGCCAAGGAGCTTTGAGAATGCACCATAGATCAGGGGCAGAGCACGCAATCTGCAGACAGAAGGTCCTCAGTCAACTCTCTAGGTACAACGCAACCCCCAGGATGGCCAAAGGTCAAAGATGAGGGGAGCTGTAGTCCAGCAACATCTGCAGGGCCACAGGCTCCACATCCCCACTCTACGCAACAGATGAGCCAACAGCCTGTCTTGGTACAGCCCTTCATCTACGAAGACATAAAGCTATAGTGACATGATCAAAGGCTATAATAGCATGATCACACCCAGATAAAATCTTGCAAAACTGGGCCTGCACCAGAACTTTCTCTCAACAGCAGGAAGCAGACCTCTTTCTCATAAATCACACTACTGCACAAGCCATATCCAAGCAGCATTCAGCGGCACCCAAAAGCTTATTGCACCTAACTCCATAGTGAAGCAATTTCTGTAACCTCCGATGATGTATTATCAGATCCTTCACTTTGTCTTCCCCCAGTATCCAAACAGCTGCAAGGTCATGGCAAATACAGGCCTGCCATGTGAGGGTATGCAGGGCCACACTTTTAACTGACTCCCTATTCTCACGTGGCTCCTTCTGGCTTCAACATTCATAAAAAGCATCTGCAATGGGGAACCTGCTGCACCCATGTTCGCTCCCTGGGTGATCGGGGTTCCAAATTGCGCAGGGAGCTTAGAAAAAGTACAGCCAGAGTTGCACGACAATGGCAGGGCAAGGAGAACTTGAGGCCCAGCCACTTCATACTTGCAACTGAATAGTTCTGCATTAAAGCCCAGTTCATACATTACTGTTGTACAATGCAAGTCCCATCTACACTGCATTGGTAGCGTCTGAATAGCTGAGACCTTCGTGGCTGCTCTCTCCACACCCAATTTTATGCCAGTCTATTATTATTTTTGATAAATAATAATAATATACCACCCTTCATCCGAAGGTCAAAGAGCGGTTTACAGCATGTAAACAGAAAATACTTAACAAAACAACAAGCAAGCAATAATTCCCACAACAACCCCCCCTTAATAAACCGACACAGAAACAGTGGTACCTCGGGTTACGAACTTAATTCATTCTGGAGGTCCGTTCTTAACCTGCAACCATTCTTAACCTGAGGCACGCTTTTGCTAATGGGGCCTCCCACTGTCGCCGGAGCGCGATTTCCGTTCTCATCCTGTGGCAAAGTTCTCAACCCGAGGTACTACTTAGCGGAGTTTGTAACCCAAAGTGTTTGTAACCCAAAGTGTTTGTAACCCGAGGTACCACTGTATTATGTTGGCCAGTGTGCCAAAAGTGCCCCATTCTTTTTGAAGCCACATTACTATAGGTAAAATGGTAAAGGACCCCTGGATGGTTAAGTCCAGTCAAAAGCGACTATGGGGTTGCGGTGCTCATCTTGCTTTCAGGCCGAGGGAGCCGGTGTTTGTCCACAGACAGCTTTCCGGGTCATGTGGCCAGCATGACTAAACCGCTTCTGGCACAACGGAACACCTTGATGGAAACCAGAGCACACAGAAACGCCATTTACCTTCCTGCCGCAGTGGTACCTATTTATCTACTCACGCTGGTATGCTTTTGAATTGCTAGATTGGCAGGAACTGGGACAGAGGAACGGGAGCTCACCTCGTCATGCGGATTCGAACCACTGACCTTACAATCGGCAAGCCCAAGAGGCTCGGTGGTTTAGACCACAGCGCCACCGCGGCCCTGGAACATTACCTTACTGCACATTCTCAAAATATGACTGGTGCCCTCTGGATCAGTGCCAAGTTATATAAAATGCACCTCCTTGCACCTCCAAAGAGAGAATACCTGATCTGAGGGGGCAGGGAGGCTGTCCCTCAGACCACTCTGGAAGCTTAATGGCAGAGAGAGATCTGGCCCAGGGATTTGGCTGGATAGACAAAACGTTCAGCTCCATAGTACAGTTTCATTTGACCATGTAATAACATGCTAGGTAGCCTGTGTGACATAGTAGTTGGGAGTGTAAGACAAGGGTGACCAGGGTTCAAATCCCTACTCAGCCATGCAACTCACACCTTGAGCCAGTCACAGCCTCTCAGCCTAACAGACCTCACAGGGTTGATGAGAGGATGACGACAAGGAGGGGGACAACCATGTATGCCACCTGGAGCTCCTTGGAGGAAAAGGTGGGATATAAATGCAATAAATAAGCAAAGCAAAAAACATTTATATACTGCTTTATATCATAAAATGTCAAAGTAGTGTACAGAATAGTAAATTCATACTTAAAAACCCTACCATAAAAAAACACCCATCACCAGATTAAAGAACAATTACCTCCAGCAATTTTCAAGAAGTCCTCCCCAGTCGCTTTGTACACCTGAGAAATGGAAAGGGAAATGATTATGCTGGGAGAAGCCCTCCATACCATTTAATCCAAACACCAATTTTGGAGCCTGAGCAACATACCTCAATGTACCGGTTCCCCATGTGATGCTTGTGTCTTTGCAACGCCAGATCTCGGTGCTCCTCACTGACAAACCTGACAAGAGCTTCTCCGTTCCTCCTGCCTTGTGCATTGAGGCAAAGTGCGGCCCCTCCTCTAAAGAGTTAAGGCAGCAAACAGAGGCAGCCGTAAGCATTATGTCTCACCTTGCAAAACCAGCACTTACATAAATCAAAGGCAAACAGCACTGGGTGTTCTTAGGTGCATTCACACCTCCCTTTTGAAAGCAGGAGTAGCTACTTGCAGGAGTAGCTACTTGCATGTGAACCTCAGCAGCAAAGTCCTTCACTTCTGAAATGTTCCCACTACTGGCATTTTAAAAATACTCAGTATTTATTTATTTATTAAGCACCTTTTTAATCAATAGTGTGCACTTTTAAAAAACCCTACCCTAAAAAGCAAGATGATTACATAATTGTATACAGACTGAGAATTCAGCTACTCCCTCCTGCTATAGAATATGGGTTCTCTTACTGCAAAGTTTTTAAAAAATAATTAATTCAAGGAAGTACAGACAAGGATATTTTTTATTCATGCATATGAATCATGGGAATATGAAAAGAGGATGTCTGAGAAGGGTCCGCCAAACATTCCTGCCAGCCCCACACCAGATGTCAGGTAAAGAGGTCTTTGCAAAGGAACAAACAGGAGGCTAAAGTGCTGTTTATTCAAATTGGCTCTGCAACAGACATTTTCCCTCTCTGTACATAACTTTGCTCACAGCTTTTCTCACAGCTGTGGTCTGAATGCAAAACGCACTTGCAAAAAGGCAAAGCAGGGCTTGCTGTCCGTGCCAATCAGATGACAGCAAGCCCATCTGAAGTTGTCATCTGTTGTTATGACAGAAATCAAGTGACTGGCAACAGTTGGGCCACAGGTTCAGTGGGAATAATAGTCCGCCAACATCTGGAGGGCCATAAGTTGACCACCTTTGCATCCACGCCAATTTCAGAAAGTCCAGAAAAAGACATTAAAGTCCATTTTTTCAAACAGAAAGCAAACTATTTTAGCTGTGGTTTTGCTGCATTGTGATTGTATTTTACCTGGTTTTTAACTCAGCCGAGGGCAACTCAGGAAATGAAAAAAAAAGTAAGATAAAGGATCCACAAATGCACTCACTAGCTTGCCACTGGCAAGTGCCTCTTTTCTTCTGGCAAGAACGCGGGATGAAGGAGAGCCCCTGCCTTTCACCTAAGCCCAGGGAGGCTCTGTTCCTTCACTGAGCCTTGGAGTCATTTCAAAAACCATGAGTTTTCCCGCGGCTTCCTGAGTGTCAAAGGCAGGTGTGCAGAAGCTTTTGCCTGCCAGATGCTGCTGAACTACAACTCCCATTAACCTCAGCAAGCATGTCCAGTCCCCACACTTGGTCTAAGGCTTGGGGCAAGGGAGGTAAATTTCCAGTCCTCTCTCTTAGCCATGAGCCGGGGAGCAGGGTCTCACCCCTACGATAGTTGCATTTAGCCTTCATTGTATTTAGCAGGGTCATGCCAAATACAAATTTCAGTTGGTCGCCAAGGGCAGCCAATACGTCAACTCCAGGAAACAGTTTGAGAACATGGCTGAAAATAATGAACGTTACTAAATGAGAGAACTAACTTGGCAATATTAAGGCCTTTGAAGAACCTAGCAATGTCCTGGTCCGATGACTGCCATGGTAAGCCTCTTGCTCGGATTATGGTGTTATCATCTACAAGTTCCATCTTGCTGCTGCAGATCAAGCAAAAGGATATATATTTAAAACTTGCCTATCATCATGAACCATGGCTAGAGCCAGGGATGTCTTCTATAGGCTCACATTCCACATTTTTCAAAATGCTTTCGCAACACGTCAGGGAGAGACTTATCCCCACCCCTACCCCCCAAAAAGAGAATCTCAGCCAGTTTTGAAATTATGGGCCTGTCCTCCAATATGCTGTAATCTTCAAAAATGGAAGTAGAGGAGGGAAAAACCAAGAGCCAATGTTGTCACCACTAAGCTGCAGATGTTTTGAATAGACTATCTGTGGCAGTCTTGCTGCTTTGTCTCTTTCCCAGCTTATCATTTTTTATATTGTAAGCTCCTTGCAGGTAGTGAGATGTATTTAAGGCTATGGGTTGTAGTAAAATAACATTTACTCAGAGTAGACCCACTAAAGTTAGCGACCATGCCTCATTTATGTCCCTTAATTTCAACTGACCTGCTTAGCTAGTCACTGGCGCTTAAGTCTTAATCTACCTCACAGGGTGGTTGCAAGGATAATACAGAATAGAACAAAGTATGCTATCCTTTGCTCCTGGGAAGGAGGGTTGAGTTTAACTGTAATGATAATTTTTTTAAAAAATGCTGGGTCAGAACATTAGTCCACCTAGCACAACGTTTTAGCTCTTAACCATAGTCACCCAGACACCACAGGTCAGTTCACAAGCAAGATGCCTGGCGGTGGAGGTATGGATCCATTTCCTTGTCCCTAAGTTACAGTATTCTAAGGAAAACAGCAGGCCAGATTCAAAATGGAAAGAAACTGTTGCTTTCCCACGTTACAAAAAGAGCATGCACTTACCAGGTCCCACTTTCAAATTTGTAGTTCACCCTTTCTGGATCCGAAAACGTGTGATCTACAAAACACAGCAGCATGAAGTTAGTGAAATTCCAACATGTTGCCAAAGAAGGGGACAATTGCACATCTCGAAAAAGCACTTCTTGTCTCAAGAACTGCTGCATGATTCCTCAAGTCAACCCAACAATTACACATTGATGGAGCCTCTTCTCTGCCAACCATACTAAGCCTGGAGCTGCTTCTGAAGCTGGTGTGTTTTTAGTAAATAGAGTGTCACTTGTGCAAAAAGGCAACAGCAGGGTTACAGGGCTCTATGTTTAGTCTCTGCCTCCAAAGTTGTGCAGCTCCTCTCAGTCCCTCACATGAGAATATTTAAAGCAGGGAGCATGTGTACCCGCAGGACGTTTTCTCTGGGGTGAGGAGTAAAACACTAAAATATGATGAGCAGACTCATTCTCACAAAAATGGGAATCGTGTCTGCATATTTTGTCTTATCTGTTAAATTCCACAACATGCTAGAAACGTACCCCGATTTTAAAAAGGAAGGAAGCTGAGAAACTGGAGATTATGGTCCACCCACCATGGATGACCATGGCAGGAAGTCTTATTATTTCTGTGTAGGTTCCTTGTGTGATTTAGAACTCTCAGGCTGAGCATGTGATCCCCACAGCCTCTTTGCATCTGTGTTGTACTTTCATGTGAGGAAAGAGGGCTATAGCAGAATCTGGGAGCCGTGTGGCCCTCCAGATGTTGCTGGACTCTAGCTCCCATCACGCCCATCCACTGGCCACACCGGCTGGGGCTGATGGGAGCTGGAGTTCACCAGCATCTTGAGAGCCACAGATTTCCTGCCACTGCGCCATAATTTCCTTTTCATTCTGCTGATTTCTAAGTTCCTAAGCTGGCTTTCTGGTAGTCTAGTTCGAAACATTTAATCTTGCAACAGAACTGGCTCAGCAGCCTTTAGTACCTGGATAGTCAGTAGGGAAGGGAGGAAATTATGGCACACCTGAATATCCTAAATTTCTTTAAAGAAAACAAGTCATCCCTGTCAATCAGACGCAAAGGACAAAGTGATGACAGATTTACCAGGAACAGGCAACCGGAAAAACAGAAACAGCTTACTGTATGGTTCTGAGATGAGTGTTAAAATGACGTTTCCCATGTCTTCCACCTGAGACGCTCCAAAATTCTGTGGTGAACTGCTCTTGTCAAGATTCAGATCTGAGCATTGGTGTTAAGTCAAGAATCTTAAAGCGGCAATTTAAACAGATTATGCTTCAGGGCCAGCTATCAACCTGTATCGATTCACTGTGGTGTTTGTCCCTAGGCCTGTTCTCTCATATCCTCCACATCTAGGTATCTGCCCACCCACCATACTGTTAAAAGAGTAATTAGAAACATAAGAGCTGGAAATGTACAAAAGGAAAATATTCACAATCTTGATGAGATCTGACGCACGATATAAAATTTTAAAGCTTCAAACGTGTTTTCTCTGATCTTGGAATGATGAAGTTAATCACTAAGCCATAAATCTATTACAGTAATGAAACAGGTATTATGCTTAACGTAAGAAAAAGCCTGCTAGATCAGGCTAATGGCTCGTCTAGTCCAGCATCCTGTTCTCAGTGGCCAACCAATGTGTGTGGGAAACCAGCGAGCAGAACGTAAGCACAAATGCACTCTCCCCTCACCTGGTTTGGAAGCACTGCTGTCTCCAGCTGTGGAGGTTAGAGCACAGCTATCCTGGCTACTAGCCATTGATTGCTCTGTGCTCCACAAACTTGTCTAATCCTCTTTTGAAGTCATCCAAGTCAGTGACAGCCATTACCTCCTGGGGGAGCGAGTTCCATAGTTTGACTATGTGCTGTGTGAAGAACTACTTCATTAAAGGTAAAAGGTAAAGGACCCCTGGATGGTTAAGTCCAGTCAAAGGCATCTTTTGGGTACAGCGCTCATCTCACTTTCAGGCCGAGGGAGCCAGCGTTTGTCCACAGACAGCTTTCCGGATCATGTGGCCAGCATGACTAAACCAATTCGGGCACAACGGAACACTGTGACAGAAACCAGAGCGCACGGAAACGCCACTTACCTTCCCACTGCAGTGGTACCTATTTATCTACTTGCACTGGCATGGTTTCGAATTGCTAGGTTGGCAGGAGCTGGGAATCACAGGGAATCAAACTGCTGACCTTCCAATCAGCAAGCCCAAGAGGCTCAGTGGTTTAGACCACAGCACCACCCACGTCCCTACTACTTCATTAGTCAATGTAACCATATGTATCTCTATTTATATATCACACACACACACACAAAATATGTAAAGTAATTTTTGTATATGATCGTATATATTGGAACTAAGTACATCTATTACACTCCTTATGCTTCAGATTTATTTTTATAAAACAGATTGTCAAACACAAAATGAGACTCTTTGCTTCTGCAGCACTGCAAACCTCTGCATGAAAGCATTTGCATGAGAAATATTCCTTTTCCTACATAAAATGGTTTCGTTCCCAGTTATTCACAATTAATGGCTCTGACATTGCCATGCTGCATTAGCAGCTCTGGCCATTGATCTGCACATCGTTATTAGATTTTTTCTTCTTTGATACTCTGACAGATTAGCATTTTGTTTTTACAGTATCCCCCTCCTGCTCCTGTAGATTACCAACCACAGCATTTCTTCCATTTTATACGATTCCTCAAATTGTCAGTGTAACATTGGTTGAAATTGAATCAGACATGCTCGATGAAGTCAGAGTCTAGACTCTTAGCAGATCTACGACTAGCATTTATCCTTTTCCACAAACCATTAACATCTCAAAGCCAATGAAAAATGTTCAGGGGGTGGGGGGAGAACCCAACACAATCCTCCTAGCAGTGTTCAAAACTCCCATTGTTTTAGGTGCATCTGGTGACAGGGAATTTCATTAGTGCGAGGAGTTTCTGAGCTCTGGGCGCAGTACTGCGCCTAAGATTTCAGATTAAAACTGCAGAGTGGAAGGAAAGGAGAACCTTTTTCTGCCTCCCCACTTCCAGCTACTCTCTGAAGACTGAAGAAGAGACCCTATTAAGAATACAGTGGACCCTCTGGTTATGGATTTAATTTGTTCTGGGGGGTCCATAACCAGAGGCGCCACTCCTGTGCATGTGGCAAAACCCGGAAGAACATACTTCCGGGTTTGCCGCACTCATAACTTGAAAGTTACATATCCAGAGTGGTATGTAACCAGAGGGTCCACTGTATTAGGGCTACACCATGTGAAAAATGAACATAATATTTTAGGGGCAGTTCATTCATTTTCAGCTTTGTATTCTTCTTATAAAAAAGTGTGCCTAGACATTCCATTGCTGCGTCCATAAACTAGGTTTAAGGTGACATTTAGCTCCTAGCTTTCATGTCTTTTCCCAAGACTGCCTCCTAGGGCTGTACCACTTCAGAAGACAGGAGGAGGCATCTCCCTGAATGCTCCCCATGAGAGAGAACCTCTTTGCAAATGGAAGAGAAGCATCTCTTGAGAGAGAGAGACTTCTGCCTGGGCTTTTACCTGATGCACTAGCTATTCATGCACAAGATGTTTGTACTGCAGAGCAGCATACTGAATAGCAGAGGCAAAAATGACTAGAGGAAGAGGGGGGGTGTTTGTCAGGCCCACTCCCAGCAGTGGTGGGGTGTGCTGCACCTCCTGCCTTCCTTACAATTGGGAACCTTCGTAAGACTAAATATGCAAAGGTTAGGAGAATGCAAGATGCACTTGGCAAAATTAGGATTCGGTGCGATGCATATTCCCTAGTCTCTCTACACTTCTGCCCTCCTGTGTTCAAGCCTACACATCATGTAGTACAAGTGCTGGTTCACCTCCCATAGCTACTTCAAATTGCTTTTCAGAACACCGTTCCGATAACTTGAGAGCCAGCATGGTATAGTACTTAGGATCTTGCCAAACTATGAGGCTCACTGGGAGGCCTTGGCTCAGTCGCTGCCTCTCAGCCTCATTTGCCTCACAGAGGTTGTTGTGGGGATTATGAGGGGAAGATTATGATGGTTGATGAGGGGGATGAACCATCTATGCCACCTTCAGCTCCTTGGAAAAACAGTGAGATATAAATGTAATAAATAATCAAATAATTTTCCTGTACAGTACAGTGGTACCTTGGTTTGCATACGTCTTGGTCTGCATACATTTTGGATTACAAACACGTCAAGCCCGGAAGTGCATGTCCCGGTTTGCAACCTTTTTTTGGATTACAAAACATTTTTTTTTTTGGATTACAAACAAATTTTTTTGGGAGGCCCCATTGGCAAAAGCGCGCCTTGGGTTACAACCTGTTTTGGTTTACAAACAGACCTCCGAACGGCTTATGGTTGTAAACCAAGGTACCACTGTATAGGGAAGTTTTTATATCTGTTGGAAGCTGCCCAGAGTGGCTGGGGCAACCCAGTCGGATGGGTGGGGTACGAATAATAAAATGATAACCATCATCTTGTATAATTTTACACTGCAACTAAAGGCTACTGCCCCAGCCTGTTTTCTAAGTGGCACAGTGCTAGGAGGATGAAACTGTATTTCCTTCAAACATTTGAATGGAATTTCAAAAGCCTTGACCCAAACAAGTTATGTGGGCATTTCTAGTTGCAAGTATACTCATATTGGCCATGTAATGATTTCTGCATGTCTGACTGTTAAGGGAACAGCAGAATGTATCCTCCGAAGGCACATGATTTATGGGCAGCCATGCAAGCTTGATTCACTCCACCCTTGAGGCATCTGCAACCAGAAACTAGCTGAGCGAGCTTTGCAAGTGGAGAACGGCGATGAACTGAAGCAGGGGCAGGGAATGCAAATAGCTGTAAAACACAGGGCCACTTTAGGATCCAAGTTGGAACAGTCAGTTCCCTAGCTCGTTGGTCAGCGTGGTGGGAAGCTCTCACACCGAAGAACTAGGCTGATAAACCCACAAGTCGGTGCCCTATCATTTATGGCTATATAACATGATGGGCAACTAAAACTGGCACATGAGTTGTAGTGGACCAAGGAAACTTGAGACAGCAAGGTGATGCTGCAGCACAAAAAGCCAATGTCATATCTTAACAGGAGCATTGCTGCCAATACACTAGAAAGGAAAGTACTCGACGTTAGTTAGATCTTGTTTGAAATCCTGTATTTAGGCTCCTTTGGAAGGAAGGCCAGGATACTGTATAAAACTGATAAATAAAAGTAAGTAAGTTATGGAAGGCTTCAGAGAAGACCGCCACAAGGTGAGAAAGCTGTGGCTTCAGATGCAACAGTAAGGTGCTTGTAGTAACTACCGTCGAATAAATGTTTTATTACATTTGTATCCCACCTTTTCTCAAAGGAGCTCGAGGTGAGAAAAGAGGCAGAGAGATAGTAACTGGTCCAAAGTCAACCAAGTGGGCTTCATGGCTGAGTGGGGATTTGAACCCTGATCTCCCAAGTCCTAGTCCAGCACTCTAACCACTACACCACAGTGGCTCGGATACATGGGCCTCATTCAGTAGTAGATGGCCTAGCGGTGGTGGTGCAGCAGCAGTGTACCTGACCTCCCACCAGCTGACTGGCTCTGCCACAGCATAGGCACCACACTGACCTTCCCACCACCTTGCCCCTGACTCCTGGTAAGCAGCACCAGCAGGTGAGCACTGCCTCCCCAAACCGCCACCTGCCACTGGCCCCTTTGTTAAGTTACTTTTACAACCGATTAAAAAGCTTCAGTTTGGGTTGTGTGGTGCGCATGATACCAAACCTCTGCATGAGTCTGACAGAAAGGCTAGTTATGCCTCCCACTCAAAAGAAACGGCAGATGGCAAAGCAAGAGAGACCTTGAAGGGTTGGATTAGATGTCCCATGGCTGACGCATTTTAACTATTTCCCAACCTTTCCTTTTTCAAAAGAAAAAATGAAAAGCAGCTGCAGGTGGCTGAATCAGAAACTGAAAAATCCCCCTCTGATTTTTTTCCAGCTCAAAATGTGCTCTCCTCATTTGCTTCCCCCCTTTACAGTCAAATTTTCACAGTGAGGTCACCAAAGAAGATTTAACAATAGCGTGATGCCTTATCCCCAACTCATGCTGGCTGGGGATGAAATTCAGAGTTTTCAAATCCCCAGGGCAGTGGAACCCAAAGAAACAACCCGCACAGGGCAGGGGTAATCAATCTGTGGCCCTCTAGATGTTGCTGGACTCTAACTCAGGTAGAGAAGTCCACAGAGCAACCAAGCAGCATAACGTTGTGCTTGCAATAGTGGTGTAATTAAGAACACTATTATGGAGAAACCCAAGAACAGTCCCCCTTCTTCCCCTCAGTCCCAGCCCCAATGGTTGATAGGGGTCTGATTAAGCTCTGCAACTAATCACAATACACCCTGCCAGGCGGAATTGTGTGCAACTAACACAAAAGCCGGGAGAGAGAATCTGATCTGACTTCCAAGGGTAAACCTTGGAAAAGATAGAGTAGAGGGGTACCTGTGCCAAGTCTGTTGTAGCAAACACGATGTGGTCTTCTAGCAAAAATCTAACATCAGAAATTGCAACATTCAAGAACCAGAGAGTGTTTCTGCCTCCAAGGACACTCTGACTGGTCTTAAAGAGGAGAACCTTGAAGAAAGGAGCTTCAAAGGCAAGCTAAACTGAAACACAATTCTTCCAGACACTCTAAAGATTAAACTTGCACTGCTCTTAACACTTCATTTATTTTAAAAGGATACATTCCGCCATGGCTTTAGCATCTAATTTGTAGATTTCAGGTGAGCCAGGACAACATTTCTTGAATTCCTTCCGCAGATCAAAAAATGAGTAGAAACATTCAGACAACAAGATGTTCTGCAAAAATGACATGTTAGTTCTAGTAAGTCAAGGTGTGTAGCTTGTACACTATCAGGTTGAAAGCATGCTCAGTTAGCCTTACAGGAAACCGTTTTGTAAGCTGCAAGTCAACTTTTTATCACTTACCGGTATCTAAGTTTCCCCTCGTGAGAGCTCACCCTCAGTGTCGTTTAATAAGAAATTGTGCCCCATTCACAATTACTCACGAAATGAAGACTAACAGAGCCAAGAAAGGTTTTGCAGAACTCATTTGAAAAGGCAAACACATCATCTCAGACTAAGGGCAGGATTCAACTAACAAGCCCCACTAACAGAAGCCAGTGCAAGGGTCTCTGCTAATAGAGTGGGGCTTCTTGCCTCCCTCCGTACACACCCAACACTCCCAAAAATGATGGGGGGATTAGGAGAACCCCAGACTAGCATGCGGAGGGGGGAGAGGGGGTATTGTTCCACCTGGCAAGCTGAAAAGCTTGTGCACCGATGGAAAAATTGCCATTGCATTATGCTGGATTCCTCCCATAGTCCTTCCAGGCCACTTTTATAGTCTTGCGCAAAAGAAAGTGCAAAAGAAGAAAAAACCACCACCCACACATTCCTTCAGTATTGTAAGCCAGGTATGAGGAACCTGTGGCTTTCCAGATGTTGCTGTTTTCCCATTAGCCCCAACAGCTGATCATGCTGAAGTCTGAGGCCAGCAAGATCTGGAGGATCAAAGGATCCCCGTTCTTGCAAGAAACTCTCCATCTTTTCCAGTAAGCTCTCTTATTATGGAAAACATTTCCATAAAGAACCTCCCAACTTAAAACCTCCTCTCTAATTTATATGCAGGGTTGAGCTCCCTGAACCCTGGCTTGGCCTGGCTGTATAGAAGAGACATAGAGAAGTCTCTTCCACACAGCATTTTTTGTACCTGTGCATATATTGGAAGATGCAAGATTGGAAGAGCCTGCAATGCTCACGAGAAGAACTATGGACGAGCTACGCAGCTTATCCCAAATGAAGGCCAGATTTCGCACACATCCATTATTCTGTTATTTTATAGAAGTTTAAAGACTGCTCTAAGGATCAAATAAATAGTAGCCTCTCTCTCTCTCTCTCTCTCTCTCTCACACACACACACACACACGTATGTACCATATATTGCTATGTTTCATATCAACTCAACCCCAAAGGCTTTTTGAGAAAGGACAAATGCATTGCACCACTATATATTTATGAATGGGGTTATTATTATTTTAGCTGCAATTGACATGGTTTAGAACCTTGGGCATGGCTAAAAAGCTTCATTCCCTCCCCCGCTCTGTTGGCACATCACTAGAGCAATGTGATCCTATTATAGGGCAATACGCCTCAGGCACTGATTTACATAGCGGAGGGTGGGCTGAAGTGAAAAGTAAAAAAAAAAAAAAGAGGCATACTTCTGTGTCAGATTGATTTCTGTTTTGCCTCTGCTTCAAGCCTCACAGCTGATGAAAACTGTGGGGCTCTCCAGGTGGTGCTGAACTCCAGACTGCCCACCCAACTACTAAGAGAATATGTATTCTCTTTATAATGGGTTGAAAGATGAGTTTACTGGTGTTCTTCCTTATTTTTGAAAGCAACAAAAAACCCAACAAGACTCAAAACATGCATGTATTTTTGCTACTGTAACATTAGGAACCCTTGGAAAGCACGGATTGTTCACGACCAGAATTTCAAGATCTACAACAACGTGATCTGAAAGGTGCGGAGCACAGATTTAATCTCCTTGAAAAGATGACTGATAGATTAAGCAGCAAAATGCATCAGCTACAGCCAAAGTAAAAATTGCCTCACATGTGATTTTTACTGGCATTGCTGTCACATGCGCTGGAAATCTACATGCAGTGTACCTGCGATGTAGTACATACGCAACGCTGCATACGTAGATTTCTTATACAGAAGCAGCATAAATTCCAAGCAAGCATTGCTTGGGAAGGAAGATCGACCACTGCATTACTGGTAATATTTACACACGTTTTATCTCAATGGATTGCAAGGTAATTTACAAAAAATAAGACACAAAGCAAAACAAAATAGATAATATAAGGAAACAAGCAGTAGATATAGGCAGGCAGTAGTTGTTGTCAAGTTTTAAAATGTTTAAGTCATCAGAAATAAAATGTTTTTGTCTGGCACCTACAAGTAAACAAGGTTGGGACCAGACATACCCCCCTGGAAAGGTACCCAACTGGGGTACCAAAAATAGGCCACCTCCCTTGTTGAAGCAATTCTCCCCTGTGATAAAAGTAGCATTTGAAGAAGGGCATCAGAAAATGAACTTAAAATGCAGGCAGGTTGATTTGGAGTAGGCATCATCAAGCACATGGGTCCCAAGTTGTTCGGTACTTTAAAGGTTACTCTGCAATGCGCCTGGAAGCAAACACTAGCCAGCAAAGTGTAGTTGTTTTTAAGACTGGCAATATATGATCCAAGTCTGCAATGCCAGCTATAACTTAAATGAAACATGCAAACCATTTTCAGAGGAAGATCTAAGTAGAGTACACTGCATTTTTGCAAACATGATCCAACCAGAGTAGATGATCGCAGCCAGATAAAACTTGGCGGGATTTCCGACCAAGGATTAGGTCCAAGCCAAAATGAATATTCTTATATGCAACCTGATCCTATGCATACTTTATTCAGATGTAAATCCCACTGAAGGCAATGAGTCTTAATCAAAGTTAAGTGTACATAGGTTAAGTGCATTTAGGATTTAAATACTGTTTATGGCAGCAAGATCTGGGAACACTTGCAACCATGCTATCTAACAATCAATTTTGCTTTGAAAATGCAATTGTGCTCAACATTAAAATTCATGTTGGGTCATTATACTACTCAATAGAAATTACAGGCAAGAACTGCAGTTGGTATGTAACAGAAACATGTAAAGAATGAATACTTAGTCCTGTAACTCCCCCCCCCCCCAAAAAAAGAACAAGACTGGACTGTGAAAAACAAACCATTTTCTTCTTTTACACATCCCCGTACATCAGTGATTTCAGAAAACGGGAAATGTGACGAGAAATACTTCATTTTAAGCAAAACTATGTGCAATAGATTCATGCATATCCTGATTGTCAGAAGGGGTCAGAATTAATTAAATCTTAGTCTTCTTACCTTTTTGGAAGCTTCAGGATGAAGAACTTGCCTGAGATGAAGCTGCCCATCTGTGCAGAGACAGAACGAGGTACCTACACCAATATTTAGTTCATTGCTCACAGACTGGTTAAACTAAAAGTTACAAGACACAAAAAGAAAAAGAAAAATCCACTTACAACCTGAAAGTACAATTTGCAATACTAGATATATATTTTTTATCAGTTATGCTTTCAGTAGGATTCACTACCTGCCCAAATCAAAGTGCTGCTTACGTTACTTTGTATCCTGCTTTTCAATCACGAAGTCCCAGAAGTGGCTTTCAAACCAAAATATTATTTTTATTTAACAAAATGTATATACCACTTGATTGCATTAAAACCTCTAAATGGTTTACAGGAAACAGTAAAATTATCAACAAAACATTAATACATATTAATTTTTATACCACTGAATGCCAAAATAGGCTTCTGTTAAAATCACGTTAACAAATGGAAGAGGAATCACAAAAATGCACAACAGCAAACAACCATTCAAGAGATAGTGTAGGTGCAGCAAAATTAATGAAGAATATTTGAACTTCAGCAGATTTAGGTGTATTTCAAGGTTGCAAGTTAGATAGATGTTGTTAAGGTATTTTTTGCACTGTGGATTTAGTTGCCCTTCCTCCAAAAAACTCTGAGCAGAACACAGCGTTGCTCCTTTTTACCCTCATAATAGTCTGTGATGTAGGATAGGCAAGAATATGTGACTGGCCAAAGTCAAGCAGTGAGCTTTATGTCTGAATGGCTAATGACTCCATTAATACAAACCACACACACAATTTCTACTAGAGAGGCAGGATTTTTTTTTATAGCATCTTGATCATACAGAATTAAATACGAGCAACCTTCAGCAAATCTTTACACAGGGTTGGCCCAAGTTACTTTGCTTCCTGAGGTGAATATGAACCTCACGTCATCCCCAAAACAGAATCTGACCAGCTTAACCACTGGATCTTGGTTCAATCTGACATTTGGACAAAATGCTCCACTACATTGCAGGGGATTGGACTAAGATGACCCAGTATGAGGTAGACCACATGCTACACACACACACACACAGTCCTCCAACACCTCAGTACCCCTCACTCACTGTCCAATTGACACCAGTGTGCTGTTTATTCAAGATAGCTGATGTACAGTCATACCTCATGTTACGTTTGCTTCATGTTACGTTCTTTCAGGTTACGTCCTGCGGTGACCCAGAAGTACCGGAAAGGGTTACTTCCAGGTTTCGCCACTCGCGCATGCACAGAAGCGCAAAATGACGTCATGCGCATGCACAGGAGCAGTGAATCACAACCCACACGTGCACAGACGTGCTGCTGTGGGTTGCACTCTTTTCATGTTGCAAACGGGCCTCCGGAACGGATCCCGTTCGCAACCAGTGGTACCACTGTAATGCAATGCATCAGTGCAGCGGCACTCATATGCATCACATGAAGAAAGCTGCAAGGCGTGGGCCAGCCAGGTGGCCTTTTGTCCTGCTTGCTTGGTCAGATATTTTCCCCAAAGGAAAATCAGCATGTCTGTGACATATTGGAAGAAGGCAATTAAGTGAGAGAGCCAGATCCGATCAATAACACGCAAGCACTGAACATAAGAACTACCACCAATGAATCAGGCCAATGGCCCATCTACTCTAGCATCCTGTCGTCACAGTGGCCAACAGCATCTCTGTGGGCGGCCTGCAAGCAGGACATGAGCACAGCAGCACTCTGCCCACCTGCAGTTCCCAACAACCAGTATTCAGAGACATATTGCCTCTAACAGTGGAACCTCGCGATGCGAACGGGATCCGTTCCGGAGCCCCGTTCACATCCAGAAGCAAACGTAACGAGCAATGGCAGGTCTGCGCACCCGTGCATCGCTTTTCACCGCTTCTACGCATGCACGAAGCATCATTTTGAGCGTCTGCGCATGTGCGAGCGGCGAAACCCAGAAGTAAAGTGCTCCGTTACTTCCGGGTTGCAGCAGAGCGCAACACGAATGCGCTCAACATGAAGCATATTCAACCCGAGGTATGACTGTACAGTTATTGCTGCCATCTCAGGTGGTTGCAAATAGCTGCTTAATCATAAAAGCATAGAATTGGAAGGGAACACAAGTGTCGTCTAGTCCAACCCCCTGCAATGCAAGAATCTTTTTCCCAATGTAAGCTTTGAACCCATCACTCTTAAAGAGTCTCAATGGTCTACCAACTGAGCTATCCCAGCTGGCTCAAGAAGAATGGCCACTCCCTGCATCCCCAGCAATTGTTTCGAGGTAACTGGCTCACTCTGCCTCATGGTAGGATTAGCCCATCTGTAGGGTTTCATAACTCTCTAACAACATGATTTTAAAAAAGGTTCTTCATCTAACTTTTTGTACAAGCAGCACAATATTGCCCCTACCATGGCACGCCAAGGGCTTGGCTCCACAGTCATTTTTTTCCTTACAATACTTGCACATCATTTATTCTATGATTCACTACAGACCCAAACGCTTCTTAAAATCCACCAATAAGGGAAAATGTGCCCATTGTTCCACATGAGGGCATATAAATTTGTTTAGTAACTTGAGTTATTATTTAACCTCTTATCTGTTTTGGAAAGACCTTGTAGGCAGTTGTATGCTTGCAGTTCCCTCCTCGTTAGAGAAAGGTAAAGGTAAAGGGACCCCTGACAGTTAAGTCCAGTTGCGAACGACTCTGGGGTTGCGGCGCTCATCTCGTTTTACTGGCCGAGGGAGCCAGCGTTTGTCCACAGACAGCTTTTCCGGGTCATGTGGCCAGCATAACTAACCTGCTTCTGGCGAAACCAGAGTAGCGCACGGAAACGCCGTTTACCTTCCCACCAGAGCGGTACCTATGTATCTACTAGCACTGTGTGCTTTCGAACTGCTAGGTGGGCAGGAGCTGGGACTGAGCAAAGGGAGCTCACCCCGTTGCAGGGATTCGAACCTCAGACCTTCCGATTGGCAACCCCTAGGCTCAGTCGTATAACCCACAGTGCCACCTTCTGATCGGAAAGCCTTAAGAAGAGTTTGGATTTGATATCCCGCCTTTCACTCCCTTTAAGGAGTCTCAAAGCGGCTAACATTCTCCTTTCCCTTCCTCCCCCACAACAAACACTCTGTGAGGTGAGTGGGGCTAAGAGACTTCAAAGTGTGACTGGCCCAAGGTCACCCAGCAGCTGCATGTAGAGGAGCGGAGACGCGAACCCGGTTCCCCAGATTACGAGACTACCGCTCTTAACCACTACACCACACTGGCTCTACAACACACTGGTTTAGACCACGGTGCCACCCGCGTCCCTAGAGAAAGGTGTAATTGCTCAATTATCAGTTAGCTAGCTAGCTGGGGGGGGGGGATGTTTAATATATTTGCTAGTCAGCTGTGGCCTCCACCAGCTTGTGTGGAAGTGACTAGTAGTGACCAGCAACTTTAGAAAGACCTAATTTACTGCACCCACTCTTCGGGTCTTTCCTCTACTCAACTCCAAAAACAAACCACAGACTTATGGAATGGCAGAATTGAGTAAACAAGGTGGAAAGGAAGTGTGCCAACTCTGAATTGGGGGTTTTTCTGACCCAGCAGTAGGGAAATCACAGGATCCACCTTCCTTTCAAGGCTGCCATTTCTAGCCACGTTTATCTGGGAGTAAGTGTCACTGTGGAGCAGTTGGGGACGGACCACAGCTCAGTGATAGAGCATCTGCCTTGCATGCAGGAAGTCCCAGGTTCAATCTCTGATGCCCCTAGGCAGGGCTGGAGAAAAGCCGCTACCTGAAAATCTGGAGAGCTGCTGCCAGTCTGAGTAGACAATACTGAGCAAAATGGACACATGTTTTGGCTCAGAGCAAGGCAGATTTCTGTGCTCCTATTTTGAAGTGATGCCTCTACAGCAGCAACAGCCATCCTCCTGGCTTTACTTGCAAGTGTGCACACAAATGCCAAGGCCATGGAGCTTTGAAACATCAGAAAAACAGTCTGAAGCCATCTCCTGTCTTCCTTAGGCACACGTGGGCGAGGAAGGTCGACTTTTTCCTGCTCCTTCTGCGGTGACTCAGCTTTCCCTCCCCTCCCAAAACAAGCCCAACCCATCCCTGAAGAGAAATGGAGCGTCTTCTTCGCACTTCTCCCCCTTTTAACCTGCATGCACCCAATTCCCACGACCCAGCCTAGCTTACCTGTCTCAGAGCTTGCTCCAGCTGCGGGGCGAGCGCCAGGCGGTCCTCGGCGAGGCCGGTTTCTTCTTTGCACTCGTCCGTCAGCTCCAAGTGATCGGGCCCGATCAACTCCTCATGCAGATTTCCCAACTCCATGGAATTAAGGGAGGGGTCGGGGAGAAGAGGGGGAAGGCAAAAGGAAGAGATAAATCCTTCCAACCCAAGGTCTCCCCTGCAGGCATTCCCAGATAAGGACAGGCCAAGCTGGTTGCTGGTAAACCGGATCTAACCTGGGCCAGCGCCGGGCTCTTTGACCCATGTAGGCCCAAGCCTCTGGAAGTCAAGGCCCTCGTTTCTTCGAGCGTTTGTTTACACTGCGGCCGCTTATCTGGGAGAGTAAGGAAGGGTTTACTTCCGAGTAGACACGTGCAGGCCGGTTCCGTCGGGTTTCTGAGTCACCCAGGGCGCGCGGGGCACAAATCGAGCCTTGCTTTCAAGCTCCTTGGCAGTCACTGGGACCACGCGGAGAGTTTACACGCGGCCCGGCCAGATCCGAAGTCGGGGCTCGCCGCGTTCTGACGCCAGGCTGGCTCCAGCAGCACCGCTCCGGGCCTGAACAACCCCTCGAGCACACTCCTTAAGCCGGAAGGGTTTATTGGGGGCAGTCTAGTTTCTTTTCAAACACCTTTACGGTCAAAATCCATGCATATTGATTTTTTTAAAAAGAACACCCCACTAACAAGAGGTAAATCCCACGGAATCTAATTGGATTTACTCCCAAATAACCGTGCACTGGATGGGAGCTGGGCTGCGTTCACACATTTAAAGCACTGCTACACCCAAATAAAGGAATCCTAGGAACAGAAGTTTAAGGATGCTGGGACTTGTAGCTGGGTGAGAGGTGAACTGCAGTTCCCAATGGGATTTTTGGGGGGTATTAAATATATGGTGTACACAACCTTAATTCCGACCCACCTCGGTTTTGCCGAGGGCACAAAAGTTCCTGCCCACACTTCCTAGCGCAGAAAACAAAAAAGAAAGCGGAGTACCTTCTTATTGGCCAGATCCACCACCTTCCACAGCAGCTGGATCAACTCTCTCTCATCAGAGCCCAGCCGAGCCCCGTTGGCTCCGGCGGTGGTCCCGAACAGAATGACCAGGTAGCCCGGAGACGTCGTCATGCCGACGGGGATGAGCCCCACAGAGGGAGGGGCGGGAAGAAGGACCTTCACCAAACTTTTGGCAAAACCAGCCCAGCCAGCCCCCAACCCAGCCACCCCCCAAGCCGCCCTCCTCCTCCTCCTCCTCTCCTGTGCAGGGGAGCAATACTACCCCCTTCCCAACCCTACACCTCCAGCCACCTCAGCTCTCCCTCAGTCCCTGCCCCGCACCTGCATTTAGGAGAGCGGGGGCGTGGGGGGAGGCGCCTGCCCCACGCGGCCTCTTTTTGTAGCTTAATTGCAACAGGAGCCAATTCCGCAGCGCAGGGCGGGCTACACCCCTGCGAGGCGCGCAAATGGCTGCGGGCCGGGGCTGTTTGGGGATGTGGCTGTACCTGCCCCTTCCTCCGCCCCACGTGGTGCAGGTGAGAGAGACACACCTGAGGGAGGCCGCCCATTGGCTTCTTTCCCCGCAAGGGACGTGGCAACCGGGCGGGGGGAGGAGGCGAGGGCGGGTCAGGGGAGCAGGCCGAGGGGCTTTAACCCAGGGACGGAGATTGCGCCCTGGAGAGGCGCCAGGGGACACCTGCCTGAGACGAAGGCGCACGCGATCGTGAGTTTGGAAGTCCCGGAAAAGGCTGGCCGGCTCACCTCCACAGCGGAGCCTTTTTATTCTTTCTTTGTATGGAGCTGCAAAATAAAGAAATAAAGTGCTGTGTTGGTTTTATGTATTTTACAAAGCTGAGAGTGTGGTGTAGTGGTAAGAGTGTTGGGCTAGGACTAGAGGGGTTATTGGTTTGCTTTGCTTTATTGTGTATTCCGGGTTCTCAATTTGTGTTTCCCTTTTGTGAACCGGCCTGGGATCTTCTTCTGATGAATTAAAAAATATTATTAATAGGACCTGGGAAACAAAAGGGCATGAAGGTCACTGGGTCATCTTGGACCAGTCACTCTCAGCCTAACCGACCTCTCAGGGTTGTTGTGAAAATAAATTGGGGTGGAGAACTATGCCGCCTTGAGCTCCTTGGAGGAACGGTGGGATATAAATGCAAGTAGTAGTAGTAATAATTAGCAAACAATAATAACAGTAATCCATTATGGGCATTATTCAAAGCATTTTACGTGCGTTACCTGGTTGTAATCCTTCCAACAACCCTGACAGGTAGGTCAGCGTTCTTCCTCGTATAGAGGGTGAGAGTGTTTGAAGGCTGGGGCGGCGGCCTTGTTTAGGACGCACCCGGTGAGCTCATGGCAGAAGTAACACTTGAACCAGGGACTTCCCTTTAACAAATGCACCAGCCACTAACTGTCTATGACTAGCCAACTAATAAAGGTTGTATTTGGCTGCAGTGCTATGTTCACTCATTTGGAAAGGAGCCCAGTGAGGCTTACTTCCAAGTAAACAGGCACAAGGTCAGGCTTCTTGTTTGGGTGCCAAGGATAACGGAAGGACACGCACAACGGAACATACGGAGTAGTGTCAAAAAATGGAATCTGAAAGGATGGCAGAGATCAGCCACACAGAGAAGAGGCGACCGCCCAGATTGGTGAGGATCCGGGAAACAATATAGTCAAGTAACGTTAAAGGAGAACTGCCTCCAAATATATGAAGGGCTGTCGTGCAAAAAAGTTGGAGCAGAGGCTAGTTCCCTGTTGCTCCACAACCGTTTTAAGGACACAGGAAGCTGTCTTATATTGAGCCCAGTCCCGTTGACACTGACGGGCAGCATCTCAACTGGGGTCCCGACGGGGGACATTTCCCAGTCCTACCCCGCGATACTGGGGATTTAACCGGGGACCTTCTGCACACAAAGGATGTGCTCTGCGTCCTCCGCGGCTATGGTTCCCCCTCCACCCACCCCAACAACAACAAAAAGATATGTACGGATCTATCCGTTTAGACATGAATATTCCTCTTTCCCACGATTAGACTCATTGGTCTGACCAATCCAGGTTTCATCTTCATAGAATCGTAGAGTTGGAAGGGACCCGAGAGTCATGTAGTCCAACCCCTTGCAATGCAGAAATCTCAGCTAGAGCATCCATGACAGATGGCTTATCCAACCTCTGCTTTAAAATCTCCCAATAAGGAGAGTCTACAAACTCCCGAGGGAGACTGTTCCACTGTTTGAACAGCTTACTGCCAGAAAGTGTTTTCCCTCCCGTATGTTCAGTCGGAATTTCCTTTCTTGAAATCCGAAGCCATGGGTTCCAGTCCTACACTCCTGAAGATACTTGCAAAAGGCTATCATCTCTCCTCTCAGCGCTCCTCGTAAGGCTTGGTTTTCATAACCTTGAAGGATCTGTCCCCTCCCACTTGCTACTACTCCCCCCTCCTTTAAAAAAAATTCTATGGGGAGGGGAATATTGCATTGCAGGGGTTTGGGCTAGATGACCCTCGGGTTTCCTGACAACTCTGGAATTCAATGGTTCTTTTAACTCCGCCTTTGAGATGCCCTGCGCTCCGGGTTATGGAAAGACCGGTTCGTCTCCGGGCATCAGCGGTGGGGAAAGGATCCATTCCTGGGTGCAGCGGGGAAACCAGCAGCTCCTTTCAGGATCATCTGGCCCAGTGCGCGCAAGATCTCTAGAATTTGGATCGCGCGCTCCCTCGCTCGCTGCCGCCCTAGTGTTTCTCAACCTGGGGTCCCTGGCTAGTGTTGGGCTGCAACTCTACACTCCCTAGCTAGCAATACCAGCGGGCAGGCTTGATGGGAATCGTCCAACAACAGCTGGGGACCCAAAAGGACTTCCTAGAAGCCTGTATAGATTTTCAAGAAGCTGGAAATAGTTCCTCTGTGGCAGCCTTTGCAGCCCAAGAAAACGCCCACTGGGCCCGAAGCTGCGGAATAAAAGATTGGAGATGAACAGCTGTCCCGTGGGTAGCGTTGGTTTCCTGCGGAGCGATTTGACAGGCTGCTAGCAGTTTGAAGAGTCCGCCATGGGCGCAGCTGCCTTCCCAAATCAAGTAGATAAATAAGAATACTTAACTAAAACTAGAAATGATAGAAAGATTTGACAGATTTTTTCCGAGTGCTCGAGGTCAGAAGAGAACAATTCAAAACAACTGTTGCCGAGACATTTCATTCCGAATCTGCTAGACAGAGAGGATGGTGACCATGGGGGTGAGAAACCGAATCGACTGGGACTGATTGACTGAGCAAATCTATAGCATACTTACCAGGAAGTAAGTCTCAATAAGCTGCACTCTTCACTAAGAGTGAGTCCCTGTGACTGATTTTCCACGAACACGCGTGGAATCGGGAGGCATTTCTTCGCACATTTCCTAGAGGAAGGAAATTCCATTGATAGCAGCGGGACTGACTTCTGAGCAAGGAAGTGATTACTACTACTACTACTACTACTACTGTACAGTTAAATCCCTATTTCCTCCAAAAAGCTCAAGGTGGCGTACAATATTATCCTCTACTCCTCACAACAACGCTGAGAAGGTAGATTAGCACAACTATTGCCAAGTCACACATTGAGATTCATGGCTAAGTGCAGATTTGAACCCTGGTCTCCAAGGTTCCAATTCTCCGACCCCATTACAAGAGCCTTATGTTCACACCATTGGGAGCTACTTCCGAATTAAGCGTGGTTTCTTATTTTTATAGAAGGCTGGACAGTAACACTGTTCTCTGGGCGGCTTAATGAAGCATAAAATGACAAAACATAAATTGAGAACACACAGTGCCCTAAAACAGATGGCTGGCGCCTTCTGTCATGTATGATCCACTTGCGATTCCTGCATTGCAGGGGGTTGGACTAGATGACCCTTGGGGTCCCTTCCAACTCTCCTATTCTTTGCTTCGGTGAAAAACAACCCCAGTTCCTGAGCACTCGCAGCGTAATCCTACTCAAAGGTTAAGTCCCTTTAAGTTTAACGGGGTTTACTCCCAATAAAGTGGGCATAGGATTTCAGCCTTAGAATACCTACAATTGAACTGAATGCGGGTTTACAGTCCCATCCCATGGTGTGTGTTTGTTTGCTCAAAAGTCGCTTTGAGTCGCCATGGCAAAAAAGTGACCAATAAATGTAATAACAATAGTTCCAGACGCTTATTCGGAAACAATGGAGAAGGGTCACATGCAGGAGGTTCCCCAGGTTCAGTTCCCAACATCCCTAAGTAGATCTGGAGAAACCGTGGAGAAACCCTGTCAGTTTGGGCGCATCTCTAGATCGATCCATTGTTCTGACTCGGAATAAGGCAGCTTTTTTTGTTTCTAGGGAATGGCAAGGCGGAGACAATTAGACAACCAACTTGGCGTGGTAGGTCTCTTCCCACATGGTGATGGCACAAGAGCATTTTTTTTTTTGCGGAGTGCCTGAGATTTGCGCGCTACAGACTCACCAGCAGAGCGCAAAACAAAACCAGGAAAATACAAGGGCGGAGAGGGGAGTATTTTGCGTGGGAATAGTCTTGCCCCTTGTTGTCTTTTTCAAGACAGGGTTGCTGGCTTACATATATTTCCTTTACAAGTTAATACGAAGCACACTGTCCCTTTTTTTTTAAGGGGTGGTGGTGGTGCGTGCTTTGGCCACTGATTTCAGACAGATGCCATTTTCATAGAACCTCACAGTGTGCTCTTTATTTTGGAGCTCTTTGGTGGCTCTCCTACTTGCTTATGCGATTTCCAGAAGAAAGGAGCCGCGAGTCGCGACGACCCGCCTTCCATGCCCATCCCATCCGAGTCCGATTCCACTTTTTAGCCTTTTTTCAGCTCCATCGTGCCGCCCTCCCGCTCTCTGCGGGAGAAGCAGCTGCTGCAAAGCCGTGCGCGCAGTTCCGGGCGGGCAGCTGCCTGCAGGAAGCAGTGCCCGAGCAGGAGCTTTGTGGCGCCGCCGGACTGGGCGATCAGGTTTGGGAGGAGGGAGCCGCCGCGCTCGGAATTAACTTGCTCAGTGTTTCCAGTACCCCCCGCCCTCTTTTTCAGGGCAAATGATTTCGCACCGTAAGCAACAATCGGAGACACACACTAACACACGGAGGGAAAATATCGTCAATCATTCCAGACAGGCAATTCTTGCCTGTCTGCACACAGCAGCTACGGGCGAACTGTCTCTGCACCGACTGCCATTCATAAAAAAATTACCAACATCTCTTCTCAATGGAACATTTTGAGTCTGCGCACTGCGCTGCAGCTCGCTCGCCTGCGAGATTGTTGCGCGTGGGAGCTTGCTTCGGATTCGAAGAGCTCCTTCTTAGCCTCTGGCCAGAGGCGCCGTGCCAAAAGGGGGTGGCTGCGGGGAAGAGAGTCACAGAGCAATCTTATCTAACAGGTATCCCTGTTGGGCCTCTGGGAGTTAGGGAGAATCCCGATGTAGCAATAGTTAGGGCATTTCTCTCCATTCTGATGTTATAGGGCTCCCAACTCCCATCAGCCTCCGCCGACATGGGCAAGGTCAGGCACGACGGAGTATGGTTTTGGATCCATGTTTCTGCCCCCGTAAGCACAAGACCTGTGATTTATACCGCTCAGTCCTCCGAGACTGATGTGGTCTGTGATTTAATGGTAGGTTTTTAGGGGTGGTGGTGGATGGTATGATATTTTGTCAATAATAATAATAATAATAATAATAATGTGAATTCAAAAGGACACATTTTTAAAATCCTGGATCTGACTTTTACCAGATCTTCTACAAGTACAGGTTGGCTTATAAACAGTATGGTTGTAAATAAATGTTTATCACATCATAGTTTGCCTGCGATGTGGCGCTCTTGTTATTGTCAACGTTCAATGGTTTGAGGATTATAGAATTACTTTCAGCGAGTCTACACACATTTAGAAGCACGTATCGCTGTTTACTCAGACACAAGTACAGTGGTACCTCGGGTTAAGTACTTAATTCGTTCCGGAGGTCCATACTTAACCTGAAACTGTTCTTAACCTGAAGCACCACTTTAGCTAATGGGGCCTCCTGCTGCTGCTGCACCGCCGGAGCATGATTTCTGTTCTCATCCTGAAGCAAAGTTCTTAACCTGAAGCACTATTTCTGGGTTAGCGGAGTGTGTAACCTGAAGCATATGTAGCCTGAAGCGTATGTAACCCGAGGTACCACTGTATGCACAGGAGCGTAGTTGGATCCTATGCAGGTTCAGTTGAAGGAAGCAATTCTCACTGTTTAAAGGAGCTTACTCCCAGGAGCGGATTCTATGCAACTTCATTTTGAGACCCCCGCAATTAAGTGGTATATACATTTTATGAAACAAATTTGTAGAGTAGAGCTGCTGAGCCTTTAATAATTGTGTGAAAGAGGGAATTTCAGCAGGTGTAGCAGCATAACAAGCCACACCTACTGAGATCCTCTCTAACACACAATTATTAAAGGTGCAGGAGTTTTGTTCCTCTTCACCCAACTTCCGCAGCTGGACGCCCTGTTTACTCGGAAGGCGCTCTCCCTGTACCAAATGCTTCTTACTCTCAAGTAAGGCTGCAGAGGTCTAAACCCCGATCCCACGTAGAAAGATGACTCTGAAACAACGCACTTGATTAATGGGGATTATTCCCAAGTAAGGGCACATTGCATAGCATGCCTTAACCGCACCCCCCACAACTACGCTGCCTTTACTTCTTCAACAATATATAGGCACATTGATCTGCTTTTAGCCAAGCGGCAAATTTAGGAGGAAAAGCAGCAGCTGAGAAGCATCTATTTTACGAACGGCTGAAAAGAAGCTTAGTGCGCATGCGCTCCCCACTCCGCCGCCTGCCGTTCCTCCTTGACTCCGGAAGTGCTTCTCGTGTCAGGCGAGGTGCTTCCGCCGAAGGAAAATGGCGGCGGACACAACAACGGAGCTTCTGTTTTTAGACACTTTCAAGCACCAGAGCACAGAGGTAACGGGGGAGGCGAGGGCCGTTTCCTTCTGCTTGACGGGCGCCCAAAGAGGACGGACGTAGCGGAGTTTTAATATTTTTTGCTCCAGGGACGAGGGTTGATTTCATGCGGAGAGGTCGGACCCTCGGGGCGGGGCTAGAGCCCCTTTCCTCTCTCGAGCCCCACAAAGGAAACTGGTGACAGCTCTGGCCCGTTTCCTTCTTTAGTAGGTGCATCTGCGTCTTGTATAGAGGTTCACACGCATGTACAAGTGTAAACATATTTCTTTTTCATATTTTTTTTGGGGGGGGGAGGTTTCGACCATAGGAATGAGATGCCTTACCTTTAATAAAAATAAAAAGCCTGTCAATTGTCTAGGTGTTGTTTGATCTGAAATAACTGCTACTGTGTGGCAATTACTAACATAGATTATAACCCATGATAACACACTCTGAATATTGTTGGATTCCAAGTTATGCCAGCCCAACCGATGTAGCCAGTAGTGGGAGGAAATGGGAGTTGCAGTTCGGCACCATCAGGAGGGCCATAGTTCCCCACCACTGGGATAGAAAAAGCCAGTTGAAGTGGGCGTAACAACAATAGTTTAAGTCAAAACAATCATAGGCTAATTGGAGATCTTAAGTATGTGCAGCCTTACTGCCTTACTGACAATTTGTATTGCCCTATTTGTGACCTATTTGAGCTGTACGCTGGCTCCCTTGGCCAATAAAGTGAGATGAGTGCCGCAACCCCAGAGTCGGTCACGACTGGACCTAATAGTCAGGGGTCCCTTTACCCTTTACCACTATTTGTATGTTATTATGTAGAGGAGATTATTGATGAGAGAGGTTAAAAACTCTTAATGTATAGAGCCATCAAAGCCCAGTACTACAGTACGTGCTTTCCAAGCAGCTGAATTATCTGCATGTTGCTGTAACTGTGCTTCTGATGCCCCCTGTCTTGACATAGGAATCTGGCCCAGCACTCTTTTCTCCTGCACTAGTAGGTTGGGTAAAACAAATCTTTTGAGTCTCTTAAGTTGTGAGATAGTGTGAAAAGTAGAATGCATCTACTGTCTTTCTATACTCTATAATCTGCCAAAAGCACAAGTATGCAATGCAGTCTGTTATATGGTTTGGTGAGATATAGGGAGCAGGTAGAGTCCCTTCTATTCCCTGTGTGAGATATCATTTGTGTCTGTGAAAATGATAATACAGGTGAAGTGTACTGAGTTCTAGCAATATTGTCAAATTATTGTTTGTGCTGTTGCAGCTAACTACACAAACACTAGCATTAATTTGTCAAATTTGGTTGCCTGTGAACTGCTGGAAACCATTTTCAAATATTTTCTCATACATATCCGGTACACGTATGCATGCCTATTTTTTTGGAGAAAGGGGAGTCTATGCATGCCAAATGACCCATATGTTGGGCTAGGAACATTTATTTGGATTTCAGTACATTTCATCATGCAAGTATAACCAAATTTATGCTGCAATTGTTTATATTAAACTTTGCCTCTTGACCTTCACAGACTAAGACACTTGCTTACTCAACAAATGTGGAGTATGTGAAGTTGCTACTTGTGCTTATAGTGAAATATTCATTAGATGGGCTGTAGTGTTCTTAGACTTATGAAGATCAGATGGAGGATGCTTGTGAAAATGCTGACTGTTAAATGGGAGCTGAAGCCAGGCAACATCTGGCCTTGGGGAAGGCTGGGGGTATATATAGAGTATGCTTACATATAGTGGAGGCATTCCTTTTTACCCTCCAAGCTGAATACAGCTTGCTTGCCATGTATCTTATCAGATACATGTATCTATCAGATGTTGACAACACTTCAGTATATACTGACACTTAGTTCAGTATATTATTTGTTCGTTACATTTGTATTATGCCTTCCCACCAAATAGTGCTCAAGGCACCTAAAATCAATAATATGCCATTTTTCGGGCAAGTAGGAAACAAGAAGGTTAGAGAGTCACTAGTAGGTTGTGTTTCACTTCATAGGCCACAAATGTATTAATTTAGAAAAAATATTCTGTGCTTCCCTTCAATAAAATTCCTCTGGATGGTGTACATTACAATAATAGAAGAGCAAAACAAACAAAAAACCAGCAGAAGTTGTGGACTTATTTTATTCCATTCTTAAAATTACTTACCTTTAAAAACATTAAAACAATTTGCTTAACAGCCAGCTGTATTTTTTAGGATGGCAGCCTAAGGAATTGGTGAAAGGCTTCCTCTGGTAACATTTAGTGGTTACTTTTTAACTGCATCATCTGTAGCAAGATGTAACTTTATAAAGGCATGCTATGGCCATTAAATTTACATTAAAATACTGATAGGTGACTGAGTCATTGTGTGAAGCTTTAAATCTTCATGCTTTTCTTGTTCTTTTACTACCGTGTTTCACACTAATATCATGCAGCTTTCCTTTTGTTTTGGCCAAGTACTGTACTAGGTTTTCAGGATATACACCTTTTGTTTTGCTTTCTTCTCTTTCCTGTAGCACATTGCAAAATTTTCTGTGTTCCTCAGTTCCCTGATGGATCATTGTCTATTCTTTCTGTTCATCCAATCATCCTCTTGGTTCATCTTCTCTTCCTGCACCTCAGTTACCTGATGTCAGAATATAGCTTTTTCTGTCTCTTTGAGAACATCGAACATTCATTTTTTAACAGCAATGTTTGACCAGCCCTTCCTATAGTAGTTGTGAATATTCCATGACATCACAGCAGCCCAGATAATGCCTTAGGCTGTGGTTGTGTGAAGTGAGTGAAAGATAGTTTAGAGACTTACTGTATATAAAAAGAATATTGCAATGCATCTCAGTATGGGATGCATGCCATTAAATTACTCATTAAAAAGGTAGGCAACTATTAATATAACAAAAGCAAAATTAATTTGTACTCTTCAAAAGCTGCACTCAGTGGCTGAATGTCACCTCTGAATTTTATTTTTTATGTCCTTGCCTGCTGCAAATGGTAAGCAGCCTAGTGTGGGTGGCACTTGTCAGGAAAAATGGGTGGATACAGCTGTCATATCATTGCTGGCCTTTTAGACAATTTTTGGGCGCTGTGCCATATATTTTAACCTTCATGAATTTTGTTCACTTTGTTTTTGTTTTTGATAGCAAAGTAGTAATGTAGATGTGGTTCGCTTTCCATGTGTGGTTTACATCAATGAAGTACGTGTCATCCCTCCAGGAGTAAGAGCTCATTCTAACTTACCTGAAAACAGAGCTTATGGGTAAGTGCAAGTTGATTAATTGAATTCTTTATTTAGAATATAGACATCCTGCTTTCTAGCACCTAGTGCCTCTCAAAACAAATTAAACAAAGGCTTACAGAAGATTCTCAAAGTCAAACTCAAATGTGGTACAGGAACAAAAATTACCTACATGGTGTACATATGGGGGCTGGAGTATTCAGGCTCTCATTCTTGTTCTTCTGTGGTGTCATACCAGGCAGTCGCTCCCCCAATGTCATCTGAAGCAAGGAGGTGATTTGTATCCCACTGAGTTGTATGATGAAGGCAAGCCTTCCCTTGTTGGCAATTCCCATTTGCCAAGTAATAGCTCCATCTGAGGCAAGGGAGTTGGGCCGAGCAGCTGGAACTTGCTCAGCACATAGTGAAACTTTTCTTCCATTTCTGGAAGTTAGTAGCTACCTACCAGTGGTTATTTGAAGAGCATTTTAAATTTGGAAAGTATTTTGTTATGTTCTCCTTCCCAACAACCTTGTAGCTCCCATCATAGAGATGCGGAAGAAACTTGCCCTTGGCCACACAATGGCAGAAAGACTTGAACTTGGATCTCCCAGATCCATCCAGCACTATCCCCTGGAATCAGTCTTTTCCAAAGCTTAGGACAATATGAGAACTCAGAGAGGGATCTAGATTGCGTCAAGACAGTGGCCATAGCAAGAATGCCAGGGTCACTTGACCCTGATGAACTGGTGAGTGGATTTGTGCAATCCTAATACAAGGCTAGCACAGACCTGGAAAGTTCATTTAGTTTGAAGTGAATTGGCAAACCATAGCTTGGAGACAGTTTTGGTTAGCTCCAACCCTTATTTGCCCTATTGGGGTATTATGTCGAAGTAGGATTAGAACAAATCAGGAAGGGGAAGTAAGAAGTGTGCTCACCCACATCTTCCTCCTGGTGGCAGTTTTCTGTCTGTCTTTCCCAAAAGTTACTTCCAAGGTCTGGGAATCCCTTTAGAATGGTATTGAGCGTGGTGAAAGGGGATGTGGTTTTGCGGTGGGGGTTGCTGGAAATCAGGGTCTTTATTGACCCCCAGCATTTATGATCATTTATCAAATCTGTGCAGTGTCAAATAGCACATGTGTGGTGGAGGTGCAGTCACAGATCTGCAGGCCTCTTACATAAGTGATGAGCTTGCCTAAAATTACAAATGTGATGGTTAAGATAGTGGGAAAAAAATGTATAACAATGTATGATTTACCTTTGAATCCAATAATGCTAGGTTTATTAGATGATGAGATGTCATGATAAACTGTAAGCTATTGGATTGAGAATGAGCTATGTGCTTCCTCATTACCCTTCTCCACCTCCCCTTGAGTTGTGGCTTATTAATTTTATAGTCGAATACTATTAAAAAGCTCCCCACTTCTTTACTTCTTGCAGATTGTGGCTATATGATAATTGGTATTTTAAGGCTTGATTATCTTGTTTATTGTGGTTCTGTAAAATAATTTTTTACACTTTGGCTTTCTTCTCAGTGAAACATCTCCTCACACATTTCAGTTAGACCTGTTTTTCAACAATGTCAGCAAACCAAGTGCCCCTGTATTTGACAGGCTAGGAAGGTAAGCAGTTCTTTCATAATCTTGGTGCCATTGTAAGACTTAACCAGGGCTAAGGCAAGCCGTGTAAGCCTGGCTACTAGTGTCCTTGTGTCTTGTTTATGAAGAAAACAAGTTGAAGTAAATGAAAATGTAGGCTTTGAGTTTCTCTATTCGACTACTAAATATAAAAATAGATAATTGTCATTCTCATTAGATATTGCTTGAAAAAAGTACCATCGTGAATCTGGTTATAAAAGATGTTGATGCAGTTTCTTTGACCTTTAACACATATTTCTGTTTTAACAGCCTGGAGTATGATGAGAACTCTTCAATAATTTTCAGACCTAATGCCAAGGTAATGGTCACTTGTAAATTCTGAGATTGACCCTTCTGGTGACAACTCCTGTACAGAGAGAGGCTGGTAACCTCTACACTGGGCTGTGTTTGGATGGGATGTTCTTGGGGTACTTTTGAAGTCTTCTCAGAAAGTTTAATTAGTGCAAAACATAGTTGCTAGGTTTTTCACTAGGGCCAACTATAGAGAGCATCTCTCAACAGTTCTTAAACATGCATACCAGTGGCTAGTCTGTTTCCAAGAGCAGTTCAGAGTGCTGGTTGTTACCTAACTGAAGGATTGCCATCTACCTCATGAGCCTGCCTCAATCCTTTGATCTACATCAGAGTCCCACAATCATTTGAAATAAGGAGGTGATGAGCAGAGCAAGTGCCTTCTCAGTCTTGGAGGATCACATTTGGAATGCCCTTCCCCAGAGGTGCTCACCTGGTTCCCGCTCTTTATTAAAAACAAAGTGTCATCTAAGAAATGCTCTAGGGGGAGACATGATTAGTTTTAGTCCATTGTGTGATGCAGTGCAGGCCATCTGAAGCCCATTAGAAACATTTGGTCTAAGTGGGCCAAGTACATATGGTAGGGGGACCAGCATTATGCAGCCAGATGCTGTCTCACGTGTGTGCGTGTGTGTGTGTGTGTGTGTGTGTGTGTGTGTGTGTGTGTTAGAGAACCTGTGCATGTAGGCCAGCCATGGAGAACCTCTGGCTCACAAGCAGAAGGTGACCTTTAAGTCCTCTCTATCTGACCCATGGGACTCTCATCAAGTCACATCCCTCTGCCCAGCCCATGCCCCTCACATCACAGCTCACCTGTCTTTTTTATATAAAAAATGCTGAGGCTTTCAAAACTATTACAGGATTCTGTGCCTCATGTATTTGCAAAGTGCATTTATATCCTACTGTAACATGTAAGTGAAATCTAACAATGGCATAGCTGGAACTATATTTCATTGCAAATATATACTGGTACTGAGCTTGTAGTGCAGGTGTGCAGCAAGTTAAAGGTTCATCTTTGTTTCTTTTATGTTCTCTCTCCTCCTTTAAAATCCAGGTCAACACTGATGGATTAGTTCTGAGAGGCTGGTACAACTGCTTGACGCTTGCAATATATGGCTCTGTTGACAGAGTAATAAGCCATGATAGGGACTCTCCCCCTCCGCCGCCTCCGCCGCCACCCCCTCCTCAGCAACAAGCAGCTTTGAAAAGAACTCCGAAACCTGGTAAGCATTCCAAAACTAAGCCAATTAAGAAATGCAAATAGAAGTAAGTGATTCCCCCCCACAGAAGTTAAATCATCTACGTCTAAAACGCTTGTGTCTCATTACTTCTTTCAGCTGAAGTTTTTGTCTGTGATCTGTAAGTTAATGCATGCACGACTACAGTTTTTTACTGAGTGGTTCATTTTCAGCAACTTCCCAAGTGATGCCACAGGCTTCCCATGAATTAATTTATCTTTATTTATAAGCTCATTTATATGCGTTGTTTTTTTTACAGCTGATGGCGAGAAAGAGGATCAGTTTAATGGCAGTCCTCCACGACCACAGCCTAGAGGCCCAAGAACTCCACCAGGCCCCCCTCCGCCTGATGATGATGAAGATGAGCCAATGCCCGTATCAGGTATTTTGGAACGTAACTTTCTTTCCATTTCTTTCTCACTTGTGTCCACATGCATGCATAATTTAAGTGAGGAGAAAGTGTTGCTGTATTTCTAGCAGTAGGTATATTTTCCAGCTGCAACTGAATTCACCACTGGGAAGTGGCAGTTGTGACAGGAGATATGATGCATCTATTAGGCTGTTCCATACGGGAGAATTGGCAAACATCTGTATTGGTCCATGGAGGCTAACCTTGCCTTAAAACTACAAAACCAAAGCAGCAGTTTATTAGCATCCTAACTTGAAGATCTAAATTGTATGGAAAATACACAGGATTCTCTTAGCAGAACATTAAATTACACTATGGGTATTAGTTGTTTAGTTTTTGTTGTCTGCTTTCTCTTTCTTTTTGAAAATGGCAGTTGTTTAAATTAATTTTGCTGTGGATTCCAATCTTTCCAGTGGTTGGGGAGAAAGATGACGATGTTGATCACAGAGAGGATTACTTTGAGCCCATTTCTCCTGATCGGACATCCGTTCACCAGGAGGGCCCATATTCTGATGAAGCAGAAGTGGAAGAAGACCAGCCCGAAGAAGTGGATGATGAAGAGGGGGTGGATGTTGAGGAGGAGGAGGAAGATGAAGAGGATGACGATGGTCAAACAGTAGAGAGTATTCCAGAAGATGAAGAAGAGGATGAAGAGGAGGAGGAGGAGGATGATGAAGAAGAAGAGGATGTTGAAGAAGAGGAGGAGGGTGAAGGTAGGCAAATACAGAAGCGGCTGAGGACTGAGTTGCACGTGCATATGTGTTCTTTCATCACAGAACAGTTGATTTTCAGCTGAATGTGTGAACTGTCCCTAATGAAAAATATTGAGTAGTGTCCAAGCTTTATTGATAACAGATCTGTTGAAATTAATGCACCTAATGTCATTTTCATTAATTTCAGTTGGTTTACCTTGAGTAAAATCACCCATTGTTTGATTTGACTGTGGGGCATTCAAACGTTCTGTGTTACTTAACCTGTGTCAGTCAGTTCACACTAGTTGTCTCTAGAAGCTAATAATGATACGTGGTATGTGTGTGTGATCTGGTCCTGAGACAGTGGAATATATGTAGTATTTTTTTGGGAAGCCAAGCACTTCAGAGGACACCAGGGAAGAGATTTTGAAGGTTTTGTGGTGTATAGGTTTTCTACCTTTTCTGTCAAAATATTATTTGTGCTATAACTGCAGTTGTGAGTCATTGTCTTTTTATGTTTGCGGTGACAGGAGAGAGAGCCCTTCTCAGTGGTGGTGCCCTGATTGTGGAACTCCCCCTCATTAGGAGATATGACTGTCTCCTTTACTCATGAGTTTTAGACATCAATTTAAATACTTCTCCATATGAGGGAGGTTCAGAGGGTGGTTACACAAGAGGAGAGTTTTTCAGTGGTGGGCCCCCTTTTTGAAATACTCTCCCTAGGGAAACTTTCCTGGTATCATCAGCTTTTGGGTGATAGATGCTTCTGTTTGCTAGTCTTCAGTTAGTCTCTGTTGTGCTGCTCATCTTTTAGTGGGGTACAGTAGGGCTAGTCCTTGGATGAGCATTTTAAGAGTTTTGTATTGTACATTGTTTTTCAGTTTGACTTTTAATTGATTTAAATTATTCATATTTTATCTTAAGTTGCTTTAATACTTTTTTTGTATAAAGTGACTAACAAATACTACAAATAATCTTTTCATACAGTCCTTTGGGTGAGGACTGTAAGCTGGATATGGTGGTTTGAATGTTGCTGAGGAATGGTTTGAGTGGTTTCCTTGTATTTAAGTCTGACTGTATTGTGGTATTCACCACTTCAAGATCCTACGAGATAGACGGTGGTCCTGAAATAAATAAAAACCAAGGTTAAGAATTCTCCTTGTGGAGATAATCTAATTATATGGTGCAATTATATATTTCTCCTGTTAGTTGATACCTTTTGGTCCTGTGTGTGAGTGTGTAGCTGATGGGTTGGCAAAGCATCCTGCAAATGTTTTAACTGCTGGGGCTCCCATGTTTATGAGCAAAAGGGGAGAAGATGGTTTATTTTTCAAAACTGTAATTAATGGATGGGTGTTATTTGTTGCTTATTTTGGTTCAATGGATTCAACAAGGTAATTATAAAACTTTTCTTTTCAGGGGATGATGGTTATGAGCAGATTTCAAGTGATGAAGATGGAATTGCTGACTTGGAACGTGAGACGTTTAAGTACCCGAGCTTTGACATTGAGTACACTGCTGAGGATCTAGCCAGAGTGCCACCTGTGACCTATGATCCTTTTGATAGGGAACTTGGGCCTCTTCTGTACTTTAGCTGTCCCTACAAGACCACTTTTGAAACCGAAGTTGCTAAGATGAAAGATCAAGATCCAGACAAGGAAAATTCAGGGGCAGTTGAGACCTCTACTAAATTGACCGAACTCCTAGAATTATATCAGGAGGAGAGGGGTGCAAAGTGGGTCACTGCTCTGGAAGAAATTCCAAGTTTAATAGTCAAAGGGCTAAGCTACTTGCAGTTAAAGGACCCGAATCAGGATTATATAAGCCAGTTGGTTGACTGGACAATGCAGTCATTAAACCTACAGGTAGCCCTGAGACAGCCGATCGCTTTGAATGTCCGTCAGCTTAAAGCTGGGACAAAACTTGTCTCCTCGCTGGCAGAATGTGGAACTCGGGGGATAACGGGCCTGTTGCAAGCCGGAGTAATTAATTCTCTATTTGAACTGCTGTTTGCGGATCATGTCTCCTCTTCTCTTAAACTCAATGCTTTCAAAGCTTTGGATAGCGTTGTTAACATGACTGAAGGAATGGAGGCATTTTTGAGGAGCGGCTCAGAGGTGCATGAAAAAAGTGGTTACCAGAGACTACTGGAGCTCATCCTTCTGGATCAGACAGTAAGGGTCGTCACTGCCTGCTCTGCAATTCTACAGAAATGCCACTTCTACGAGGTTTTGTCCGAGGTCAAAAAGTTTGCTGACCAGTTAGCGGAATATCCTCCATCTCTTCCTAATCACACTGAGCCTGAGCAGGATACGGACACGGGACTCGAAAGGGGTAACCAGGAATATGAAAATGATGTGGACACTCCAATGGATATGGACAGCCTTCTGGAGTCCTCCAGTATGAGTGAAGGAGAAGTGGAGAAACTCATTAACCTTTTGGATGAGATCTTGCATTTGATGGAGACTGCCCCTCACACTATGATCCAGCCACCGGTGAAATCTTTCCCAACAACAGCACGTATTACAGGGCCACCAGAAAGGGACGACCCTTTCCCAGTGCTCTTTAGGTGAGTGGCCTTAGTTTTTTTATATGTTTCAAAGGGATACCTGTTTGTTTGCTTTCTGCCACTTGGTTGTTGACATAAGTACTTGTCATGCATGTCATGTGTGCTGCTTAATAAGGGTCTTTCTTTTTTTTAAAAAAATAATATTTATTAAAGTTTCAAAGGAAAAAAATCACATTAGTAAAAAAAATTAACAATGAAAAAGAAAAATACAAAAAAAGAAGAAAAAACAGTTAAAAACAATTCCATCTTTTCCTCACTTCTTTTACATTTACTTGTTTCCCGGACCTCCTCATACCTCCCTCTTTTGTATTCCAATTAAATTTGTTAATCCAACAATTCCTTTCCCTCCTTTTTAATCCTAATCTTTAATCTTGATATATTATAACTTTAAATTTATACATATTAAAAACCAATTTTTCCATATTCTTTTGTACCTGTACAACTAGAAACCACTTAACTTCAATCCAACATCATTCTAACATCCATTAATTTTGCAATATTTCTGTAAATAGTCTTTAAATTTCTTCCAATCTTCTTCCACCGACTCTTCTCCCTGGTCACGGATTCTGTCAGACATTTCCGGCAATTCCATGTAGTCCATCATTTTCATCTGCCATTCCTCCAGTGTGGGTAGATCTTGTGTCTTCCAATGCTTTGCAATGAGTATTCTTGCTGCTGTTGTAGCATACATAAAGAAAGTTCTGTCCTTTTTTTAACACCGATTGGCCGACTATGCCCAGGAGAAAGGCCTCTGGTTTCTTCAGGAAGGTATATTTAAATACCTTTTTTAGTTCATTATATATCATCTCCCAGAAAGCCTTAATCTTTGGGCATGTCCACCAAAGGTGAAAAAATGTACCTTCAGTTTCTTTACATTTCCAACATTTATTATCAGGCAAATGGTAGATTTTTGCAAGCTTGACTGGGGTTATGTACCACCTGTATATCATTTTCATAATATTTTCTCTTAAGGCATTACATGCCGTAAATTTCATACCTGTGGTCCACAACTGTTCCCAGTCAGCAAACATAATATTATGTCCAACATCTTGTGCCCATTTAATCATAGTGCTTAATAAGGGTCTTTCAATGTTGGGAGATGTTCCAGCCTAGACTGTTGTCTCTTTTCCCCCTTTCCCACCCTGTGTCTTCTGTCATGCCATCTCATAACTAAACAAAACTCCTCCACTGTCTTCATCAAGTCTCTTCACTCTAATCCTTTAAGTCAGTGAGGTGGTGGAGAACAGTGACAGACTTGAACTGAGAAGATCTGGATTCAAATTCCTGCTCACGTTTGAAGATTAGTGAGTGCTTGTGGGCACATCACAATTTCTCAGGTTCTATTGCAGTGTTCATTAATTCCACTGGGTCTTGTTCTGAGTAAAACTTTATTGAATCCCACCCACACTTGTATACTTCTGCAGCTATTTCACATACCATTGCATTGAAAGTAGTAATAAAAAGTTCTGCCAATGTACTATATTTTGAAGTGGAATTGAGCATGCTGCTTCTTACATATTTCCAGGTACCTGCATAACCACAATTTCTTGGAATCTGTCACGTTGCTGTTATCCAATCCAATAACTAATGTGCACCCTGGGGTGCTGCAGTCCACCAGGGATATACTGAGATTTTTGGCACAGTCCCAGAAGGGCCTTCTTTTCTTCCTCTCTGAGTATGAAGCCACAAACCTGCTGGTTCGAGCCTTTTGCCATTTCTCTGACCCTGATCAAGAGGAAGGTCTCCAGACTGATGGGGCAAGCGATGAAGCCTTTCCCCCATGGCTTCTTCATTCAACACAGACGCTGCAGTGCATTTCAGAACTATTCTGCCATTTCCAGCGCTTCACAGCCACTGATGAAACTGACCATTCAGATCTCCTGGGAACGCTTCATAACCTTTACCTGATCACTTTTAACCCCGTGGGAAGAGCTGCTGTTGCCCATGTCTTCAGCCTTGAGAAGAATCTCCAGAGTCTTATTACTTTAATGGAGTTCTATTCCAAAGAAGCATTAGGGTAATTATCCTATTTTTTTTAACCTTGCTTTAGGTTTTATGCTTTTAAATGGATGTTTGCAGGTTGATGTGGGTTTCACAAACTTTTAATTTGGGGTTGTTCCTTGTTATGGAACTTTGCTGCAGTACAGAATCCAACTTCTTACCCTCCTCATTTTTCTCCTTTTACGAAGCCTTCCCTTTAAAGAAGTGAACCGGGCTTTCCTTGTTCTGGGGTGGTACATGCTTATTCCTCAGCATAGTCTGAGGATATGTATGGGCTGGCCCATGAATTAGTAACCTCTTCATCCCAGTCGATGCTTGGTGATTTGGCTCTGATTGCTGCTGGGCAGACAGGAAATCCTTGAGATGTTTAAACAGATTTCTCACCCCCACTCTCCAATTCCTGCTTTTAAATGGGTGGGCTCAGGATAACTAGGTCTGAAAATATAGCTCTACAGCTTATGAAGCTGTCCTACTTCCTCTGAAAAAACCCCCACAAAAACACAGTAGATAATATGAAAGAATAGCTAAAAGCAAAGCCAAACATTTTAAAACCAAGGAACAAGGGGAGCAGCAAGCATGTTGTGCTTCCTCCTCATCTTAATGTCCTGTAAGATTGATCTTTTGCATATCCACCAGTGTGGAGATTTGCAGGTTATCTGCACAGAAGTTCTATGTTGCATGTGACAGAAATGTGGTGGAACAGGAAGTGTAAGCTGCATGGCTGTTTTCTGATTCCTTCATGTTGTTATGAGAGCATTTCATGCTTGTCTGAAACTGGCTACACAGATCAAGAGCATAATTTAGATAAACATATCTTAGATGCTGGAGTTAAATTCACAATCAAAAGAGTGGGGTTTTCAGATCAAAGTGGCATACACAACTTTAGCTTGTGCTAAGGAGGTGAATGTTTGCCTGTGGCATTGCTTGTATGGATTTGAAATCAGAGCCATTCTTTATCCCTCCTGTAGGTTACTGCTATATTCTGATCAATATAATTGACGTTTCTGTTTTGAGTTCTGAAAAGATTATGAGAAACTAGGAGAAAAGGCTGAGTCAATCAATCATTTGCAAACTCCTGCTTGTAGTATGAACTTTTTTCTTCTCCATACAAAATAATTGTTTTGTAAATGAAAATCTGAATAGTATTCTGTAAGTATACGTGTAAGGATTCAAATGTGAAGTGTGTCATAATTTTCAGAAAAATCTGTTTCAGCGATTCCAAGTCAAAGAAGTCAGTTGCCTATAATTATGCTTGCATCCTTATTCTGCTGGTGGTTCAGTCCTCCAGTGATGTTCAAATGCTTGAGCAGTATTCGGCACCCCTGTTGAAGCTTTGCAAAGCTGATGAAAATAACACCAAACTACAAGGTACAGTATGTGCTGTTCATGGGGCAGTTGCTGGAAGCAGTTTAGGAGAAATATTTTTGGTGTCTGCTAAGGCTCTCCTGACCTTCTGGTTTTTGATAATGCGAGTAATGAGATTCCTTTGGTAAATACAGATTACTAGAAAGGCTCATTGAAAAACTGTGTGGCTTTTTTCCTAGTGTCAAAGAGGCTTTGTGACACAGAAAATTCTCTTGTTTGTGTAGTGTACTGTTCATTGGTGGGAGTCATTCAGTAACTGCAGAAAAATGTTCAGTGTTTGAAATCTTCTAAGGAAGCAATGTAGGGGGCTCCTGTTCAAAGAACAAACTAAAAAAAGTCACTGGACACTGATGATGACCTGAGAGCTTCCATTGTAAGTGTGTTTCTCAAATTGGAGCTGTTGTAATCTTGTCATGCCCACTTCAAGACAATGACAGATGAAATGAGACCACTTTGTGTGCAGGCTTTTACATTGCACGGACTGTTTTACTATACATAGCTTTTTAAAGTCCCAAGCAGCCTTGGGTCAGAATATCTAGGGAATCCCACCTGGCCATGTTAGCCTGCCTGGGACCTTCATTCCACTTCAAGGATCTCCTTCAGTCCTGCATCTGAAACAAGGCAAATAGGAGGTAGGAGAGAGAGCCTTTTTGGCTATAGTGCTGAAGATTTGTAAAGACCTCTCAACAGGTGTGCCTCACTCCTTCATGACCTGCCTTTAGCCTGGTGATAAAGGCAACATTACAAAAGTACCTTTATTAGAATCTTGATTTTTATCATGAATTGTGCTGTTTTAAAATGCTGTGCTGATTCTGTGTTTTTAAAGCTCTGTTTTGGTTTTCTTCCTGCCAGTACTTCCATTGAATTTTCAGTCTGTTTTTGTTTTTGAGAGACAAGATAGCCTTGGCTTGCATACAATAAAGACTAAGAAATTCAAGTTATTCTGAGCTGAGGAAAAAACTTTCATTTTAGAATATGCACACAGGATGCCTTTGTAGCTAAGATGGGGTTTAATATTGAATATTCAAGAGATTAAATGTTTGAATTATGCTGGGCAAAATTGCCTTTTGGGACAAATAAATTGTCATGGTTCAGATACTTTTTATGGCATCAAATCCAATATTAAAACCTTTTCAAAATCCTTGTAAGAGTCATAAAGCTGCAACCACATATGTTGCAGTAAGTTGAATTGAAATCATAGGGATTTATTCCCACATAGGATAGCAGCCCAAGTCATACTAATTTCCTCCCACTGCTGAATGGAAGTGAACCTTTCTGATTGTTTTAATGCAAATAAGCTAACTTTTGATAAAGACATCCCTGGACCTATAGAAATAGATCTTCAGCAGTGTTCTTGGTGCTCTCAGCTGAAGAAATCAGCTGAAATGTGGTATAATAGAGAATAATTTCAGACCAAATCAAAACCAAAATTTGGCTCATATGTATGCATTGAGTCTTTATTCTTTGAATTAAAGCAGCTTTAATGTTGTATTAAAAGTTAACTTGATTTATATACAAAGGCCTGTAGTTCTAATGCTTGTCACTGTATTTTTGGAATGCATAATTTTACATAATGCAACATTCTTCAAGTTTCCTTGTTTGTTTTAGAACTTGGCAAATGGCTGGAACCCTTGAAAACACTTCGGTTCGAAATTAATTGCATCCCAAATCTCATTGAATACATTAAGCAGGTTAGTAAAAACCATTTTCAATGCCTGCATTTTCTTAAAAATCCACACCTAGCTATTTCATTTGTTGATCTTTTGCAATTGTATATACAGGAGGCAAAATTCTTTGTTTTCACAGTTCTGATTGCATAGGGTTATCATAAAGTTTGCTTGGTACTCCTTTATCCAGAAATGTTTTGTTACAAGTACATTCTATATTGGACCATTTTGCGTGGTGTTTGCTCAGAAGCAAGATAAATTTCTCTATTGCACCCATTTTTGTTGAATATTGATCTTTAATAACATGAGTCTTATTTTTCAAATTTTATTTTAAAGAATATTGATAGCTTGATGACCCAGGAAGGAGTCGGTCTTCCTACTGCACTTCGTGTCCTGTGCCATATTGCATGCCCTCCACCACCTGTTGAAGGTATAATACTCACTTTTAACATTGTTCCATTTCCTTTATAAGAGTACATCAGATTTAATCACCACCTCCTTTAGCGATATTGAAGTAAATTGTTTCTTTGGACCATTTTCTGTTGCTGACAGAGCATGTAGAATTTTGGGATGGGAAAGTAAAATGTAAGGATTCTGTGCCCCATGATAAATTTGGCGTCATCTAAAAATATATGTTCTTGGTCATGGACAGAAGGCTCATAAAAAGGAATCATTGCACCTGATCTATATTTTCCTAATGACTGAGATCAAGGCACAACATGGTTTTTCTCTTTTCTCCCCTCCTCCATTCCCCATTTCCTCCTAAAGGTCAGCAGAAGGACCTGAAATGGAACCTTGCAGTCATACAGATGTTCTCTTCTGAAGGAATGGACACTTTTATTCGTGTTCTGCAAAAGCTAAACAGCATCCTTATTCAGCCCTGGAGACTCCATGTCAACATGGGGACTACCCTCCACAGAGTCACTACGATTTCCATGGCCCGGTGCACCCTCACCCTCTTGAAGACCATGTTGACCGAACTGCTGCGTGGAGGGTCATTTGAGTTCAAAGATATGCGTATTCCTTCCGCACTTATTTCTTTACACATGCTCCTGTGTTCTATTCCCCTCTCGGGACGTTTAGACAGCGATGAACAAAAAATCCAGAATGACATTGTCGACATTTTGTTGACTTTTACCCAGGGGGTTAATGAGAAGCTAACCATCTCGGAGGAAACTCTGGCCAATAACACTTGGTCGCTCATGCTAAAAGAGGTCCTCACTTCTGTTCTGAGAATTCCTGAAGGGTTTTTCTCTGGTCTTATACTGCTTTCTGAGTTGCTGCCTCTGCCGCTTCCCATGCAGACCACTCAGGTATGTAAAAACTACCAATTATTTGTAAAAGGCAAGAAAATTAAAAGACTGGTGAAGAGGATGGGTAGGTAAGAATGGACTGATAAAGAGTTGTGCAGTGGATCTATCCATTTGACGGATTGTATACCAGCCTCCCTCAACCTGGTGACCCCCAGTGTCATTGGACTCCCATCAGTCCCAGCCAGCATAGTGAATGGTCAGGGATGATGGGAATCATAGTCCAGCCACATGTGGAGAGATGCAGGCTCCCCATCTCTCATTTAAAGGGCTGGTAGAGGGGATCCGTCCTTTTGATGCTGGATGATGAGTAGGGATATTCATCCTTAGCTGGGAGGCAATAACTCTATATATTGGAGCACATATATTGGCTACAAGGGTTTTCGTGATTGCCTAAAGAGCACCAGGTAGTGTGCCTTGCATGTGGTGTTGGAGAAGAACTGTATGTTTTGGCACTCTCATAGAGTTAATTTTGCTTTTCTGACAGGTCATTGAACCACATGACATATCGGTGGCTCTCAACACTAGGAAACTGTGGAGCATGCATCTTCACGTTCAAGCGAAATTGCTGCAAGAAATAGTACGGTCCTTCTCTGGCTCCACCTGCCTGCCTATTCAGCACATGCTGAGACGCATTTGTGTTCAGTTGTGTGACTTGGCTTCGCCAACTGCTCTCCTTATTATGAGGACTGTTTTGGATCTGCTTGTAGAAGATTTGCAAAGGTACGATTTTATACATTGTCCTAAGGGTCTTTAAGTGGCAGTGCTAACCTGGTGCCCTTCAGAAGTTTTGGTCTATGACTCTCACCATAGCTGTGCAGATTAAGGATGATGGGAGTTTTGTTGAAGGCTTCTGTAGAACCTTTGCATGTTGAGGCTGGAAAATGGGCTATGCCTCTCCTATCTCATTCATGAATAGGCAGTGGCTGCCTTGGATTTAGGCCTTCTGTTTCTCTCCGTGCATGGTGATGGCTCTTGAAGGATGGAGCTGTGTGATGGCTCCTCCAGCTGGGAAATCCTGAGGGCTGCAGTAAATTGCTGCATGTATGGCATGAATATGACATGGAGAGGTGGGCTTCATACAGTTGGTAATAAGAGATGCCTCCACTAATGGAGAGGGCTGAAACATAGCATTTCTTTTCAATACTTTGTTAGGCTTACTGGCTTTGGATACCAAAGTCAAAACTAGTGGTTATCTCATCTTCGCTGGCAACTAGATACACAGCTAATTAATGACCGCAACCTGAAAACTATCAAATTACAGTGGTACCTCGGGTTAAGAACTTAATTCGTTCCAGAGGTCCATTCTTAACCTGAAACGGTTCTTAACCTGAGGCGTGCTTTCGCTAATGGGGCCTCCTGCTTCTGCTGTGCCGTTGGCGATTTCCGTTCTTATCCTGGGGCAAAGTTCTTAACCTGGAGCAGCCACTTCCTGGTTAGCGGAGTTTGTAACCCAAAGCGTCTGTAACCCGAGGTACCACTGCAATGGCAGCTCATTTGTGACAAAATCAGTGCCACTACAGTGGAAAAATTGCAGATAGATAGGTATTATATTATATATATACCCACACGCACACACGTGTATGAATCTTTTAATGGAAATTTCAGATCTGAAGTTTGTTTTGTCATAAATATGCATGCAGTATATTTGTCTTTTCTAATAAGAGCATTGGTGTCACTTCAGCAACCCAGAAGACAAAGAGAAGCAATACACTGGCCAGACTACCCGCTTGCTTGCGTTACTCGATGCCCTGGCTTCACACAAAGCTTGTAAACTGGCTATTTTGCACTTGATTAATGGAACTGTGAAAGGGGATGAGAAGTATGCTGAAGTTTTCCCAGAGCTTTTGTCTTTAATGCGAGCTGCAGGGGACAACATTATTCACCAGCAGTGTGCTGAGTTCTTGGCTTCTATTTTGCAGTCTCTCTGCGATCAGGTATTTAAAAATGAAAATCTAAAGAACCCTTTAATTTCATCCTGTATTGATTGTGCACATGTTGTCATGCATGTGGGGGTTGTCATGCATGTGGGCAGTGGGGTGGGGGGCTGTCCTGGAAGAAGTGCAAGTCTCCCCTTAGCAAACATGACAGGCTTGTCCAAGAAAATACAAAAAGGATGTCCCTACTCGCCATCTCCCCAGAACACCTAGCCAGCATGCCTTCAAGGAAGGAGAAAAATATACATGGAGGAAAACCAATGTAAGCTAAAAGGTGTGTGTATGTCTGTATAAATACTTCGTTTGTTTCCCAGATATAAATCTCTGCTCATTTCAAATCTCAATACACATTCCGATTGGTTCTCTCTGGTCATACCCCTGAACAACTGTATTCATTAAAAACCTGTTCTTCATTAATTCACAAATTGCACCAAGGCTGAATCTTCTTTCAGGAATTCATGAGTTGCACCAAGATTGAGTCCCTCTTCCTTTAATTGCATTCCTAAGTCTTATAAAACTATGCCATACCTATTTCCCGAGCCTGTTAGAAGAACCTTGAAACTGTTTGGTTTCTGGCAGAGAGGGATTGTTGCTGCCATCAACTCCTACCATAAATCTACCTCTCCTTTTCCAAACTAATTGCAGATAGGCTATATTTGCACAGCTATATAGTACCACCCCTATCTATTCTCGCTGAGGCTGGTGGGACTTCATTGTCACCAAAGGGCCTCAGATTCCCAATTCTTTTAGTAGCTGCACTCAAGAGCAGGCCGTTTCAAGTTCCGCTTTATAGAGCTTAATGAAACGGCTGTTGAGTGACACTTCATGTTTCTTTGCAAAGCTAAATGCTTTTAAATAAGTTTGGCCAGGAATCAGAAATTAGTTCTCAAGAGATCTAACAGGTTGTGAACAGCACTCCGTTCTGCATGGCAGACATTGCAGCTGTGGACAGTCTTGTAACTGTGAAGTCCTGTGGTGTGTGATAGTAGAGCTTTGCTTTTTGAAAAACCCCACTCGGTTGGTGCAAGCTCTAAAGTGGCTTTTGCCATGGCCCCAAGGGATGTCTGTGTGCCTTTCTGCCTTTTGTAATACTGTGATTTCTCTTTGCAGGATATTGCATTGGTCTTACCCAGTTCCACGGAGAGCACTCTCTCTGAATTGGAGCAGCTTTCAAATTCGTTGCCAAGCAAGGAACTCATGGCTTCCATCTGTGACTGCCTGATGGAGACATTTTCTAATGCTGAAAGCAGCTATAACTGTTTGCTGACTTGTATCAGGACAATGATGTTCCTTACCGAGCACGATTATGGATTCTATCACCTGAAGAGGTACAGTCCACACATACTCACACCGCAAAAATGTTTAGTTCAGCTCACTCCCCCCCCCCCCCGTGGGGCTTACAAAGCAGAATATTGTGCTTAATGTAATGTCAAATGTCACAGGCAACGGTTAACAGCAAGAACATACCAGTGTGGCATTTTTTGGTGCTGTTGGATCTTCTCTTTCCCTTGGAAAGAATTGTTCAAAGCTAACTGCATAATAAAACACTCAATTTGCAGATTCCTTTTAAAAAAGGATCTGGCAGTGTTCTTGTATAGTACAAATTCTTTTGTGAAGATGTTAATTAGGGCTTCTGGCGGATTAATGAAACCTTAGTCAGTTCATCACATGGGTTTCATTAAGTCATCAGATTTGCTTTAATGTGCATGTAATTGAGCCACAGTTCTGAACAAAGCATGCTTGTTTTATTTCAGGTAGTGTCTGATGTGGCGTAAAAGGTATTATCTTAGAAGGTGTATTCCCTCCTATATGTGAGAGGAGGAATTGCTTCTTCTAAGCTTTTGTTTTGGATTTAAAACATTTTAAAAATGCTGTTTAATTAATCAAGGACATCCTTTTAATTAACTGAAACATTGAAATACATATAAGTTCATTCAGTTGTGTTTCTGAAACTGCCTATGTTTTAAGTGCTTTAGATCTATTAATCATATTATTTTCATATGCTGTGTCAAAAACTGTATTGTTAACAACCTTTTTCTTTGAAACGAAAACAGCTCTCTAAGAAAACACTGTGGGGCTCTGCACACTGGATTGAAGCGAGTAGTGAGCAGCTTTAATAAGGACCCTGGAGAACTTGCATCTTCATTTCTGGATTTCCTGAGACAGATACTGAATTCTGATACACTGGTGAGTAAATGTGTACAGAGGGCTTTCTGAAGCTTTGCCTTTATTGCATTCTGTTGCATTTCAGCTCAGGAAAAGTAGCTGCAGTTTTCTTTAAAGCGTACAGCTGTAATACTTCCATCATACTTCCAAATTATGGTTATCTAACAGAATCCCAAAGGGCCAATTTTATTTATTTATTATTCAAGGGGATTTACCGTATTTTTCGCCCTATAGGACGCACTTTTTCCCCTCCAAAAATGAAGGGGAAATCTGGGTGCGTCCTATGGGGCGAATGCAGGCTTTCGCTGAAGCTTGGAGAGTGAGAGGGGTCGGTGCAGCGCCGGGCGCGCTGAAAGCAGAGCGCCCGGCACTTCGGGAACACATCCGCAGCCTAGGCAGCCCTGCGGGAGTTCCCCGCAAGGCTCCCCACGCTGCGGATAGCAGCCTGCCGCCCGGCGCATGAGGCACCCTGAAGCAGAGCGCCCCGCGCGCCGGGCAGACATCGGCCAGCCCCACAAGCTCGGAGGACAGCAGGGAGGCGCAGCGCCGCCATCCCGTTGTTCCTCGACCTGGTTCGGTTTCCCCGACCTGGTTTTGGGGGGGGGGGAATGGAAATTTTTTCCCCCTTTATTTCCCCCCAAAAAACTAGGTGCGTCCTATGGGACGGAGCGTCCTATGGGACGAAAAATACGGTATTTCCTACTTTTCTGTTACAATAATAATACTTAAGGTGGCTTACATCATTAAAAAATGTACACACACAGACACACACACAAACACATACAAACTCGAAACAACAAATAAGTAAACATTAAATCAGTAAAAACAGAATATAGTTTGCAGCAGGTGAAAACAAAGGAAATGTGAAAACCATTCAACCTGGTAGGTTATGTGCTGGCAGGGATAAAAATGCCTTAATAGAGTAGTGAAAACCCATGAGAGAGACAGAGAGAGAGTTCTAGCAAGAAACGTTTGAAGGTGGTTTTACAGGGAGATGTAAAAAAAAAATGTCATCAGTTAACTGCATTATGGTGCTGTGGTGTTACTGCTTTTGTACTCACGTAATGTACTTAATCTTCCTTAGGGATGTTGTGGGGATGACGGAAGTCTTGCAGAAGTTGATGGAGCCCATCCTGCCAGAACTTTGGGTCTTACCACTGCAGAATTAAAATACCAATTACAAAACAAAGAAGAAACTCCTGAAAATCTGCTCCTCGAGCTCGAAAAGCTAGTTTTGGTAATGTAATGTTCATATTTTTTTGTGTCGGTGCCAGATGTTTGAGAGTTAGGAGTCTGATAGTTTCTCATTGCTACTGTTCTGATTTGATTGTAATGCATTTTATATGTCTTTTTAAACATTTGTATATATATTCATTTTTATACAGTGTTTCTGAACACTGCCCATGTATCTTAACTAGATGACGGTCAGGCTACAAATATTAATAATAATTATAATTTGTAACTAGTGATAAAGCTAGGATGATTGTGTTGCCACTGTTTAGTACTGTTAGGAATGATCACTGTGGTTATTAGTTATGCATATTAAGCTTAGCTTTACATAAAATTATCAGGCTATACTTCTTGAACTTATTTATTACATTTTTCCTGCCCTTCCTCCCATGACGAATTGGCTCCACCACTTACAATTTGTTTCTCAATAGCCCTGTACGTGTACTAGATAACACTATAATAAATCTGAGTAGACCTATTGAAATCAGTCCATTGATTTCAGTATGACTGACTTTATGTCCATGATGCCATATGTCCATGATGTCAGCTGAATATGTATTTATTGAACGAGTTGCTGCTAGTTTGCTGTATCTTATCAGGTGGCAAAAATACTTAAATTTTGTCTGAGCTGCTAGTGATTGCAGTGTTCCTTACACAGGAGCGCTCAAAAGAAGATGACAGTCTGGAATCTTTATTGGACAATGTTGTTGGACTTCGGCAGATGCTGGAATCTGCTGGTGATCCTTGTCCACTGAGTGATCAAGATGTAGAGCCAATCCTTCCTGTACCAGAATCTCTCCAGCATCTTTTTAATAATAGGTAAGGTGCTGAATGTGCATCTGTGTCTGTGAAGAACTAGAATCTCTGAAAACCAGGTGTGTGTGGTGGTATATTTGGGACCGTGTTTAACTTCATGCATTTATCTTTACGGGCTATATGCATTACAACAGAGATTACCCAGTTCTCTTGTCTCAGTCCATCACCACACCCCCTTCCCCCCCCCCGCAAATGATAGGTTGAGGTTCTGAGAGTTGTCCAATTCTAGATCTTGTGACACAAGTATTGCACAAGTATGATGGATGTGCTTCTTTGTCAATTGTGATATCTCCCATTCTTTTTGTCAACATTGCTAAATGTCTCTTCTGATCCTTCTTTATTTGGAAATAATAGACGTTGAGTAGTCCAGCTTTCTTTTTATCATTGATCAGTGTCTTTCTTGAACAAAGCATAGACTCAATGTGTCCTTTTCGTTTGTCTTGTTTTAAACATACATAAAATTGTTTTCAACTTATGCACCTTTACTTATCACAGTATTGGTTTATCACAGTGTTGATTGTGAACCGTGTCCCTGGACAGATAGAAGGACAGGGCATATGTTTTTAAAATAACAAAATAAATAGTGTACCAATTGCTAAACAAAATACAGACGTGATACGGTCCGTGTCCTAGAAGGCTGTCAGGCTGTTTTTGATGACATAGGAAAGTAAAGCGCTTGATAGACATTGCAAAGAATAGGAGACAAGAGCACCTGGTCATAGCAGAGGTGCAAGTCATGTTCTCCATTGGGCATTAGGATGCTCCAAGTGGGATTGTGTTCTTGAGGAAGGAAGTGGTGAAGCCATGGCTCTTTAGGAAACGTTTTATTGGAGGAGTGGATGATGAATACCAGTTGGTAACATTTATTTCATATGGAGACAGCGAACACTGACCGTTATTTTTTTTTAAATACATTTGCTATTACAGGACTGCATACATCTTGGCAGATGTCATGGATGACCAGCTGAAATCTATGTGGTTCTCGCCATTCCAGGCTGAAGAAATTGAAACTGACCCTGACATGGTAAAAGTCTTGAGTTTTTAATACTTGAATGGGTGGGAACTGGAGCATTTCCAGCTTAATTGTCAGCAGTATTTTTGAGACCCCATTCATAGTGTAAGCAACAAAGAGGAATGTTAGGAATGTAGACAGATAAAAATGGGATACTCATTTAGCAGCAGCCTTCTAAGAGTGTTTCCTGTTTGGGGATGCTGACAGTTGTCTGGGGGAATGATTAAAGTGGAATGAATTTCTCACTCTTACAGGTAAAGGTTGACTTAATTGAACTGTCGGAAAAAGGATGCAGTGACTTCGACCTGCAGGCGGAGCTGGAGAGGTCTTTTTTGACAGAGCCTACTTCTCCGGGTCGGACAAAAACCACAAAAGGCTTTAAACTTGGCAAACACAAGCACGAGACGTTTATAACTTCCAGGTAACCAGTGGTTTTGATTGTGACTGTGTGCCTTAAGGTGGATTTCGATTTTGCCATTGCACTGGTGATGTATTTGTAATCACGGCATAGTGGGATCCAAGTAGATTTGAGTGACTTGAAAGGGTCCCTCCCACAAGTTGTTCTGCTGCAGCACTCTCTTTGAAAACCAAAATTAAAAAAAACAGATTTTACATTAACAGATTTTGCTGGTGCAAGGGAAGGGAGTGGAGGAGGAATGGTTCCTGTGAATGATAGAACTAACATGGGTTATAAAAGGCAGAATCTAGTTCTACCCAGAAGAAATTTAAAAGAGCCTGGGTTGGAAAAAAGCATCTTACATCCTCTAAAATGCTGCAGACAGGTGTGCCCGAGCAAAAACAAGAAAATTGACTGTGATAGGAACCTTAGAATGCAACACCTTTCTGTGTATTTTGCCATATAATAAGGTGGTACACATAAAGGAAGGGATCTCTTCTTCTTAGAAGCCCTCCTTCATCCTAGAGACTTAGGTAACTTAACTCCTGGAGCCAAGGGATGAGGGCATCAAAACTAAATTCTTAAGTCACAAATGGGCAACCTTCAGCTCAGGTGCCACATGGAGTTCTTGAACCTCTTGAAATTGCCCCCTTTCCCCGTCCCATCACAGTTACTTCCTTTCATTTTGTCCTTTTTACCCATGGCTTTTAAAGTGGTCTATCCTTATTCCTATGTAGTTTCAGAGCAATTGGAAGGGGCAGAATTGTATTTGATAAAAAATTGTTTTTGACTTCTTTCATGGTTGGTATGGCTTGGGGAAAAGAAAAGTTTCCCTCCTAGCTGCCTGAGAACAAAGTGTTAGGCTTCTGCTGTATATGTATATGGGAGAGAGTGGGTTAGCATGGAACACTATGCCAAACTATACCTTAGCTTAATGCTGGTTTTCCAGAGAGAAGGTTATGGCCTCTGAGGTCCTCTTCTTTCTGCTGCTGTGATGTGATTTGGCTCAGCATGTTGTCTGAACCCGGTTTCTTGGTTTGTCTAGCTCCAGACAAACCACAAACCTGGGTTTGGAGAAGAAACTAGCCCAACCATGGCTTTGCTTGCAGCAGGACAAGGGGAGGTGCATATTGGCTGCGATCTTTTCTTTCTCAGGTCTGACACTTGTGCGATTGCACTAAGCCACTGGTCTTCAGCTGGTGGGTCAGAACCTACTAGAAGGTCACATGACCTGTTCCAAGGTGGATTGCAACAGGTGCATTGCCACCATGCAGATAAATACATGGTGAATAATTAAGAAATGTGTCCCAAAGTGCATGTTTGGGTGCAAAATGCGTCCTCGGTTTGAAAAGGTTGAAGATACCGGCACTAAGCCATAGTTTGGCTTAGCCTTATGTGTGAACCAGATCAGAAAGGGAGGTTATTCACAAAGAAATTACTTTTAATTTCCAGAAGAGTCACGCTGTACTAAAAACATCCTCTATATACTAATATGAGAGTAACTGTCAAATCTAATCCGGCTACCTCGAATTTGAAAATTCAAAAATTGAAAATCGAAGCAGGGATGTCTTTATTCCAAATTATTTAATCCAGAACGTTTTTGTCTTTGGCTGTGCCTATCATTGGTTCAAACTCCAGCAACCACCATGCCGTTTGGATTAATTGCCACTAAAAATTTTGACTGAACAACTAACACTAATGCAGATGAATAGCAAGAGACAGGATAAGGGCTTGGAAAGGATAGGTGAAAGAGATGTATTTGCAAATGGCACGTCCGTATGGTTCTTCTAGCTTGTGAAGGACTGGTAAAGGTTCACATTCTCCTGTATGCGTTAATACCTGTGTCCTGCTAAACAAAATACCTCTTGTTAATGAATTTACCATGCGAAACTTCTGGCCTTAACAGTGGAAAGTCTGAATACATCGAACCTGCCAAGAGGGCCCATATTGTGCCTCCTCCGAGAGGAAGAGGCAGGGGAGCATTCGGCCAAGGCATTCGGCCCCACGATATCTTCCGTCAGAGAAAGCAGAACACAAGCAGGCCGCCCTCTATGCACGTTGACGATTTTGTGGCTGCCGAGAGCAAGGAAGTGGTTCCACCAGATGGGATACAGCCTCCCAAGAGACTGCCTAAAGTTTCACAGAAGATTTCTTCACGGGGCGGGTTCTCAGGGAATCGAGGAGGGCGAGGAGCCTTTCACAGTCCAAATAGATTCTTCACGCCACCTGCTTCGAAAGGTAGGTTTTCTGGTCCACCTGAAATATGTGAGCTTTATGCCTTCTGGAGGACAGATTTGAGGTTCCATTCATTCAGCGTGTTTCTTAAAGCAAAGTTAGTTGTAGCACTTCTGCTACTATTCACCATTGCAGCTATCTTTTTGGGGGTTTAGAGTCATGGAATTGTAGAGTTGTTGTTCTTGAGAATCATCTAGTCCAACCCCCTGCAATACAGGAATATGCAGCTGTCCTTTACAGGGATTGAACCTGCAACCTTGGTGTTATCAGCACCATCCACCCAGCTGAGCTATCTTTGCAGTAACCTTTGCCCACAAAGGATGCAATCTCAGGCTTTGGCCTTCTAGCCGCAGCCCCCTACAAACTGAGATGTTGTAAAAAAAAAGTTTGACGTTCTTTGATTCTCCAAACAGACCTGTTGCTGTCCCCATTTTACAGATGGGGAAATGAGAGGTAGAAGGAATGGCTTGTTCAAGACTGCTCAGTCTGTCCATGATAAATTTAGAACTTGGGCCTCCCAAATTAGCGTCCCGTAATCTGGCTGCCTGGCCAAGCTAGGTGCTACCTTCCATCCAGCATGCATGAAGCCTTTCAACTCAGATTGTGGGGTTGAATATTTAGAAACAAAGGCAATTCACAAATGGCTTAGTTGTTGTGCTTTTTCATTTAGGAAATTACAGTCGCCGTGAAGGAGCTAGAGGATCAAGCTGGAGCGCACAGAGTTCTCCGCGAGGCACCTACAATGAAAGCAGAGGCGGCCAAAGCAACTTCAATAGGGGCCCACTTCCACCTCTAAGGCCGTTAAGTTCAGCAGGTTTGTGGTTTCCCTCCCCTCACAATACTTCGTTGAAATTAAATGCACAGTCAGTTCTACCAGTGGTATTTTTCTTCAGTTTTGATTTATGGCACTTATCTCCTCCCTTTCTGTTTTACATAAAGCACCAAAAGACACCTTACAAAATTAAGTCAAAAATAATAAAATGGCTAAATGCAAACTCAAAAGAGACAAAAATGTCACTTTAAAAAGTTGGGTCAACAATGATGGGAGTTGTAGCAATATTTAGAGGGCCACAGTTTCCCTGTTCTTGCTTTATTGCATTTATATACTTTGTTTGCCAAGCATGGATTACAATTTAAAACACTAAAATGAAAGCAAAATAAACAGTTCAAAATATAGCTTTTTGGGGGTGGGAGGAGAGTTTCAGGCTGCTGATGTCCCTTCATGAGCTAATGACCTGATCTCCTTTGCATGGGCTTTTGATTCTGGGGTTGATCCACTGAAGCATAATTTTCATGTTTTACTTGCCGATGGTTGAAACTATTGCATCGTAAGTAAGTGTACATGTATGATGAAGAACACCAAAAGGTTGTGCTGTTCATTTTGATCTATGATCTGCAGTCTTAGCAAGATTAAATATATCACATATTTCCAGCCTGATTTTATAATAGAATCAGAGATGAAAGGGAACCTGAGGGTCATCTATGCAGGAATCTCAGCTAAAGTGTCCATGACAGATGGTCATCCCACCATAATGGGGCTTGCTCAGTAGTAAGCCTTAATTTTGTTGTTGTTTAGTCGTTTAGTCGTGTCCGACTCTTTGTGACCCCATGGACCAGAGCACGCCAGGCACTTCTGTCTTCCACTGCCTCCCGCAGTTTGGTCAGACTCATGTTTGTAGCTTCGAGAACACTGTCCAACCATCTCATCCTGTCGTCCCCTTCTCCTTGTGCCCTCCATCTTTCCCAACATCAGGGTCTTTTCCAGGGAGTCTTCTCTTCTCATGAGGTGGCCAAAGTATTGGAGGCAAGGGCAGTGTTCCCCATTTCCTTGGGGCAACAAGGGAGGCTGCCTACTCCCATAACAGCCTCTTGATTACCCCGTGTGGGTCGGAGAGATGGTATTGTCGGCCATCTTCCAATGCGCCCCCTAGTGGCCCCCGTAAGTCTTCATAGAATCGGTCAATTTCAGTTTCTTCAGCACCAGTGGTTGGTGAATAAACTTGGATTACTTTGATGTTAAAAGGTCTGCCTTGGATTCTAGTGAAGCTTAAATGAAACTAGGTGTGCTTAGGATTCTAGCATTAATAAGTTTGCCTTGGTGTCTGTTGCATAGTAGGCAAAAAAAACCTGGCTATTATGATGGCACAGATTTCTGTACAGTGCTGGTTAAATGTATATTGAGTTGTTCTGTATTAATATCATAGGTTGGAGGCTGTTTTTAGAGGCCTCAGTATAGTTGCAATGCATAATTTGGCCCTTATTTATATCCCAGTAGGAATCATCACTGTACTGTTACCAGTTATCTTTCTTTCTTTTTTTAAGGCTACCGGCCAAGTCCTCGTGATCGTGCTTCCAGAGGCCGTGGTGGAATTGGGCCATCTTGGGCAAGCACAAATAGCGGCAGTAGCGGTGGCTCAAGAGGAAAGTTTGTTGGCGGAGGCAGCGGAAGAGGGCGTCACGTCCGCTCTTTTACTCGATAAACACACCATTGAGAACATTCTGACTGTGAACCTTTCAAGATGGTGGCAAATTGCTTAAGTGCTTGAGGACCAACGCTAGACTTACTGGTATTGGGGGGCAGAAAAGAGACTTTTTTTTTTGGTTTGGAAAAAAAAATCCCATTTTGTTTGATACAAGATCTGAGATTTCAATAAAACTGGTTTTTGTGTTAGTGTGTGTGTGTTTATAGTTGCCTATGCTTTTATGGCGCTTACGCCAGAAGTACAAGTTTAGATTTGGTTTTAACAGTCTTGCAACATAGCCTTCATTTGGGGTAAGTAGCACCAGCCATTCCAAGGCAACAGCGTTTTATTTAACAAATTATATATACCACTTGATCGTAAAACAAACACCTTTAAGCTGTTGACAAAAATATAAAGTAAAACAATTTTTTAAAACAGGTATTTAAAAGCATTCGTTCAAAAATGATTAAAATCAACAGCCCCTGAAGAGGGAGTAGTCACATGTGACTTCTACTTGCTTCTATGAAAATGTTTAATAGCGGAGCCATGCATGTAGCTGCCTGAGTAGCAGTTGTTTTCCTTTGCATGTATTTTCCATCTCTGCGTATAGTGTGCACTCTTACCAAATCTCTGAGTCCTTAACTTCAAGAATACATAATCTGTAAGCTTTCACTTCTATATATACATACACCCGCACACAACACGGACATGTTATATTAGTTTTATTAGGTCAATTCATTTCATAGGATACCATAGCCAATGGTATGGGTCATCTCTTGTCAGCTGACACAAGTAGGAGCAAAGGTTTGTGGGAAGTTAGTCCATTTCCCTCAGGCTTTTCTCCTGCCTGATGCAGCTATACGTTCCTCCTTGGCTCTCCTGGCTTAAGCCAAGTTTCATTAGATTCCTTCATTTTTCTATTTGCTTCTTTTTTGTTTCTTCTCCTGAGTACACAGAACTTTGTTCTCTCCCCACCCCCCCTTCAGATCTTTTTATTATTATTATTCCTAAGAGTAAAACTAAAAAATAGTAAAACCATAAGACAGGAATTTAGTAACTCAAAAATAACTGAAATAAACCGCTAAGCTAAAAACAGACCAAAATGTTAACTTTTTCATGTCTGGAAAAACTTGCCTGAACAAAAATGTTTTAGCAGACACTGGAAAAAGTGCAGTGAATGTGCTTGCCTGATGTCAATAGGCATGGAGTTCCAAGTGTGGTGCACCTGTAATAGTGCCAGTGCTGAAGACTGAATTGACTGAATAGAAATATACGGGGTAAGGCAATTCCTGAAGTAAACTGTTTCTAACTGTTAAGGGCTTTATATACTAATGCTAACAGCTTGAAGTTGGTCCGGTAACAAACCTGCAATCGGTGCAGATCTCTGAGCGGAGGTGTTATCTGCTGACAGAATCTCATTGCTGTCAGCAGGTGGGCTGCAGGATTCTGCACTAATTGTCAGTTGCCAGATCCAGCAAAAGGAAGCACCACATAAAACAGACTGCAGCAATCTAATCTTAAATAACAGCCACCTATGGCTTTCACTTCATGCTTTCCAGTCGGGTCAGAGGTCGAACATGTGTTGCTTTCTTGCTTCCATCCCTAGTCAACCGACAGTCTTCCTGGAGAGTCTTCACTAACTCCAGTAATTCTAGCTTTTCAAGCTGTGCCTGCTCCAGTTCTTGGTGATGCTGCCTCTCTGTTGCCAGCAGGGTACGTATGTCAGACGACATCCTGGACATCTGGCTCTGAAAAGCGTAAGGGAGTTTTTCAAGTGTTGCATTGGGACTGCCTGTTAACAGTTAGATGCTCACAATTCCCTATCTATTACATTTGTTTCTTCCCCTTCCTCCAAGGACCTCAGGGTAGCATACAGATAACAGAGCCTACATTTCATGGATCTGCGCCTTTCAGGTATCCAGACTGCTGCAAAACAGATCTGTTTCTGCCCGCTCTCCAAGGCAAGGGAAAGAGGCTGCATTGTCCAGGAATGACTTGGGCCCAGACCCAAATGCTTCTGTACCCAGAGTTGAGGGTAAAGCAAAATGTGCATGGGCATTCTGAGGGCTATTGCAATGATTGTGCTCTCCCTGTTATTCCAATACATTTGGGAAAAGAGAACTCAGCAGGTGGGGGATGTGTGGTAGGGAAGGCTCTTCTAGGCCAACTTGGAAGTATCTGGTTTTTTATTAATGGTCCATCTCCAAATTAATATAATACTAATGGGACTGGAGGAAGTTTGCCAGTCACCAATAGCAATGCTTCCTTGCTTATGTGAATTGTAGTTAAAATACCTGCTGCTGAAACTATTGGTTCTAAAATAGATGCTGTAGGTGAGACTTCCCCAATTTGATGCTCCCCCGCTGATGTTGGACTTCAACTCCCATCAGTCCCAGCTGGCCTGGCCAATGAGCAAGGATGATTGGAATTGTAGTCCAAATCACCTGGACAACACAAGGTTGGGGAAGGTAGCTGTCAGGTGCTTGAGGACTGCGGCTACCTTCTGGAAACTGAAAAAGTACAGTGGTACCTCGGGTTACATACGCTTCAGGTTACATACACTTATAATAATAATAATAATAAATTTTATTTATATCCCACCCTCCCCAGCCGAAGCCGGGCTCAGGGTGGCTAACAACAATAAAATAGTGCAACGTTCTAAAAACATTTCATTACAAAAATTAATTAAAATCAAATTGATGGCAACCATTAAGCTAAAGTTCTGTGAACTTGCCAAAGGAGGGAGTCAGGCTGCTCCCTGACCAAAGGCCTGGTGGAACAGCTCTGCCTTGCAGGCCCTGCGGAAAGATGTCAAGTCCCACAGGGCCCTAGTCTCTTGTGACAGAGCGTTCCACCAGATTGGAGCCACAGCCGAGAAAGCCCTGGCTCTAGTTGAGGCCAGCCTAACCTCTCTGAGGCCTGGGACCTTCAGGATGTTTTTATTTGAAGACCGTAAGTTCCTCTGTGGGACATACCAGGAGAGGGTGTCCCATAGGTACGAGGGTCCTAGGCCGTATAGAGCTTTAAAGGTTAAAACCAGCACCTTAAACCTGATCCTGTACTCCACCGGGAGCCAGTGCAGCTGGTATAGCACCGGGTGAATGTGATCTTGCAGCAAAGACCCCGTAAGGAGTCTTGCCGCGGCATTCTGCACCCGCTGGAGTTTCTGGGTCAGTTTCAAGGGCAGCCCCACGTAGAGCGAGTTACAATAATCCAGTCTGGAGGTGACCGTTGCGTGGATCACAGTGGCTAGGTCAGGGCGAGAGAGGTAAGGAGCCTACTGCTTAGCTTGGCGGAGATGAAAAAATGCCGCCTTTGTTATAGCTGCAATCTGCGCCTCCATGGAGAGGGAGGTATCGAAGATTACACCCAAACTCTTAACGGACGGTGCTGGCACTAATTGCACCCCCGCAAGAGATGGGAGTTGCTCCCTCAATCCCATATCGTCCCGTCCCAGCCAGAGGACCTCTGTCTTCGAAGGATTTAACTTCAACCGGCTCCCATGTAACCATCCAGCCACAGCTTCCAAACATCTGATCAGTGTGTCTGGGGCCGAGTCAGGATGGCCATCCATCAACAGATAGAGTTGGGTGTCATCGGCATACTGATGGCAACCCAGCCCAAAACTCCGGACAAGCTGGGCGAGGGGGCGCATAAAGATGTTAAAAAGCATCGGGGAGAGTATCGCACAGAGGCACTCCACATACCAAGGAGTGGCGCGATGCCAATTCCCCAAGCGCCACCCTCTGTCCCCGACCAGAGAGAAACGAGCACAGCCATTGAAGGACTGTGCCCTGGATACCCACGTCGGCAAGGCGGTGGTCCAGGAGTTCATGATCGACCATGTCAAAGGCTGCTGACAGGTCTAGAAGAATCAGCAGCCCCGACCCGCCTCGATCCAGCTGCCTGCGGAGATCATCTGTTAGGGCAACCAGAGCCGTCTTGGTCCCATGACACTTCAGGTTACAGACTCCGCTAACCCAGAAATAGTACCTTGGGTTAAGAACTTTGCTTCAGGATAAGAACAGAAATCGTGCTCCAGCGGCGCGGTGGCAGCGGGAGACCCCATTAGCTAAAGTGGTGCTTCAGGTTAAGAACGGACCTCCGGAACGAATTAAGTACTTAACCTGAGGTTCCACTGTACAGCACAGAATAAAGCTGTCAGGAATACCAATTCACCAGAGGCAACATTTTAAGGGAGGGAGATGACCTCGTAGCTAATGGCAATACAATTCGTTTACCTTTAGCTCTTCAATCTGATTTTGCAAAAGACTCTCCTTTTGCACCATATGCTTCCTTTGAGAATCTAGTCGAGATTCCATCTCATGTTTTGCTTCTTCCATCCGGCAGATCATCTCTGACCTTAAAAAACAAAACACTTTTTGTTAATCAGACTATCTGTCTTTAATCTGAATACAGAGGAAACTTGAAACGTATGCACATTCAGTTTTATGCACTTGGCAATTTTTTTTTTTTAAGGGGGCGAATGTCTGGGAAAAAAGACTGTGGCAATCCCTCCCGCCATTGTCTTATCTTACTGTTCATCCTGCTTTAATTTTGAAAAGGATTGCTTGGACTGAAACAAACAACATGCACCTGTTCATATGTAAGCTAAGTTAATACGCTGATTTGTTTCCGCTTGGGAGGAGGGCAGCTGGTGCAGCTGAACCGTGTGCACCAGGAAATTGATCATTCACAAAAAGAGATGGTTTGTTTTAGATCAGGGCTTACCATTATACGTGAACAGGGCCACTAATTACCAAAACAGGAAGTAGTGTTTAATCCATCAGTTTTGCACTAATTATTCTGTAAGTCACAAACAAGTTCTTTTTTTTTTAATCTTCCATCTGTTTTATGCAATATCTGCATCTTCCTTTGGCCCAAGATAAACATCTCATTTTAACAGCCCCAGCTTCACTCACATAGGCAGATCCCATAAGCTAGTACTGGCAAAGAAGCTTTTCATTTATGATTAACTTAGGTTTCAGGTTACCACTAAGCAGCGCACAAGCTTATGTTACACAAAAAAGATGTCAACAAATCTTTTATTTCAATCAAATCAGGATGATAGAATACCAGGTGTAACTCGGGTGGGAAGATAGGAGGAAGAGATGGTGATAGCAATAGAAGCAATTTGCCAAGTTACCAAACTGGTTTCCTGAGCACCCAGGAAATTGCAGCAGTATTGAAGAACAGTCCCCTTGTGTATGTTTTAGAGAGATGGGCAAAATATTTAGGTGTCAGTTCATGCTTTAGGCATGGCCAAACTTGGCCCTCCAGATGTTTTGGGACCACAACTCCCATCATCCCTAGCTAACAGGACCAGTGGTCAGGGATGATGGGAATTGTAGTCCCCAAACATCTGGAGGGCCAAGTCAATCCATGAGCAGCCAAGGTAAGGGGAAGAATAGCTTTACCTGAGCAGTTCGAGTTCTGTTCTCAGCTCTGCCACACAGTTATGTTGCGCATCATCAGCACTGAGGATGGCATACCCACAACCTTTGGGGCACTCGCGGCTCCTGTATTCACACACGGCCAAGTGGCTGTCTAGGTTACGTCTTTCAACCCGAGCTGGGCAACCTGATTGGAAAGCAGAAGATTGGAGGAAGTGCACCAGAGAGAGAGAGAATTATTTCATTTTCCCCATAATCTTCTGACATGGAGACAATGACAGACTGTGCTCCAGAGAGGTCACTTCAGTGCTGCTAATGCAGCAAAAACAATGTGGAAGGCAGCAGTGACGAGCTACTGGTTTCTGCAGCCCCTGTGATTCTCCAGCAGTTTGACTTACCCCTAGAGGCGCACTCCATTCTCTCTCAAGACAGAAGGATGCTAACAACAGCACTACCACCACTCTCTCTTTTTTTTAAGGCAAAGGGACCCCTGACCGTTAGGTCCAGTCGTGGCCGACTCTGGGGTTGCGGCGCTCATCTCGCTCTATCGGCTGAGGGAGCTGGCGTACAGCTTCTGGGTCATGTGGCCAGCATGACTAAGCCACTTCTGGCGAACCAGAGAAGCGCACGGAAACGCCGTTTACCTTCCCGCCAGAGCAGTAATTATTTATCTACTTGCACTTTGACGTGTTTTCGAACTGCTAGGTTGGCAGGAGCAGGGACCAAACAACGGGAGCTCACCCCGTCGCGGGGATTTGAACTGCCGATCTTCTGATCGGCAAGCCCTAGGCCCTGTGGTTTAACCTACAGCGCCACCCGCGTCCCACTACCACCACTCTTGAGGAATCTAGGTTAGTGTTTCCTACTGTGCGCAGGTACAAAGATTCTCCACGGGGCCAATGGCACATCAGCTGCCTTTCAGTTCCCCAAACAACAACACTGAATCCATACCTTGCTTTGGCTAGCGTTGGCAACAGGTAGAAATGGAACAGGAAGGGGTGTTCACACAGGCAAAGAAACAGAGAAGGCCCACTCTGCAACAGCCACTAACTCTGGGAATTCCCTTTAGTCTACATTCCAGAACCGTGGGACTGAATTCAGGTGAAAACGGAGATCTACCATCTGTTTGCAAGATAACCATCTCTGCATTCTACCTACCGCTATTTGAACAGGGGACCCGGCTGCATTCACACTCGCGTTCATGTCGGTCAATGGATTCCAGTGAACACACCATTTCACAGCCACACTCTCTGTTCCTGCAGTGAATCTGGAGTCGATTGAGATCATTCTTCATGTATCTGGGTACAGAAGTTAATTATTTTTATTCTTGCAATACTGCTTGCTAAGATATAACATATCACATGCTCCCTAGTTCTCTGAGTGGTAAGACATTCCAGAGTCAGCGCTAACTGATTCAGTTTTCTTTGAATGAGGCCACATGGCAAACTAACCGTGACTGCGTAATATTTGGTTTTCTTGCAAGTATACAGGCAGAGCACAGGCAAAGGTAAACAGCAGATCCCCAGAAAGGCAACTTGCACAAGACATTTCTAGCCTTGATGTTAAGAGCTTCCACACTCTACCTCCTGCCTATCCCCTAAAACTGCTGCACTAACTTCCATACATTACACCGACCAACCACTTCAGCTTGGCTGTGGTGTCACCCTCCTTACTCCTAACGTTCTGGAGAAATATCTGTATCAAGAAGCCATCTTCTAACAATTAGTTCCTATGGAAAGACATCCCCTGGCCACTGTCAGCCACTAACCATAATATCCTTTCCTCAAAACTTAAGACTATGATCAGCCATCGCATTAAGGCAGGGGTGGGAAATCACAGGTCTGATCACCGAATGTGACCCTTCAGACCTACCTGGCTGTCAGGATTTCTTCCCTGCTATACCCCTCACAGGCCATGCTCACCACTGGCATGTTGCCCCTGGAAGGCAACACCCCCTTGTCACGATTAAAATGCACACGTTTCCAGAAAGTTGGCAACCCTAATGAAGCAGAAGCACCATGGCCAACTTGCGTTATTTGGCAACACAGTTAAGTCAACACTTGTTTGTGACATTTATGTTTAAGATGTGTTCATTCTTTAGTACATACAATACTTTAAAAACATGTATTGTGGGTATAACCACTTATGCTGTTCTATCCTTTTGTTTTTCAAAAGTTGTGTTTTTAAAACCTTAACTGTTAGTAGGTTAATGAAGCTTTAAGCAGTTCAAAGTGTTGGTGCTGACCTTTAAAGCCCTAAATGGCCTCAGGTCAGTATACCTGAAGGAGCGTCTTCACCTCCATCGTTCTGCCCGGACACTGAGGTCCAGCGCCGAGGGCCTTCTGGTGGTTCCCTCGCTACGAGAAGCCAAGTTACAGGGAACTTGCCTTCTCGGTAGTGGCACCCGCCCTGTGGAACGCCCTCCACCATATGTCAAAGAGAAAAATAACTACCAAACTTTTAGAAGACATCTGATGGCAGCCCTGTTTAGGGAAGCTTTTAATGTTTAATAGGTTGTTGTATTTTAGTGTTTTGTTGGAAGCCGCCCAGAGTGGCTGGGGAAACCCAGCCAGATTATTATTATTATTACTATTATTATTTGCTCCAACCTTGAGAAAAGGAGATTGGTCAAGCCAAGAATTTTCCTAGCAACTGCACATTTCTGTTCTAGCAGAAATTGTGTGTGTGTGTGTGTGTGTGTGTGTGTGTGTGTGTGTTTCTTCTCTGCAAAGCAGCAAGGTTAAAAGGGGTGCAATCAGAGGTGTGAATTCAGATCAAGCCGAAGCTTTGTGATGCAAGCAATCTGGACTTTGCTACTTACTCTGGACCTATGTAATAGGATTATGTTTCCACGTATGAGAAGAGGACAATATAGAGATATTTTTGATAAACTGGAACTTGGCACTGGATCCTGTGGGACAGAACATTCTTGTCTATCCTGCATTTCTATAAAAGCAGTTCCCTCTTTATTCCAATTTGGAAAAGGCTACACAGTGAACCCCCAAAGAGTTAATGTGTCTGCAGCACATCCTGCTGCTGCACTCTTTTCTTATACAGTGGTACCTCTGGATATGAACACCTCTGGTTGCGTATCCTTCAAGATGCAAATGCGGTAAACCCGGAAATATTTTTCTGAGTTTTGCTGCACGCGCATGCGCAGAAGTGCTCTACCGCGCCGTGCGCAGAACAGGCACCTCTGGTTGCGAATTCCTCAGGATCCGACCAGAGCTCCAGAACGGATCCTGTGCACAACTGGAGGTACCACTGTACATCTCTTTCTTTGTGGGAACATTTTCTCTTCAGAGTGAAATAGACCAAATCTAGGCTTACTTAGCCTAGTCAATTTCATTAATTTGCATGACATATGGGGTAGTAACTTTAGTAAGGAAAACTAATCAAACAGGATGCTCCATCCCTTAGCCTTACATTTGCACATTTGCTCAATCTACTAGTGTAGGATTAGATTTCATGATAGCGGCGAGTTGGACTCAGAAATAATTACGCACCTGTAAAGCGGTCGAAGGACAGACAGATCAAGTGGCTGACGATCTTCTGGGCAGTTGCTGTGATGAACAAGCCACCCATGTATGCAGGAAGTGCAGAAAGCATGTTCGCAAGGAGCCTGCAAGGGATCTTCCAACACATCTCGGCAGATACAGCACAGGAGACCTTCATTCACGTAACCGACGAAGCGCTCAATATCATATCCCATTTTCTTAACGACCTCTAGCCTGCTATGGAAATGAAAGCACAGAATTAGTAACTGCGGCCACATTGCCTTTGAAAGTCAAGTGAGAACATTATCAGCCTTGCACCTTAAGGTCTGAAGAGATATGATACAGAGGGAGTGAAGTGGCTTGTGAGTTTTATGCTGTGAACCGTCAGAATCTGGAAGCAATTCCAATTTGCAACATTTCCCCAAGCATGCAAAGCCATAGCATAGACAAGAGCAAACTTACACTTTTTTGTTCATTTAGTTGCATCTCAACCCTCAAGAGGGCCCTTTTTATAGAAAAATGAATTGAATTGATTTCAAGCTTCTTTGCAACATGTCACAGCCCTTCAAAAAATAATACATTGCCTTTTCAGTATTCAGTTTCTTCTCAGAGAAACCCTAATTAGATTTAGGAGGATTAATGCTTCTTTCTCCATTAAGCACGTAAAGCAGCCAGAGCACCTGATCAAAGCAACTAAGAGCCACCTGCTTCTTTCTCAGGTGTCATTCTAGAAAGATTCTCTGGATTAAGTGGCATATGGAATGGGTTCTAAACACTGAGCTTACAAAGTGTTTATAATGTGAACTGTGCATGTGTTTCGAGATGCTAAAAAACTGTTGAACAGAATGTACTCACTCTGTAATAACACAGTTCCATATTTTTAATGGTGGGGCTATTTTTCTTTTTTAATATGGAACATTCTGATACTTTCTGCGGGAAATTATATATATTTTTGGTAAAGCATAATGTTATAGAACAGGCACGTCCAACTCCCAAGAGACTGCAATTTACTCCCAGTATAAATTTACTGGCCAGTATAAAATTTACTCCCAGTATAAATTTACTGGCCAGTATAAAAAAACTTGCCAACAAAGGTCCGTATAGTTAAAGCTATGGTTTTCCTAGTAGTGATGAATGGAAGTGAGCGCTGGACCATAAAGAAGGCTGATCGCCAAAGAATTGATGCTTTTGAATTATGGTGCTGGAGGAGACTCTTGAGAGTCCCATGGACTGCAAGAAGATCAAACCTCTCCATTCTGAAGGAAATCAGTCCTGAGTGCTCACTGGAAGGACAGATCCTGAAGCTGAGGCTCCAATACTTTGGCCACCTCATGAGAAGAGAAGACTCCCTGGAAAAGACCCTGATGTTGGGAAAGATGGAGGGCACAAGGAGAAGGGGACGACAGAGGACGAGATGGTTGGACAGTGTTCTCGAAGCTACCAGCATGAGTTTGACCAAACTGCGGGAGGCAGTGGAAGACAGGAGTGCCTGGCGTGCTCTGGTCCATGGGGTCACAAAGAGTCGGACACAACTAAACGACTAAACAACAACAACATAAAAAAATTGGCAGTGATCTACCCATTGCCATTGGAGAGAGGAGGAGTGTGCGTGGGGTGGGTGGACTGCACATGAGCATTTTTGTCTTGGAAGATGTTTAGTAGGGCCAATTCTGGGGTGATTTTTAATACTTGCTTAGTTATTTTACATATTTCTCGTATGGCTGTTGCCCAGAATAGTTGGATTTTGGGGCACTCCCACATGTGGAGGTATGTGCCTGTGGAGGTGCACCCTCTCCAGCATTTTGGTGAGGTTCCTGGGCGTATTAGTGCTAGTTTTCTTGGTGTTAGGTACCACCTGTAGGTGAGTTTCAGAGTGAGTTCTTTTCTTTTCGTTTATATGGATTTAAAGGGGGGGGGGTTAGACCACATTTTGGTCCATTGAGTGGGGTTAATCTCATAGCCTATGTTATCCTCTCATTGTTTTTTGATTGCGTCCAGGGGGTTCGTGGGAATTTGGAGTAGTATTTTGTATATTGCAGATACCATCCTTTTACCGTGTCCCTTGGTTGTTAGGAGGAGGTTTTTGAAGGTTGTCAGGGGCCTAGTTGCTGCTGATTTTACTGCTGGGTTGTTTAAGTGGGCATGTTTAAGTGGGTGTTGTGCTAACCAGGGCATTTGGGTGTCTTCTAGTTTGTTCTGTATTTCTTGTGTTGACAAAGGTTTGTTATTTTTATAGAAGTCTATTAGGCGATATAAGCCTTAAGTTTTCCAGGTTTTTATCTGGAGGTTTTGTGCTGCATGGTGGAATAATGAGTGGCACGCCAGGGAATTAGGGGGGATGGGGTTGGGGATAGTTTGCCTATTTGTTTTCCATGCTTTGAGCATGGTCTGTGTGTACCTGCTAAGTGTTGTGGGAATTTTCCTTAGTTTGTTTCGGAAGAGTGGGTATGATGTGGTGCAAGTATTTTCAATTTTGTCCCTCTCTAGGTGTATCCATTGTTTTGTCTCATCTTCTAGTATATATGGGATTATATGGCGTATTTGGTTGGCAATGTAATATGCTTCTATGTTGGGGATTCCCCATCCTCCTTCTGAGGTGGGGAGGTGCAGGTATTTGGGGCTTATTCTTGGGTTTTTTATGTGAGAAGATAAAAGAGTGTAGTTTTCTCTGCCATCTGCGGAGTTGGGTTGGGGAAATCCAGATTGGGAGGGTTTGGAATAGGTAGGTTAGTTTTGGAAGGGTGATCATTTTGATCATGGCTATTTTGTCTGAGAGAATGAAATTCATGTTGTTCCATCTCTTTAGGTCTTTGTTAATTTGTCGCCACAGGGGCTTGTAGTTGTGGAGGTACAATTTATTGAGGTTTCTGGCTATTTGTACCCCATGGTATCTGAACTTGGTGTGGCAAAGTTTTATTTTGGTGACATTAGTGAGTTCTTTTTGGGTGTGAAGAGGGGTGTTGACATCCCTGTTACAGAACATAAAGTAAGCAAATTATTACATTTTCCTATCAGTAGCCTGCTGTGTTCCCTATAAAGAATTCTATGTTATAAAAATGGCTCTGTACAAACTGTGATTTTTAATTGTCTCACTCTGCTTCATCGCGCCTCTCTCCAAGAACATGGAAAACACGTTTATTTGTTAAGCTTCCTAAGTAAATGATCCCTGCACTCAACCCACTGGTCGCAATTAGCTGCCACCTCTACTTTTCACACAGCTACAGAAAACATATTCTAAATTTTGACAGCAGGAAACAACAGGGGAAAGGGGAAGAAAGCAGATGGGAAGCAGCATGTGACTGTTTTGGTCACAGGGGCTTAGGGCCAGCCTTTCCAACCCTAGTTTGCACATCTATGCTCAAAAGTTCAAGCCAGCACAGTTGGTCAAAACATTTGGAGGGCAAATGAGCCAGTGTGGTGTAGTGGTTAGAGTGTTGGACTAGGACCTGGAATCCTCATGAAGCTCACTGGGTAACCTTGGGCCATTCACCCACTGAGAGAGAACTATGGAGAGAACTATGTATGTCACCTTGAGCTCCTTGGAGGAAAGGTTGGGCATAAATAAAATGAGAAGAATAGGTACAGCTGGCTAGGGGACATGCTATCTGGAGATGCTGGTGACTGAACTAGGCGCCTTCTGCAGGCAAGCAGATGCTCTTACCCCTGAGCTATGGCACTGGAGAGCTTTGCTATTTTATTTTATTTCACAGAATTTATAGGCCCCTTGAGTGTAGAAGAAAAAACAAACCCCTGAAAGCGGTTTTACAGAAAGCCACGACTCCTCCATCTTATGCTATAACAACTGTCAGCAAAAGCAGACTAAGGCAGCTGCTCCGGATTCAGGATGTCAGCAACTTGGTACAGAACCGTAGTTCCCAACGTGGGGCACACGCCCCACAGGGGGGCAATTTGATTTTTAAGGGGGGGCAATTCAAGAATGAGTTATTAACAGTTCATGGTCTTTTAGGCTTCCTCCACGTGAATAGCCCCCCCTTGACATATAATAAAAATTATATGTCAATCGGGAGGGGGGCGCATCAGGATTTTAAAGATGCTTAGGTGGGGCATGGCCAAAAAAGGGTTGGGAACTACTGGTACAGAATCACAGAATGGTACCCAAGGTGCTTTTGACAAAAGTGGGCTGTTGGTTCCCCAAAGTTCACACTGCAACCTATTGTTAAGCCTTTTCAAAAAATAAAATAAAATAAAAGCTGAGCACCCTTGGAAATCAGTTTTAGCCTTTTCTCTTTGGGGAGGGGGAGGGTTACTTTTTAAAGGCATACAGGCAAAAGCGCTATCAGAAAACAAGGGGAGCCACCTGCCTCAAAGCTTCCCACCCAAGGCAGGTTTCAGGGTGGCGATTCCTCTCCTCCTTCCCGCCCTCCAAGCGAAAGCCCAGAAACAGCTCTTCTTCGCCTCACCCGCTTCGCGAAAGCGCGATTCCGCAACATAAATGCGCCCCGCAGGCCACCGTCCAGTCCCTACGCGCCTCCACCCCCGCCAATAAGAGGAGAAAGGGGCTGGCCTGGCCCCGCCTTCTTCGCACGCGACCGCTCAGCTGGCCCCTTTCTTCGCGGTAGACTTAGAATAAATAGAGCCGCACGTGCTTTGCAACTTCCGAGTTTTTCGTGATGCTTTTTTTTTTGAGCTGCTCATAGAAAGCAATGGAACAAATACAGGATTTTAGAGCACCCTTTCTTTTTTTTGCAGGCAGGGCGCGTTCTGCTAAAGCAAAAGAAAGCAGGAGCCCTTCCTCTTTCCAACTCGGATCTTATTTATTGCGGGGGGGGGGGGATGTGTCAAATTTCAGAGCAGCCATTCGGTTAGAAGACAATCGCAAAGGATTGCTTTTGAAGTCATTTCAGCACCGGGTGGAAAAGAAAATCGCCACAACGCCTCCGCCCTATCCTGGATTTTGGCAGAACAAAGGTGGCAACCCTAGAACTTAACCCGGGAGGGCGCAGGTTGGGAGAGGCTAGGCTAATAAGGGGCGTTTGGCAGGGAAAGGCGTTACCTGTAAATGCACATTAAACCTCAGCGCCACCATCTGATCAGCAGTTTGAACGATGGGCTACACGGCAGGGCCGCCCTAAGACACTCCCCGCACCCCAGTCACGACTTACGCTAATATCCTGGCTCTGCCTGCTGTCTTCTATGGGTAGCTCTGAGCGGGGATGAAAAGGAGAAAAATATACCCTGCAAGTTCCAAATCTGTGTTGGAGTGAGTTGCTCTATATTTTTATCTCTATGACTCTCGGCCATTCATCCTCTTCAGCCTCGCGAATCGGTTAACGCCCTCCTCTGCCAGCGCCGTATTTTCCTGCGAAAACGAGTAACCTAGGCAACGGGGGAAGGAGAGGAAGGCACTTTGCGACAAATACGCTTGATGGCCAGAGCGTAAGCGTACCCGGCGGCCCGCCATGTCGAGCGCGGCAAAAGCACCAGCGGAGCATGCGCAGTAGGGTTTCTTTCGTACCTCCTGGCAGCCCTCAAGAGAGGCGAGGGCGGAGGCGAGCGCCGCGCATGAATGCTGGTCATGCGCAGTGGGGCGAACGGAGGGCGCGATAAATCGAGAGCTGCCTGGGGCGATCAGCTGCGCATGCGCCGTTTGGCGAACGATAGGGCGACGGTGCTGTCTTGGCGGGACGGTTAAATTGCAAAGTAAGTGCGGCGTCGTGTTAAGACTGGGAGGGGGCTGAGGCAGTCCTTCCTCAGAGGCTTAGGGTGGGGATTCAATAACTGGGCTGGCTGTACCTAGTGCGCTTCTGCTTTTCAGGTTTCCGTTTCCACAAACACGAAAGATACTCTGTATATGCTCAGAGGCTCTTGCTCCCTCGGTTCAGTTTTAACAAGACCGTGTTTTCTTTCCTTCGGGGGACAAATATATGTTTCTGGTGCTCGGTGTAAGAACCTGAATAGGAGTTTTGTTCCTGCATATATGAAATTAATAAATATAAGCAACTGACACAAATGGCCAGCAGAGGCCTGAGGAAATAGAGGGCTTTATGGTTTTTTTTGTTTTTTTTTTAAGCAAGCACCTGGACAACATTGCCGGCATTTGCCTTGGCTCACAGTGGAGGTGAGGAGAGGGTTGCCACAAGAAATGAAAAGTTACTGTGAAATGAATCTCTTTGGACTGTGGCAGAGTCAGGAGATGAATGTAGTGGGTTGAAAGTAGTGATTGGGCAGGTTGATACAAAAAAAAAAAAAAGTGCTCCCATGGGTAGTCTGGTGCTTAAGGAATCATTAAAACTTTCAACTTAACCTGAGAATATAAAAGTCTTCACCTGACACCAAAATAGTGGTGGGTACCAGGTTAGCCTCCCTCAGGACTCCAAAGAATTGCTTGACCACAGCTGCCCTCTTCCTACCACCCACCTAATAAGGCTGGTACACCTGGAGGAGAAACAAGAGGAACCATACTTCCTAGTTTTTTGGGTATTTTCTCACTAGTGTGAGAACAGGAATAGGATATGTTCTGGGAAGTATTTAAGAGTTTCTTTCTCTAGGGCTCGCTTTTTAAAACAAACTTCTTTTTTTGCTGTTTTTCAGACCAACAGAACCGAACATGAGACGATCAGCAGCTCCTAGTCAACTGATGGGAAATTTAGTCAAAAAGCCAAGGTTTATACCTCCAGGAAAAACCCATATGTTGTCTCTGAAAAAAGAATCTGAACGCTCAGGCTCAGAGGTAATATTAAAAGGGAGGAAGGAAGCAAGTGTAATATTATTACTGAATGAAAACTGTACTTGAAGAATCTATGTCAGAAATCCATGGAATCTTAATTCTCACTGGGGTAATAGGTTTCTTTCTGGCCTAGGCTATAAGGGGCTTACGGTATCAGATGCTTCACTCACAAATTTCTTCCATATAGAAGACAAGCTGTCAGGGAGTGCCAGTATCACTTCCACTCTGATACTTAACTTTCTGTATGCAGGGATTTATTTATTTTTCGGTGGGGGAGTATGCAATCATGTATGCTGCCACTTGCAACCTGAAGCTGTCCAGCCCAGATGCATGTTTACTTGTAATTTTGCATTCTGCTCTGTTAGTCCATATGTAGAAGGGTCCTGAAAGCAAAACTATAGACAAATCGTCTGAAAAATGACTCCACAGCTAAACATCAGTGGCATCAGTTGAAACTGGTTCACTCAATGGCAGCGTTTGCATGTCACAATAGTTGATGGTTTACTGTCAACGTGCAGAAGTCTCCCACTTCATTCCTCCCTTCTAGCCAGTGGAAGAAAAAAATACAATCCCTAGCTTACTGTTCCATTCAAACTAGGGATTGTGATTTGTTTCACTCAAAGCAAACCACTATGTGAAGCCAAAGTTTCTAGGTTTACCAGTTGGATTTTGGTTGAAGCGAAATAAACAATGACTCCCAGTTTGGATGTAATGGCAAGCCAGGGATTTTGGTTTGCTGCACCCACTCTCACCAGGGGATGAACAAAGTGGAAGTGATCACTTTGTGCGTGGTAAACTATTACCTTTGGCATACTAGAACACACAGACCAGGCCTTTGTTCTTTTGCACGTGTGTTAAGATTGTGCCATGGTTTGTACAGTATCTTTATATTAATGTGGAACTTAGGGATGCTGTGTGAGCACAATGCTTGGTACTGAATAGAGCCACAAATACTAGATTCATATGTTATTTCAAAGTACATATGTGCAGAAGGCCGATGTTAGCCTTCGTGTCCTAGAGAAGCCTTTCTCCCACTACTTCAGTTTTCATTTGTGTTCTTTCCCCAAAGTTCTCTAAAGGAAGGCTAGAGAAATATATCTGCTCCCAGTAACTCTGCCCCAGTCCCAGAAGTTCTCCATTGGGCACTTCTAGGATAGCCTCATCCCTATGTTTTGACCTTCTCTTAGAATGGTAAGGCCAGGGAGTGCAGACAAATCTCTCTCCACTGGCTTGGAAATTGTGGAGAGAGCATAGTTAAAGCTAGGCTTCTCACAGTGCCTCCTTCCCTCCTTGGAGCTCTCTCCTTCATCATATGAACTACTTCTTTCAGGCTTCAGCTAGTATTTAAATAAGAAAAAGCTACACACTTATTTTGATACTGTTGCATGAAAAGTTGTGTACAATCTAAACTGTTTCAGTGTCTTGTAGGTGGATGAGGGACAACTGAATGGCTCAACATCTGCAAACATCTGTTCTACAACTTGTGACTTAAGTTCTACACTGGCTGTGAAATCTGATCAAGGAGAATTTTGCTCTAAAAATAATAATAATGACTGCCATTTTGAAACTGGAGTGAAATCACCATATAGAACTAAAATAGGTAAGAAAACAAACATTTGAATGTTATCCTAGTAGACTGGTTTAATATAAAGTAAAGCATAGCAGTTTTTAAAATTGCTTATGAAGGAAAGCTGTCAAGAGCTTGAGAGTGAAGTCAAACCATTAGCAGGGATGGCCAACTCCCAAGAAGCTGTGATCTACTCAGAGTTAAAAACTGGCAGTGATCTACCCTCTTTTGGGGGGTTCAGGTTAAAGTTGTTGAGCTTTTTTGGGGGAGGAGGAAGGCCCATTTTTTAGGGCTTGGGAGCATGAGTTCTGAGAACTGTAAACAATAAATGAAGGTTAAATAAATCCATCAAAAAATCAATCTATATCTACTAGCTGTAGACTGTGACATAATGATTTCTGTATTTTATTATAGTAGGATGGTATGTGTTTCTTTGAATAAATTAAAAACCTATCAGATCCCATAATTGCCTTATACCCTTTCAGATTTGTTAATCCACTTGCCCAATTTTATGATGCTTAGTGTTCGTGCTGCTTTTGATAAATTGTACTTTGTTTGAAGGATCCTTTTTGTTGTTGTTGAGGCACGTTTCTGACCTGCATGATGCATGGTTCTGGTTTGCTGGTTCCATTTGGTTTTGTGGTTCTGTTAATAGCCTCTCTGGCACTCTTTTTGTTGGAATGTTACATTTGTTTTTCTGACCCTGTTTTTAAATTGGCTGCTTTGAATGGTTTGTGACACAGTTGTACTCCCATTTACCTGGTTAGAAGTTCCACCTGATTGAATAGGACTGACCTCAGAAGAGACATGTATAAAACATCGTTGTATCTTACTAGTCTACAGGAGGCTCCCCTATTTCAGAGGCGGAAACTGTTTTTTCCAGCCCAAGGGCTACATTAACTATTGGGCAACCTTTCAGGTGACACATGCCATCGGTGGGCAGGGCCAAATCAATGGATACAACAGGCTTGCTTCTGCATTCATACCACCCTCTCTGTCCTCCAGCCAGGAATTACCAGACTTCAGGGACTCTCTAGCCAGACAAAAACATTTGAGGAGGATGTGAAACAGGGTTAGTAAGAGGTGTAGTCTGGGAAAGGGTGTATGACAGGGGCGGAGGCGGGTCTGGATTGGCCCCCACCCTTTGCACTATTCTATAATATATGAAAGGTGAGGGATGGAACATTTGCCTTACTCATAGACATGTTATTTTATTTGCTCTCATTATATTTTTATATTGCCCTTCCTCAGGGGTCAGCAACCTTTTTCAGTCCACCATCCCTCAGACCATGTGGTGGGTCGGACTATATTTTGAAAAAAAAATATGAACAAATTCTTATGCCCCACAAATAACCCAGAGATGCATTTTAAATAAAAGGACACATTCTACTCATGTAAAAACACGCTGATTCCCAGACCGTCCGTGGGCCGGATTGAGAAGGCGATTGGGCTGCATCCGGCCCCCGGGCCTTAGGTTGCCTACCCCTGCTGCAGAGAGCTCAGAGCTGAGGTCATGGTGCTCTACTTGAGCTATGAGTTAATAAAATTGCCAATAAATGTAGGTATAAACACAATTAACAGGCAAATTGTGGGTGAACCTTGCTTGAAGTTGCCCACGCCAAATAGCTAACTTTTAAAAAATTGTTTATTGTTTGGCTTCCCTCCACATAATTATTAAGGCTAAAGTAGCAATTGGATTAAATCCTCCCTCAAATCTTTTCAGACTCGATACAGGGTAAAGATTTCCAAATCCTAATTACAAATGGAATGATCTGTCCATTTTGGTTCTCTTAGGGTCCGTCCCCCCCAATCTTCAATTCAGTTCTCCACACTTCTGTGGCAATTTGCATTTTATAAATAAATCATGAAAGTTCCATGCTTATCCATATGAAATATTTCAGAATTTACACTTGGGCAAAATGTCCATTAGTTAACAAACTTTCAAGAAATCTTCATAAAGCTGGACGTAAAGCGAAATGGGGTGGGGGGGATGGAGGGAATTCGGCTGATGATGTTGTTGCCAGGCAGTCTGGATTTGGTCATTGTTTTAAGATGGAAGTGCAAGGGGAGATGGCAAACTTAATTGGATTAGGCTAGGAGGTGCTATGCCGGTTTCAGGTTGCATCAAGGACAAAGAACCGCACAATGGCTGATCTCCTGTTTTTGAAAATGTAAAAGCCAGATGTCTCCCAAATCTGTCTCAAGTCTTAAGCAAAACACACTTGTTAGATAGAGAACAGGAATAAAGATGCTTTAAAATAGGGATCTTTTCATTTGTTAGATGTATGTCTCTTTCAGTTTCCTTGGCTTAAAATATTGCCTTGGGCAGGAGAGAATTCTGAATGGCTGTCTTACAGGATGTCATACTTTATCCTCACAAGAACCCAGTGAAGGGAGGAGGCCAGGCCAAGATGTGGTGCTTTGACGCTAGAGAGTGACCTTCATGGAATGGGTTTTCCAAATCCAAATCCAACAGCCTCTCCTACTTCCTTTTACAGTACTATACATTTTCTGAGAGAAGGAGAGAGAAAATACTGTGTGCGAATACCTGTGTGATTTGGGCAAACAATAGTTAAAAATTGATGTTTTCCATTTGTGCAATGCTTGGGTTTCTTAACATAATAATAGCTTCTTGGTGGAAGTTATGAAAAGCCCACACAGTACAATGAATCCAGAACCCTGATTGAATGTTGTGTTTATTACTTGACTCCCGAGAGCTATTTTTTAGCCACAACCCTGCTGAATGGTGACCATGGATGCTGTGAGATGGGTAGATTACGGAACGGCACAGCTGCAAGGGGTGGCAGAATATGAAAAGAACTTGATGTTAACGTCGTCCCCCCCCCAGCTCTTTTGTTCATGGCACTCCTTCTTTTGAGCGACTGCCTCTTTAAAAAGTGTGTGCGTGCGTGGGAAGCCGAGGCAAGCTGCAAAGTGCTGGGGAAGCTTAGCTTTACTGTGAAGCCTGAGCCTGAGTGAAACCTAACTAGCTAGGCGATATGCAATTCCTGATTGACAGCAGGACTAGCATTATGCAAATACTGCCAGAGAGAACAGCAGCTAGGGAGCCGTGATCAGGGGCTCTGTTAGGGATCTCTCTACACACGCCCGCTCCTAAATCCCCGTTTGTTGTTTTCATTTCTCCTTTTGCTGTGGTGGTTCGGCTTAACAATCAATAAATGACCAAAAAAAAAAAAGTTGTTGCTTTCTTGGGCATGAATAAATCCAATCCTCTGTGCAGTTTCAGTTTCTTGTCAGCTCAAAGAGATGTGCGTGAGCTTGTTAACTCAGGATGAATTGGGTAATATTTAGCAGGGTAATGTGCTAATCTTTAAACCTTTTATGTTTTCAATCCGGTGTATGTATGGGTCTCTTGACACAAAAGTGTGTGTTTTGCCTGCTTCTCCTCGTCTCCTTCAATCTGAAGCCTTATGTAGGTCAGGCTTGGCTTAAGCAGATTTCCTGAACCTGCGTCAGCTTAAGCTGAAGGAATTTTAATAAACCCTCCCTTGTAGGCGTGGGCCTAAATGAGACAAGCCTAGTTAAGCCTGATCTTTTTCTGTTTGTGAAAAAGAGCCGAGCAGAGCTAGGATCTGCGTGGTGGTTTCAGGAACTGCTTCTTCAAGCTGGAGAGAACGATGGTTGGGAAGGCCAGGTCCTCGAATTTTACCTTGTCTGAAAAGCTCGATTTGCTGAAACTTGTCAAGCCGTATGTTAAGATTCTCGAAGAGCACACCAACAAGCACTCGGTCATAGTGGAGAAAAACAAATGCTGGGACATCATAGCCGATAACTACAATGCCATTGGAGCTGACCGCCCTCCTCGCACCGCGCAGGGCCTGCGCACCTTGTACAAGAGGCTCAAGGAATACGCCAAGCAGGAGCTACTGCAGCAAAAAGAGAGCCTTTCTGATTATAAAAGCTACATCTCTGAACCGACCAAGAAAGTTGTGGAGATGATCCCCCAGATTTCCAGTGTGTGCTTGAGGGAGAGGAGCAATCTGCCCTGGTAAGTTGACTTTTACATTGTGCCTGGATGGCGCTATAGCGCCTCCTGTCTTCTCTGGCCATCCCCTTTTGAGCTACATGCCTTAGCCTTTGGGAAAAGTTAAAACCTTGTGATTATTGTTATTATTTACTTCTTTAATTTTTAAACAGTGACTGACTTTTCTGTTCAACTTCCAGCCGCATTTCAAAAGATCTTATTGTCAGACCCTTGGCAAGTGAGGGTTAAGAAAGAATCCAAGGGAAATAGGAGCTCCAACTTTTACCCCTCCCCTTTTAATAGGCATAGCATTCAAACACTGACCAAGCAAAAGGCTGTTCTACATTTAAGGTAGTACTGTGGTCAACTTGCCTCTGCATACGGAAGCTCATGCCTGTTTTGGATAATATCTATCTACATAAAGTCGAGCAGGAGAACAAAGGAGCCTCTCTCAGTACAGTGTGCCCAGTCAAGGATTATGTTAATCTCTCAGGGTGGAATACATTTTGACTGAATTTAGACCTTTTAAATGATTTTACTTCGCATGCTACCATGCCTTTTTAAACAATGCAGATGGATTGTTTTAAACAATCACATTCTCGGAGGCCAGTATGCAAAGTAATGCTCTAATTTAAACTGCAAAAAAGAGGCTATGGAGCACATTTACAGGGGTCGTGCGCAGACAGATCGGAACACTGCAGTCACACAAAAGTCTTCATATTTTCCAGCAGCCTTTTAGTGTAGAATCAAATCGGAGCCCCTCTAGATTTGAGCCAGACGTAGAGCAGGCAGGCTGTCTTCAAGCTTTCTTGCGGGGCCTTTGCTTATGCCGCCCTCCCCCTCTACAACTGACTTGCAAAACACGGCTGCTCAAAAGCTTCTCAGACCAGATTTGTCCTGTGCCTGGATGCAGACATTTTAAAAACCAGGGGGGGTCGAGCAGCTCTCTTCCTTACTCCTGTCGCAAGCCATTTAAATTCATGTCACTTACTGTGCAAAACAAATATGTTAATCTGAGTTTCCGGGAAAACTGGCATGTTTGTGCACACTGGCCAGTCCTTGATTTGTACTGCCTCTGGTTGCTCTGAATGGTAACAGTCGTCTAAATCCCACCATGGCAGATGCTGTAAAAATAACATGTGGTGGTGGGCCTTTTGGTGAAATAATTCTGTATTGCCTAGGGTAAATAAGGTGTAATCAAAATGGACTTTTACAGCACAATCCTTTATCTTTCTACTCAGAAGTAAGCCCCTGTTGAGTTCACTCAGGCATACTCCCATCTAAGTACTGTATGTATAGATCTGTAATAGCATGTTAGAAGGGTGTGTGTATATAATTTCCACAATACTGATGTAGATTTAAATGGTCAGCATAAGCCAGAAGTATGGGGCCACTTTTTGGGTGGTCATATACGCTTCCTTTAAGCCCTTAGCCAATACATCAGGTTTCTTTTGTAGCTTATTAATTTTGTAGTAGTGGAAATGGGTAGATTTGTAATCAGCTGTATTTTATTTTTGTATTGTAAGCCATTTTGGGTGCTGTGTGAGCAGCACAAATGTGGCACACAAATGTTTTGAAAACATTAATAGCGTGCACCTTAAAGACCATTGAAATCTGAAAGATTTGTTTTTTTATTCAATAATAAATGTTTTCCAAAAGCATCAGTGCACTAACAGTTGGAGAAACAATCCCCTGATCCTGACCATATTATGTTGGAGTAAGTTTCATTAATCTGAATGAAACTGACTTCCCTGTAGTTGTTTGGGATCTAAGTGAAAAGCTTTTCTAAATCCTTTTTATACATAATATATTCCTTTTTCTCAAGAGAGAACTTGTGGACCAAATTGGCCATCCTCCCAACCAACCGAGGTTCTGCCTCTTCATCTCCCCACCGCTTCCCATGACTATTGTTTCCGTGTCAGTCTCTGCTGTCTGTAAACCATTAATTTCTTCCTCCCATTTGATTAACAGAAACCTGATACGTAGGACAATTGAGTCATGGAATGGGGTTGGCCAACAGGGATAGATAAGAATGATGCATAGCTCCAAATTTCCAGTTCCCGATCCAAAGTCACCATTGAGAAGTAGAAACACAATCTGCTCTGCCTCATCTCTCTAAAATGCTCCAGGGGCTGGATGAAGTGGTGGGTTGGATGAGAGTAATAAACTGAGTCTGAAATCATAGCATGATGGAGGCTCTGTGTGAGAGTCCAGGAAACTGGACTCTTTGAAGGAGCAGGTGCGCCATCCAGGGTGTCACTGGAGGCGCAGGTGTCCTCAGTGGCTAGGAGGACCTTTTAACAGCTATGACCACTCATACATTGGTAACCTCAGGGTTGGAGTACTGCAATGTCCTCTGCACATTTGAGGTTGTGTTGGAGGCTTCAACCAGTGTAGGACGTGGCAACTCGGTTGCCCTTGAGAGCAAACAACTGCCAGTATTTAACACCTTGTCCACGGCATTTTCACTGGTTGTTAGTCTGCTACCAAGCCAAGTTCAATGTTCTGGTACTAACATATAGAGCCCTATTCAGCTCAGGACCAGGTTGCTTGTGAAACCTTCATAACCCTTATGTACCTGGTAACTCCCTGCGTTCTACAGGTGACTTTCTGCTCAAAGTTCCCCAAATATCAAAAGCCTGCTTCACAGTAAGTTGAAGCAGGGCCTTCAGTGGGGCCGCCACTGTTTTGTGGAATAAGTATCCCTGTTGAGATACCAGAGGTGCCCACCCACTACCTGTACTTTCCAGAAATAATGGAAGACATTTTTTGTTTTGACAAGCAGCATTTTTTGTTGGATGAAAAGGTCGCGGCCTTAGGTGTTCCTTTTTACTGTTTTTAAAACTAATTTGAGCTGTTTGTAAATTGCCTTGAGGCACATGCAAAAGGAGATTCATAATATTACTTATTAATATATTCCCCCCCCCAGCTCACATTGCTTATAACAAGAGTTCAGTTCGTAAGCAGCCAATGACTCATATTTTTCCTATATCCACAGGTTGGCCTATCGTGCAGTGTCATTTGACTGACATTGCCATTCTCTGTTGCCTGTTATGACCCTGAGCGGTGCTTTTGTGGTTTTTTTCCTTTTCATTTTGTGTATCCTGAACTGCAGTTACAATTAAATCATTATAGCTTAATTCAATTGAAAGGTGTTTGAAAATTTATTAGAATTGTTTTGTTACCTCTTGCCAAGTAGTTAGAAAGCTCAGGGCAGCCTTTTTGAGGCCAGTTAGCTTAAGGGGCAAAAAGTATTGGGCTTTGTGCTCTCTAAGATTTGGCTGAAAGACAGAAGGGTGTGTGCAAACCTTTACTTGTTCATTGTTTCTGTGCTCCTAATCTCCATCCTGTGAGCTTCAAAATGCATGTTTATTAATGATGTGAACCCTGTGGTCCAGGGAAACCGTGGGGGGATTCACTTTGGTGCCCTAAACGGGCAGATGAGGAATGTGGTAGGCGCCTTCCTGGTGCAATGTCTCTCAAACCCCAGCCCAGCTGTTTTTCTTGCATAGTCCAGCATCAGGCCTTTGTTTTACCAGTAGTTAGAAACTCAGATATATAATCTAATCGCCAAATGGCACCTTAAACTTAGGTTACGGTCATCACAATGGACTGTCCAGGCACCTTTTGCAGTGGGGTTTATTATATTTATTAATTACCTTTTTTGTACTTATTTATATTTTAAATGGCAAGTCTCAAAGCAGTTTACAACACATTAAAACATCAAATAAAACAATCCAGAATAAAATGAATTCAAGGTTTGAGGAGAATACTCCAGAGCCTTCTCTAAGCGATATTTTGCTTTCCCCAGTTGCCAACCTTGCATCCAGAAATCTCCACATGGCTGCAGTTGGACCTGGGCTGGTCAAAAACTCTCCTGGCTAATTTCCCACTGCGTGTGATAGGCAGTTAGCCCCTAAAAAAAACCAGTGGGTATCAAATGGTTCTCTCCAAAAAGTTAAGTAAGTATGCAGGCCTTGGAGAGTAAATCTGCTATGAAGAAAGGTTCCAGCATTTGGAGCTATTTTATTTAGCAAAAGGGAGACATTAAGGAGGTATATAAAGGTATACATGGTGTAGGGAAGGTGGATAGGGAGAATCTTCTCTCTCTGAATACTAGGAAGGGGTCATCCAGTGAACTGGAAGGTGGGAGATCCAAGACAGAGTAAACAGACTACTTCTTCACGCAGTGCATAATTAAACTATGCAATTTATTGGTTAGCACAAGATGTGGTAGCAGCCACCAACTTAGATGACTTTAAAGGGAACTCTAGACACATTGATGTCAATGACTACAAGTCATGATGGTTGTATATTACCCCCAGAATCAGAGGCGACATGTTTGTGAACCAGCATGCTTGTTCTCACATCCTTCTTGTGGGCTTCCTGTAGGCACCTGGTTTGCCACTAGGGGAAAGAGGATGCTGGTTTAGATAGACCTTTGGTCCTGGACTAGCAGGGTTCTTATGCTTTTAATACTTAAGACTCCTTGCATTGCCCCTACCAAAGCAGATTTCAGCTCCATCCCTGGATTTGCACAGTAATCAAGTACCTATGCTCTGTTTTTACAGAACACCCATGCTTTGCAGGTAGCTGACTAATAAAATAGGGTTGGGCCACCCTAGTGAAACACACCATTGAATTCTGCTGTTACCCAATACCCTTGTCGAAGACGGTCACTTCCTTATGAAACTAGTAACAGCAGATTTACTCTGGGTGGATCAGCATATGATTTGTTTGGATGTACTGCAGAGTTAGGAATCTAATTTGGCATTTGATGACCAATTCTAAGCTTTGTTAAAACTGACATAACTGACTCATACTAAACAGATGCCTGACGGATTCTGTATACCAATTCCGCCATGGTAACTGTCTCTCCTAATTCTTGAATAGAGGTCTCCCCACACTAGTAGATGAAAACTTGCATTCTTCTTTCTTAAGTTTATAATATAAATGTGAATCTTTGATATAAGCTATTTTTTGTAAGATAGCCAGTTAGCACACACTGAAGGCATCTCCATTAATGTAGTAAATTATATTTCCAGCTTTCAGAATTTTGGCCGGACTGTACTGTGTATTGTATTGTATCTTGTTTTTCATAGATATTTTAAAAATATTTAAGAAACAATGATAAATAGATAAGTTGGTCCTGGTGCTTCACCAGACTGTCCAATGTCTTTTATAGCTGCTTAGCAGCTTGCTGTCCTGTTAAAGGACTTTTGCATGAACAGAAAGCCTCCAGATGTTAGACTACAGCTCCCATCTTTCCTTACCATTGGGGAGTCCTACAACATCTGGGCAGTCACAGATTCCCCTTCTCCAGGCTTGAGTCACAACAGTTTCTATCCTCTCTGGTTCTGGTGAGGCTAGGCTCTCCAATCCATACTACAATCTACTTGGGCATGGGGGAAGATACGTAATTTGGTGGAAGGGAGAAGGAAAGAGGAAGGTTTATTGGAGGTTTTTAAGCAGAGGTTGGATGACCAGCTATCATAGATGCTTTAGTTGAGATCCCTGCATTGTAGAGGGTTGGACTAAATAACCCTTGGGGTCCCTTCCAGCTCCACAGTTCAATGATCCTATGATCTTCAGTAGTCTCTCCCATACCTTCCTTCATACTTTCAAGGCCCTCTGGAAAGGTGGAAGTGAGATAATGTTGCTCCTTCAGGATTTCACCTAATCTGGAGTAAGCTGAGAAGCTGATCTCGAGCCCACCTCACAGGTCCTCTGAAGGGCAGGATCATTCACTTACCTTGCACTGTACTGGGGAACATTTGGAAGCAGCTAGAAATTCTCTCACCACTTCCAAGTGCTTCCCAGCCCAGTGCCAAGTAACCAGGTTACTCTGGCCCTCCCCACCCCCCTAGACAACCTGAGAAGGGAAGAGTTGGAGTAGCCACAAATAATCACTGACTATTAAAGCCAGGTAGCACTTGTGACCCCCAGAACTCAAGTGCTGAGATATTTACTTTGAATAAGGAATGCTGCAGGATGTGTGGAATATAGATGGAGAAAGAAATGCTTTGAGATAAAATATTATTCAGGCCCTCGGGAAAGGAAGCCATACAAAGCCCTTAGAGCTATACTGGCAGGAATGGTTTGAGATTTTATTGCTCCTTTCATTCAATCAATATGATGTTGATGTTTAAAATAATCTACACTCCTCCTTTTCTCTGTATTTCTTTCTTCACTTTTTCAGTTAGATTTTATTAATCATCATATGACAAAGTCAGATAGCCTTATGCTCTATGTGTACCCCTCTCAGTGACAAATCTACATGTGAACAATGGTAGTGTCTTTTATCAAATGTTAATTCACAAGTGGTTTAGGACAGCCTTCCCAACCTGGTAGTTTCCAGATGTGCTGGCTGGGGCTGATGAAAGTTGTAGTCCAAAGCATCTAGAGGCCACCAGGTTGGGAAGGCTGCCTTAGAAGTTGAGTTTTTGCCTTTTTCGTGGACTAAGAAGATCCTTTTTCTTTTCTGTTAATGATGAAAATATTATTTGTCTGTTTTTAGTGCTACACCGGATAAAAAAATAGTTGCTACTACCAGCTCACCACAGTCAATGTTAGAGCACCAACCTGCTGCTATCACACTGGAGCTGGATGAAGACGAGGAAGATGTCAAGCCACCTGCATCGCTGATTGTAGAGTTACAAACACAGGAGAGCTTAGAGCAAAGAGAAGAAGAACATTTGGTCCATGCAATGGAGAGATCTCCTTCAACTTCCCTGTCTTCTGTGGATATAAGAATGTTGTCTCCATCTCCCATCCCCAGAAGAGATGAATTTTTCAGGCTTGAAACTGGAGAACGATTTAGACCGGCATGTGGGGGATATGATCCCCAGATGTTGCAAATGCTGAAAGAAGAGCACCACATCATTTTGGAAAATCAAAGGAAAATTGGGCTCTATATCCAAGAAAAAAGGGATGGCTTGAAAAGAAGGCAGCAACTGGAAGAAGAGCTATTGAGAGCAAAAATTAAAGTAGAAAAGTTAAAGGCGATACGACTACGTAGGGATCTTCCTGAATTCAACAATCTTTGAATATTTAGCAATTCTGCTTAAAAACCAGGGTTATTTCACAATTCTTTTTGATCTAGAAAAGACGTATTTACCCACGTTTTGGGGGTAGGGGTATGCATGTTTTTTCCATTTTGTTTCTCATGCAAATTTGCAAAGAAATTAAAGCCATTTTTCACTGGTCTTCCCAGGTTTTCTGATTTAAAGTAGAACCAGATCTAAGACTAAAAAAAACAACCCTTTGAAATCTTATGACCACATGACTGTTAGCAAAAGCAAATGATAACTTATACAGCTGTTGTAAAATATGCTGATCTTATTCTTTTTCGTTTTTTGGTGAATCAGTTCTTATCTGTCTTTTGAAATACTCATTTATTTGTGAGTCAATAAACATATGCAAAATGGAGAAAAATACTATCTTTGTTTCCTCCTTTCATAAAACTTGTGGAAATGGCTGTAGTTCAAATGAAATATTTATCATGGAAATATCTCACCAGCAATTCCTTTCTATGTTGACCTGAACAAGGGTGGATATAATGGTGGCATTCGTACATCACAATAAGCCATAGGTAACGGAATACTTTTCAGTGTGCACTGCAGGCTCCTCTAGACTACAGAAGCAACAAATCATGATCTCTGGATCAGTGTTACATCTGAACTAGGAATCTTCATTTCAGACACACCACACTGTTAAAGCAAGTTTTGTTCTTGGCCTACCTACTGTGGTTTGTTTTGAGCAAAACAAGCTATGATTCCAGGTTCGCATATAATGTTTTACCAGGGATCACAATTAGTTGCTCCTACTGAGTATAAAGGAGAAGTGAAGCATGCACAATATTCATGGTAACTATGGGTTATTGCAGCACTGCGGTGCTTCTAATAGCTGATCAGCAAAGCCTTTTGGCCCAGATGCATCTTTACCTATCCTGCCTCCCCTTCCAGAGTCACATAAGATGTCAAGCGTAGGGCAGTTGAGCATGGCATGGCTAAAATAGCCACAAGGGCCAAATGGGAAGTCCTAGCAGTCCTAATTAGGCTTGCAGACCAAAAATTCCTTGTCACTGGTTTAGGGCTTATCCATACTTGCCTGTTGTCTTGCTCTTCCAATCAGAGGTTTGCGCTTTAATGCTCTGTGTCCAAGCGGTTTTAGGGTTTTGTTTTTGCCCCAAGATTTCCTCATGGAAACCTGCTCTTTAAAGTTGAATTGGAGCAAAAATCAATTTGGGTTTTCCATGGATTGACGGTTCCTCTGACTGAGCTTTGAAGAGCAGGTTGTTGCAGGGAAAGCTCCAGGGGGCAGGGGAAAGGTGCTCAGACACTGAGTTTTAAATTGCAGAACGTTTCTGGAATGAGCGGAGGAAAGGTAAAGGTGTGGACAAGCCCTTACTTAGGACATGCAAACTAGGCCAGAACATACTAAAACGTAATTATAAAAGTACAATAGTGAGAGTAGGCTTTTGAAGAGGAAGTACCATAGCCCAATGGTAGAGCTCAATAGAAGGCATCTTCCTCTGCTTTTTTAAATGTTTCTGAGTTTTAGGTGTGAAATAATTATTTGTCTGTTTCTGAAGCTGCTAGCTTGTACTTGCCTAACAGTTCCAGTTGAACCAGTTTCCTGCACACACACTCTTGAATTTTGGCTTCCTTTCAGGGGGCCCTCCGCCACCTAGATAAAGCTTCTTCTATTTCTGATATGTGCAAAGGATATTGCCCTGTAAAATAAGAGGCAGGGAAAGAGATTACTTCCACGTAATCTTGTTTGGTTTAGTCCTTTCATCCTTTATCCTTCTTTACCTACACTTAGGGAGCATTGCTTGAATACTCTCAATCTCCCTGCCGCCACCCCCAATCTGTGTTTCTGGGTTTTTTGTTTTGTTTTCATGAGCTCTTTATTCCTGGAAATAAATTGGCCTTAATAAAACTTGTAAACAGTTTAGGAGTGTAGAGATCACTGATTAAATATTTTGGAGAAGTCGCCGTAATCTTGATCAGTAGCATATATACGTCTAGCTACCTGGTGACAAAATTTGTATCCCCCTACTCCCATAAACTTCAAAACCCTTTACAGTGCAAATATTTATTTAAAAGATTATTGTGTTTCACCACTCTTTACTTACGGCAATTAACATCTTTATAGATCAGAAATTTTCTGATTTTATGGTTAATTTTAACTGATTTTATCTTTTGTAACTTGATTGCTTAGAACTCTGGTGTTAAGCAATATATACATAGCTGACATAATAAATGAACAAATAACCATAACCACTGCATTATTAAAATGAGCACAGGAACTTTCCTTCCCACTCCCTTGGTATCCCTGTGCCCAGTGCTCCCCCCCCCCCCAGAAAAATAAGTGCCGGTACTTACCATGAAGTTGTTATAGTAAGTGCTACACTTATTAACAACCAAAAAAAGAGGTGCTGGGACTGCGTACTCTTGAGTACCCCCTGAAAAAAAGCACTGATGTGCCCCCTAAATCTGTTCTGGGGTTTCCCTCAACCCTCTGCAGCAAATTTGGGGAGGGTGTGGAGGAAGAGGCAGGGGCAGGGAGTTTATGACCGTTGCCTGGATCGTACTCAGCCTCATTGTTTTAACATCTGAGCTCCAGCTGTTTCTTAGCTGCTAGGACAATTAAGCAAGTATAAATGGAACTTCAGGCAAGGTTTGAAGCAGAAACCCCAGACTTTCAGATTCATGGCTGGAATTATGGCCCTCAGTCCTTTTACTTGGACCTGTTCTTGGCTTGGTTGCCTTCTGTTTGATAACATGCTTTAAAGCATGTTGAATTTGATTAGGCGCTTCAGTGTTTATATTACTTGGACTAGCTATGGTTCCGGACTTCCCTTTGTTCTTCTTTGGCTTGTTTTTCCTGGCTCCTCTTTCCGCACCTGCTCTGTTCCTCCACTTGTCTCTCCCCCACCCCTGTTCTCCTCTTACTCTTTAGCCCATACCAGGGTCGTCTTCTCTTCTTCACCTGTTTATTTTTTTGGCTATAAGGTTACCTGCTTAAGCACAAATTGAACTGATGAGGGGTTGCCCTGCCTACCAGGTGCCCACCAGGTGTACCCTATCAAAAGTTTGACTTCCTGCCAGTGGAGAGGTGGGTAGTGACAACCCCACTTCCTTCCTACAGAGAAGGAACTTATCACAGTAAGTACCAATGTTCACTTTCCCCCAAGAACAATTTCTGAAGAGGTTTTTAACAAAATAGTTTGTGGAATTGGACTGACCAGAGATGACAGTGAAGGAATGGTAATGGCATCTCCAGAAGCCTGCCTCCAAAATCCATTATTTTACACCTACCCTCAACAGTGGTTGTGTTGAAAGCCTGGACAACTGGTGAAGAGGCTGACAGGTCGCGTGGGTGGAATCTTTTTTGATGTTGAGTGTTTGTTCAATAGTCATTCAAGTGAAAGCAGAGGTTCATGAGTACGCAAGAGAGGACAGGGATTGAAAATCAGGAAAGGGTCAGGCAGGGTAAAGATATTCTCAGCAAGTCTATCAAAGATTGTGTTTGATTTTAATTGCCACCATTATAAGGGTCTCGACCAACTGGAAGATAGGGCTGGAGAAAATAAAAGCCTGGTAGATCCTACAACAGTAAGAACAAGGGACTTCAACTCTTTCAGAACATTTTATGCTGCCTGAATAATGCAAATATTTGTCTCTGGAACACAGTGTGCCTAGAGAGGTAACTGGAAAACAAAACTGGTCATAATCCTGAAGTCCGGCAGTGACCAGGACAACGAGTCAAAGGCTATACTGCCACTGTCTGAGAAGCTAGACCAGATTCCTAACTTCCGAGCCTCAGGTCTCATGTTTGGGATCAGGGGGTTCACTGACCATGAGGCTGACTGGCAGGAAGTCGCTAAACTGGATCCCATGGACCGGGGCCATAGAACTAGAACTGAGACCCTCACAGGCGGCTAGTTCTGGCCTGAGAAACTGAGTGCCTCCTATGCTACCCCACCAGTCTGACAGTGCATGGGACACCTAGAGCAAAGGAGAAGTGCCTATCTTCAGCTCAAAGGGCTGGCCCTTTGAGAGCCTCTAGTGCTCCAATAAAAGAGGTGGAGGATCAGAAAGATGGACTTGGAGGCAAAGGCTCACCTCCAACCCTTGTCAAGCACGTTGTTCATTAGGAGCTTTCCATGGTGCTGCAGCAATCAACCTGCCTTGCTCTGTGGGTGGCACCTCAGGACTAGAATAAAATAAAATATCTGATGCAGTCCAGAGATAAAGTTCACTAGTATCCCATTCTTTCCTCCCTTCCCTGTGCTGCAAAAAATATTGAAATATTTTGGAGTTAGAAAAAAATACTGATACGGATAGCACTTGCTCAGGGATCTTACTAACTACTTTAGTGCAAAATGATAAGGTTAATAGGATTTTAGGAAATCAAGGGACATTTGTGTGCTTAGTTAGACTCCAGATTACTAAATTCTAGAAATTTTGCTTTTTTAATTTACACTAAAGGAAGTTGGTAGACAGGATGGGCAGAACATGAATATTTAGATACACATGACTACCTCTGAATAACCCTTATTAAAATTGGTCTCTACTATTAGTTTCCTGTTTAAATTATTGAATGAATTACATTTATGTAAATCGGGTTTATGTAATGTGGTTTGGAAAGATTATGTCTTCCCCTTCCAAGAATGTCTTTGGCTTGTCTATATGGAATTGCTGCTGCATAGCATATTAAAATGCTTAAAAAAGGAATAATCTTTCTGACTTCTTCCAAGGTAATCCCACACATTCTACACAGGCAAGGATGTTCAAATTATGTAGATAGTGAGTACTAGAATAAACCATGTTTCTGCTCCACTGTAGAAAGCATGATTATTATCAGGGTAGACCCACTGAGACCAGTGTATTTGAAATTTATTGCTAGAATTGCATTTTTCAGTATACAGTATGGTCATTTAAAAAAAAATACTAAAAATAAAAAGAATTATGCTACAATGTGGACAAGAGATATTAGATGGTATAAATTACCTATTTGGGTTATATTTAAATAGGCTCAGCATTTGTTCTAGTAAACTTTCCCCCTTTTCTTTTGAAGTTATGGGAAGTACCATATACACTTCTCAAATTTAGTGTGTCTGCAAGTTTCAATTTTTTTTCTTAAAAAAAGAAAGGCATATGGTCTATCTAAAAGCACAAAGAAAGGGAAAAGACTGACAGCTGAGCTAGCACTCACAGCTGTCATGTCATTTGCCTCCCTGGGCTCAACCTGAGGGACGTGTTACAAGCTCTCTCTCTCTCTCTCTCTCTTTCCCCTTCTTTGTGTGTCTTCGCCTCTACAGGTCCAGCGTGCCCAGTGACAACAGCAACAGCCAGGCACCAGGAGGAGCCTGGCTGCCTCACAAAATACTTCAGTGTAGTGTGGTGCAAGGCCTCCAAGAAAAAACACAAGAAGTGGGAAGGTGATGCCATTCTTATTGTGAGAGGGAAGTCGGTGACCCTGAAAGATACAGAAGGCAGAGACATTGGAAGAGGTAATGCCAATTGGAGTGCAACTCTGATGTGTAGAAGTTCAGCACTGCCCCTAAAACATGTGCTTGAATAAAATGAAAACAGTTGTTTGTATGGTCGGCATTACAATGGAGTAGGAAATTTGGCAGTGGTGCAATCTTCATCAGTGATTGGCTGAACTGTTCTTGTGTCACAGAGAAGTAGGAAAGCCAGAATTGTCTCTGGGTGCTTGCTATTGGTTATGGGCTCAGATCCAAGAGAGAAGGGCCAGGCAGGTGCAGGGGCTTGGGAAACGAAGAGTAAAAGAGGCAGAGGGGCCTGAGAAGGAAGTAGGTCAGAAGGAACAGAAGGACTTAGGGTATGAGTATTGGTGCTGGAGAAAGATCTGGAGGAATGTGGGGAAGGACAGGGAGGAGTCTGAGAAGAGAACTGGGAGAGAGAAGAGGGTAGTTAGGAAAAGATGCATGTGACCAGGAGCTTCAGAGGCAGAGACCTGCCTCTGATTTGAAATAAGCAGCCAAATCTCAGGCCGAAGGCCCCTGAAGGCTCATGTTTAATGCACCCCACCATTTTGGTTTTTCTTTACTCTAACTGATAAATCCAACAAATTATTTGCTTTGTTCTGATGGTTCAAAAGTATAGTAATACTTCACACCCCTTAATTCAGGGGTTCTCAAACAGACATCCATGGAGCTGGTTGGGGGAATCCTCTGGATAAGCATGAGAAGGAGGCTGTAGGGCTTTAGAGGAATCAATGAGAATTGCTTTCTCCTTCCCTTCTTCCAGCAAGGAGTCTCCATTGGATCTTGCAGTCTTTCCGTTAATGGACAGGGCACTCTGGATCCAACCCAATGTGGCCAAAGTCTTTGTCTAACTTTTACCTGACACTTTTATTATGACTATTATTTTAATTTTATGTTCATCTCAGCTAAACATTTTGCGGCCTTTCTTAGGTGCTGGATACAAAGCCAAAGACCTGGAGAATTTTGACCAAGGCCAGACTCTGATGGTTGGAGGCAAAGAAATCGAAGTGATGGGTGCAATTGCAGAAGAGGACTTCAAAAGCGGCAAGTGTTTTCAGTCTGGTGTGAAGACTGCCGAGGAGATTTGGAACGTCTCGCAAGCTGCTACAAAACCATTCTGCAACCCTTTCAAAAATGTATCCAAAACTAACACTGAAGGAAATCCTCCCAAAGGCTTCCAGAACTATAACCCACGTCATGATCCATGCGCACCAAGTGAGGATTTTTATGGTTCACCTGCTTTAATCTGTTTTTAACCTCTGTTTTATCCGCTTCTGAATTTGAATAGAACGGCAGGATTTAGACCCTGTTTTTTTGGCCTCCTCTGCTCCAGTATATTGGGGTGAATATTTTTTTAATTAATCTTGAATCTACATGAGGAGATGTGCAGGGGTTGCTAGTAACAGGCAATAATACATTTAAATGGACAATCTGCAACTAATGCCCACCCATCTGATTAATTTGGAGAGGATGCTTTCTTTTCTGCAGCAGCCTAACCTTTCCCAGCTTGGGGCCCTCCAATTGTTTCTTCTTATTGTTATAAGAAAAAACTGCTCCTTTTTCCTTATGGGGTACCCAAGAACCCATATAGAATCCTTTTGTAGGTTCTCTATAGGTAGGAGAAAATAACAGAGACCAACCAGAGAATATTGAGAAGCAAAGCAGCTAGTAAGCCTGATCTTTATTAACTGTTGCAACAGGGTCCTCACTGCCACATGCAAGAGACAGGAGAGACTCCGAACCATGCGCTCAAGCCCTTATATAGCCTTTTGAATTGCCCACCCTGGAGCCCAAGACCACCCCTCCATACATACATCATAGAAGGGGTGTAGCCCAAGAACACCCCCTAGTATATCATACATACATCAGAGAAGGGGCGGACTACAACAGAAATCTGAGTGCATTGTTTTTATCCTGTCTGCCAGGTTGCCTGATTGGATTACCTGGGCATCCTGACCACTCTTTTGTTATGATAACTACTCAATTCCTGAATCCAGGTCACAGGTCACAGGCTCACCCTATTCATTTCTTAAATGTGCCCTTGAGACAGAATTTGTGAGCATAGAGATAATGGGGAGGCTCCCCATTTCCTTCAACCTTGCAGAGAAATATTTGAGGTCATTTGGGAGAGACAAAATGGTTTCAGGACCTTTTTTCTGTGGGGTTTCAGACATGTGGTTTATACATTTATATATGTGCTTGCTTGGTACATTTATGAACATTATATATATATATATATATATATATATATATATATATATATGACCTTAAAATTCTTATAATTCACATCAGCGCTGTTGGGCTTGCTGGCTGGTGCTGATGGGAGTTGGAGTCCAACAGCAGCTGGAGGGTACCAGGTTGGGGAAGGCAGCAGTGGCTAGTCAAATATTCCTTCATACCTTGAGGGCAGATCCACACCATGCATTTAAATCAAAACAAGAGTAAAATCTATTTAGGTAACATTGACAATCACTTGCTGTTCTGCTGCTTTACTTAATCTGATAATTAAAAACATAACAGTGTTTGCCAGCTGTCATTTCTCCCCCAACCAGTAGCTTTTACTGAATAAACAGTAATGTAGCATTCATGATTCCTGTGTTTCAAATTTAAGATTGCTTAGTTATGCTGCGCCCATCCCCAAATCACCAGCGGTTGTTCAACAAGTCGGGCTTGCCAGTGGTGGATGTTGTTGTGGACCCCCACATTGTAAACCATCTTCGACCGCACCAACGGGAAGGGATCTCATTTCTTTATGAATGTATGATGGGAATGAGGTGAGAGGATAATCATTTTGTACTTCTTTTTAAATTGCGTGAACAAAAGCCGAAGTACGGCCTTTCAGTCATCTGCAGCAAATCACACAGGTGGGCAAACTTTCTTCTTGCTTTCTGATTTCATCGGTCTTTTTAGAACCTTGGCATGGGGTGGGAGGCAGGCTGGTATCTCCGAAGCTTATTGAGAATTGGCCTACATGTCATGGGTATGCTGTAGTGGTAGGAAATGGCATAGCCCTGGTGGTTAATTCGGTTGAATTGCATTCGGACCAGCTGCAGCAGGAGGTTTCTATTAATGAATAATGCAACCGATTCTCTCCTAGCAAATTCCACCCTCAGAGAAGCAGGGCACTCATTCGAGATACACTTGACACGTTACATATTAACAGGGAAGTTAGTGAGAAAGCTCATTGTTGAAATTGCTATGCCATTTGCTTAACATAAATTCTGTAATTTGAAATAGGGATTTTAAACTGCAATCCTATACACACTTACCTGAGTATAAGCCTCATTGGACTTCTGAATAACAACAAAGGAGAAGACCACAATGAAAGGAGAAAGTAGGGATATTGATTCCTGTTCATTCAGTAAAACTGTTCCAATCTCGTTCCCTTATCAGAGTAAGTTGAGAAAGCTTTTGCCAAAGTTAGGAGCTTTCTAGAAATTTGATTCAGGTTGTATAAGAAAAGAGCCTCAGAAACTTAGAAGGAGGTGTATTCTAGGGAAAAATACTAGATTAAGCTAATAAACATAAACATTATTTTGTTATTCATTTTTGTAGCCTTTTCTGTATACAGTGGTACCTCGGGTTACAGACGTTTTAGGTTACAGACTCCGCTAACCCAGAAAAAGTACCTCGGGTTAAGAGCTTTGCTTCAGGATGAGAACAGAAATCACGCTGCGGCGGCGCGGCAGCGCGGCAGCAGCAGGAGGCCCCATTAGCTAAAGTGGTGCTTCAGGTTAAGAGCAGTTTCAGGTTAAGTACGGACCTCCGGAACGAATTAAGTACTTAACCTGAGGTACCACTGTATTAATGTTTTTACCCTTGTGGGTTTTGTGGGGTTTTTACCCTATCAGGTTTTGCACTAAAATGAATTATTTGATATGCACCCTGTAACAACATTGTTATATTATTGAAGGTGTGTGACTGAACCAACACATACAAATAGTAAGTAAACAAAATAAAAATCTAAGGCCAGGCCTCAATACATATTTTTGTGAAAAAGAAAAAGAAAAAAGGACTTACATTGATTAACAATATGGATTTTCCTAAGACTGGTTTGTGGAGAATTGCAAGGTTTAAAAGAAGAAGAAGAAGAAGAAAGTATCAACCATGCAATTGTCTTTTTTCAGAGTAAGCTGTAGATTTGGAGCCATTCTTGCAGACGAAATGGGTTTAGGAAAAACTCTGCAGTGCATTTCAGTCCTCTGGACTCTCCTGCGTCAGGGGCCATATGGATGCAAACCTGTAATAAAACAGGCACTGATAGTCACTCCTGGGAGTCTGGTGAAGAACTGGGGGAAAGAATTTCAAAAATGGCTGGGAAGTGAGAGAATCAAGGTGTTCTTAGTGGATCAGGTGAGATAATAGTCTGGTTTGTACATCATGTTAAACCATTCTTAAACCACTGTTAATTGAAAAATGCCAAAGAACGTTCTGCAGATAGAATCCTGGAAGGGACCCTGCGGATCATCTAGTCCAACCCCCTGCAATGCAGGAATATGCAGCTGTCCCTTATGGGGATTGAACCTGCAACCTTGGCATTATCAGCACCACGCTCTGTTTTGTCATACACTGCCTTCTTTCCACGCGACCTACTTCTTGCCCTAAGCTGCCCCTCTTCCTGACTTCCCATAAGGCTTTACAGTGCCCAGCTGCTAGCATTACCTCATCATGTCACCATTTCCCTTTCCATTGGTCAGCTCCAAGAGCGAGGGGGTGGGAATCTTAGCAGTCTTTAGCAACTTTAATCAACCTGCAGTGTTCTCCTTACATTCTCCCAATAAAGAAATGCCCATAATCCTTTGCAGCATGTGTTTTTTTAGAAATCCTTTTCTTCCACTCCTCTGGTCTACCCACTGGGTCCTTGACAATTGACCCATTACCATAAATTTGAGCTCAGTAAACTTGCCGATCAGAAGGTCGGGGGTTTGAATCCCCGCAACAGGGTGAGCTCCCGTTGCTCGGTCCCTGCTCCTGCCAACCTAGCAGTTTGAAAGCACGTCCAAGTGCAAGTAGATCAATAGGTACCGCTCCGGTGGGAAGGTAAACGGCATTTCCGTGTGCTGCTCTGGTTCGCCAGAAGCGTCTTAGTCATGCTGGCCACATGACCCGGAAGCTGTACCCTGGCTCCCTCAGCCAATAAAACAAGATGAGCGCCGCAACCCCAGAGTCGGCCATGACTGGACCTAATGGTCAGGGATCCCTTTACCTTTACCTTTAAACCTTACCTGTGTTGGAGCCATTCTCCATCTCCCCTCCCCATCTGCTCCTGGATGGTTAAAGGACTGCTTTCAATAATGCACACTTAAGTATTTTCATCTGTTTCATTTGTAATGTTCAACAGGAATAGAACCTCTTTTGAATTCCTTCCACTTACTTGGCATTCTCTCTTCTATTTCTGTGCTTTGCTATTCAGGCATAAAGTTGCTGCTGCTGTGAGCTGTACCTACTTGGATAAAGTAGGTAGAGCTCAAAGTGATATGTCAAAGAAATTCCCTTTAAGTTTTCAACTCCAGCTTGAGCTGCAGCTGTGAATTGAAGTGGGGCAGGGATGGGGGCAGGGAAAGGCAGAGTTGGATGGGGAAAAGGATCCTGTTATTAGTCAGAGTTAGCGGCAATGTGAACTTCAGGAAATTTTCTAGTGAGAGCTGCTCAATGCCAAGTTTGGCTTCTCTTGCTTAAAGTTGCAGTAACCTGGTGGGCAATTTGGGCAGGGCAACAAAACAAACACACGTAAAGCATCGTTAGGGAGGTACTTACATTCACATGTAATACTAAGCCATAGTTAAGGTCAGTAAAGCAACAACAAACCATGGTTTGTTTTCACAAACAAGGCATAGTTAAGGCATTTTGCTGGGTGAGTACATAACGCTAAGCCATGGCTTATTAACTAAGATTTCTTTAAACCATTGTTTAACATGATGTGCGAACCAGGAACAATGTTCACCTGCCACCTGTAACAATGCTAGGTACTTTCCTTGGTGTTTGGATAGACCTCAGTTCTGTTTTTACTGTTGCAGAGTCTGTTAGCTGGTTTGAGAATGTTTACACTGCGCCTTGTTAGCATTTGTATTCCTGTTATAAAAACTGGAAAAATCATTTTGAGTGTTGCTTTTGGCTGCTTCCCCATGTGGGGAAAATAAAATCGAGATGTAACTTTACAATTCTACATTGGCATGCTGTGTGGTATTGTCAATGGAGCTACCCAAAGACTTGCAACACAACTAAGTAGAAGCACCTCACCATTTGTGAATAGTGAATAATGAGGAGCTTTTTAGCAGCTTTCTTTCTTTCTTTCTTTCTTTCTTTCTTTCTTTCTTTCTTTCTTTCTTTCTTTTTCTGATCAGCACTGCCAGGAGGAGGATAGCGTTTCCTGTTATGGGCCTACCGTGATCTGTCATTCCACCTTTCTCCTCTGCTGTTAGAACAAATGTAACAATTGATAGGAAAAAGGGCAAAAAAAACCCCAGAACACCAGGGTGCCTCCCCCTCACCAGAGTCATTATTCTGCTTTGCAATTAACAGAAGGTGCAACATTTTTTGATTGGAGAGTATGCATGTGAATTAGGATGTTTATATGCATGTGAATTAGGATGTTTACATGCATAAGAAGCCCACATCATGGTCAGTGTGAGAAACAAGATGCTGGGCTTGACAAACCATTGCCCTCATCTAGCAGGGCTTCCCGCATGAAAGCAATAGCCCTCTCTTGCTCTTCTTCCCCAGTGGCTGGTGTTCAGAGGCATGGTGCCTCTCATCCTACAGGTAGTGTACAGCCATCATGACTATTGGTCACGGATAGCTTTCTCCCCTGTGAACTGGAGTAATCACTTTCGTTGTTTTTTAGTCGTGTCTGACTCTTCGTGACCCCATGGACCAGACCACGCCAGGCACTCCTGTCTTCCACGGCCTCCAGCAGTTTGGTCAAACTCATGCTGGTAGCTTTGAGAACACTGTCCAACCATCTCGTCCTCTGTCGTCCCCTTCTCCTTGTGCCCTCCATCTTTCCCAACATCAGGGTCTTTTCCAGGGAGTCTTCTCTTCTCATGAGGTGGCCAAAGTAAGTATTGGAGTCTCAGCTTCAGGACCTGTCCTTCCAGTCAGCACTCATGGCTGATTTCCTTAAGAATGGAGAGGTTTGATCTTGCAGTCCATGGGACTCTCAAGAGTCTCCTTCAGCACCATAATTCAAAAGCATCAATTCTTCGGCAATCAGCCTTCTTTATAGTCCAGCTCTCACTTCCATACATCACTACTGGGAAAACCATAGCTTTAACTATACGGACCTTTGTTGGCAAGGTGATGTCTCTGCTTTTTAAGATACTGTCACCTTTGAGAACCATCTAAACTAGCAACTATGCCCATGTCTTATGGCAGTGACATACACAGATTAACTAATCGCTATGTGAGGAAGTAAACACACAGGCATTTTTGTTTCTTTAAACTGCCAACTTGCCTGACCCACAAAGCATTATAATTCTCTCTCCGATCTGCAGGATCACAAAGTAGAAGAGTTCATCAATTCCCCGCTTTATTCAGTCCTGATCATTAGTTATGAGATGTTTCTACGCTCCTTGGACCAAATACAGAAGGCGCAGTTTGGCCTTGTCATTTGTGATGAGGGACATCGCTTGAAAAATGCTGCTATTAAGACGACGACTGCACTTGCCAGTCTGTCTTGTGAGAGGAGAATTATTCTGACTGGTGAGTACTTAATCATCCTGTTGCCAGCAAACGGACTAGCATGGGGATAAAATAAGTGTTTGTTACATTTATGAATGTAGCTGGAGAGGGAACACTTCTCAGGATACTACATGAAGAGTTATTTGTGTCCAAACAAGATGCTGAGATCAGACCCCTCTAGCTGGAAGCACTGTTTGCCATACAGTAAAAAAGATAAATTTACATTGTAATGCAGAAGATGAATAAAATGTAAGCATCTCTGGGGGGCGGGGGGCGCCCTTCTGAAGGTGTAAATGCATTCCTTTTCTCTTCCAAGGTACTCCAGTACAAAATGATCTGCAAGAATTTTATGCATTAATAGAGTATGTAAATCCGGGAATACTTGGTCCTTTGTCTACATACAAAAAAGTATATGAGGAACCTATTCTCAGATCCCGAGAGCCTTCAGCAACGAAGGTACATTATCATCAAAATCTGGAATTGAACAGCGTGGTTTAAAATTAAGGGGCACCCGGTGCTTCTTGACAATTTATGAGGAATGAACAGTTCTTTTGGATGAGATTGTACAGAAAGGCATTACTTAACTTTACCCTTGCAGTGTTACATGCGTTCATACTTCTAAAACCTGAGTAGGATTTTCAGAATTTATTGTACAACACAAACGGCTCCGTTTGGTCTTAGCTCCCTATAGTGACTTCCATTGCTGAATACTATTGAAAACTGGCGAAATGCTCATAACTTTTGCTGAGTGGGGTCTGCACATCAGTATGCAGAGGCACAACATATTTGGCACAATGAGTTGGAAGGGGCCATAACCTAGAAGCAGAGCCCATGTTTTGCATGCAGAAGGTCTCTAGTTCAAAAGGGGTTGGAAAAGATCCTTGCCTGAAATCCTAGAGATCCAGTCCCCATAAACGATACAGTAGTAGCTGGACTAATGGTCTGATCTGTTACAAAGGAACTTCGTACCTTTGTACTCATAATATGCTCATATTTTGAGGATCCCTACTGTTATTGGATGAGTCACCCAGTATCAGGGGTGGGTGGCAAGTTTGGTGTTCATTGCAACAGTTGTCCTCAGGCACAGTACTTCACTCTTCCCTATAGGAGTGAAATGACAACTGTTGACTCATGCAGGAGAAAGTTAAGGGGTGCATGTTAACAGTGGATAAGTCTGCTTCTTCCTCATGGAAACCCTATTGCCTTAACTCTGCTCCAGATTGCATTTCTTAGCTAAGCTAGAGTGGTATGTGAACTTGAGAACTGGATTTATCATTCCCTCTATTTCTGAAACACTGTCACCACCCACCCACAGTAGGGGGATGTATCAGAACTGCACATGCTCTGTACTGACTCTTTGTGGAGGGGGGGATGGAATGGAGTATCCTGGAGGGGGACGGGGCTGCCTGACTCAAAGAGGAACACTCCTCAATACAACATTGCAGGTCTCTATATCTATAGATCATTACTATTCAGCTGAGCTTGCTTGTATGAGCCAGTTTGACTGTCCATTTCGTTTACTTAGGAAGAAATTGAACTGGGAGAGAGAAGAGCAGCAGAACTGACTCGCCTCACTGGACTCTTCATTCTGAGAAGAACCCAAGATGTCATAAACAAATTCCTCCCTCCTAAATTGGAGAGCATACTTTTCTGCCGCCCAACAGCACTGCAGCTCGATCTCTATCGAAGTCTGATGAGCTCTCCGTTTGTTAGATCTTGCCTTCAAGGTAGTCTGGAAAACAGCTCCCATTTAATATGCATTGGAGCTCTGAAAAAGCTTTGCAACCACCCCTGCCTTCTCTTCAAAGCAATAAAGGTTTGTATATTGTGCTTTGTTTAAACACATTGTTTACAAAGCATCTCACATTATCGGTGCCATGAAAAAACACAATGGACAGCATTTCAGTCAACATAAGGACCAGCAAGTATCAAAAACCACATAAGCATATCAATAAATTCACAAATTACAGTAATTCAAAATGAGTTTATCACAAAAATACAATGAAACTATTCCCAATTATATTAATTCACCTAAAAAACCTGATTCAGCAGCATGATAATCTTGTTAAGAAAGGTGCTGCTTCTGTACTTTCTAACAAACCATCTGGGAGTAGGAGCAAACCTTGAAAGTTGTGAATAACTATGGTGCTTGCAGAGTCAACAGGTCTGAGTGGGCAATGAGAGGAAGAAACAAATTACATGCATACATTGTGTGGCAGGCACATCTCATATTTCGGGCAGTTCACCTCCCAGCTTTTATCTGAGCTTCCCTTGTAGCCCCACCCCCATCTCTCACCTGGGGTTCAGATCATTACTCCCTCTAACACAGCCCTAATGCCCTTTGATGTTTACCCTTTGGGAGTGACCTGCCCATGGCAGCTTTGGGAAAGATGCTTCCCTCCCAGATACTGCTGCAGATATATGCCCCCCCCCCTCGGTTTCTACTTTCTCACCTGAGCACATGGAACAGCTCTTGAGGGTTGTTAGTATCAGCAGCGGCAGCTGCAGTTGAAGGCATTGGAGGCAAGGATCAAATTCTTTTCCAGCCCTTCAGATGTTCTGGCTGCTGTTACAGGACAAATGAATTTTCTTTGTCTCCCTTTCCCTTTGCCTCGAGGCTGCCCTGTTTGTTACTTACTACAGCAGTGCCTGCTGCTGCTGCTACCGGCAGATCAGCAAAAATCCTTTGAGAAATTATGTACTTCAGAAAGTAGCCGCACCTTTTGATTTCTTCAAAAACCTCAAGCCTGGAAAGTGTGAAAATGAAATGCTAACCTTTATCAGTTCCATTTCTTACAGTCTTTATTCTCTTAGCTGGCTTCTGCACTCATTATTAATTGGGCTTTTCTTATCCCGTCTCCCCAACTCCCTCTCAAACTAGTTAATAAAAGATGTCAAGAGATGCCAGCGTATTTTATCTTGTCCTTTTACAAAGCAATGCCTATTGCTTCTGTTGTATTATATTGCCAGTAGCAGCCATGATTCCTTCAGGGCAATCTTTTAAAAATGTATGATCTCCTTGAGGTTCCTGCATTCCAGGGGGTTGGACTAGATGACCCTCGAGGTCCCTTCCAAATCCCTACAAATCTATGATGCTACCTTTATGGAATCTTTTCCATGCTGATTTTCCAGGCAGCTCTCTTGTTCCATCATGATGCTGCGTGTGTGCAAAAAAGCCACGGTACATAGCGTGATACCCAATTTATTAGTACTGGAATAATTGTAGTCCTGTATATAGTTTCATGGGAGTAAGCTCCATGGAGCTAAGTGGTGCTGATTGCATAGTTTAGACTTGTAAACCTTACTGAGCTTTAACAAGAGTTTTTTCAAGCCATGCAACTTTTTGCCTTTAATTAGAAACACACACAATCCTACAAAGAAGTGTTGTCATTTAAACTGCTGGCATGGAGTGGGAGCTCTGTCAAAGGAAAAATAAGAATACTTGCAGTATTATCTACGTATTCAACATTTTGGGATATTCTGTCCTCAATGCTTTATAACACCCACTTTGGCTACAGCATCCTTTTATTCACTTCAGAGCAGCTGAAGAAGGAAGAAGCAGAAATGTTTTGCTGTAAGGCTTTAATAACTTTTGTTTGTCACTGAAGAAAAAAAAAAACCAGCTTTAGTGATTAACTGCACCCTTCCAGGATCCAGAGTAAACTTGTCTGAAGTGTGGTGCTTGATGCTTTAAAAATAATATGTCATGTTAACAATAAAAGCCACCCAACTTTTAATGAACTGTTCTTTTTCTAGGACAAAGGATGTGATCCCAGTTGTGATGTACAAGAGAAACAGAACCTCCATGAGGCTTTGCTTGATATTGTTTCTCAAGAACATACCCCAACCTCTTTCTCTGAGACTGACTCGGGGAAGTTGAACGTGCTGACGCAGTTGCTGGCAGCAATTCGGGAACTGAGCCCTGCAGAAAGGTAGGAAATTGGTTTGGTCAGCTTCTCTCTCTCTCTTTTTTTAGTGTAGTTGAATCTTTTGATTTAATCTGATTTCTCTCAGATGACATACACCTAGAACAGATGATCCTAACAATCGATGTTATAATAATAATAATTTATTATTTCTACCCTGCCCATCTGGCTGGGTTTCCCCAGCCACTCTGGGCGGCTTCCAACAAAGACCAAAAATACACTAAAATGTCACACATTAAAAACTTCCCTGAATAGGGCTGCCTTCAGATGTCTTCTGAATGTCAGGTAGTTGTTTATCTCTCTGACATCTGATGGGAGGGCGTTCCACAGGGCGGATGCCACTACCGAGAAGGCCCTCTGCCTGGTTCCCTGTAACTTTGCTTCTCACAGTGAGGGAACTGCCAGAAGGCCCTCGGCACTGGATCTCAGTGTCCGAGCAGAACGATGGGCGTGGAGACGCTCCTTCAGGTATACTGGGTCAAGGCCATTTAGGGCTTTAAAGGTCGACACCAACACTTTGAATTGTGCTCAGAAACTTACTGGGAGCCAATGTAGGTCTTTCAAGACCAGTGTTATGTGGTCTCAGTGGCCGCCCCCAGTCACCAGTCTAGCTGCCGCATTCTGAATTAGTTGTAGTTTCTGGGTCACCTTCAAAGGTAGCCCCACGTAGAGAGCATTGCAGTAGTCCAAGTGGGAGATAACTAGAGCATGCACCACTCTGGTGAGACAGTCCACGGGCAGGTAGGGTCTCAGCCTGCGTACCAGGTGGAGCCCATTTTGCATGGGCAGGAGTAAAAACAAGGCAAACCCCCTCCCTCCTGAACCACAACAATGCACTTCTTAGAACCATGCAGGTGGCATCTGGCTAAAACACTCTTGCTCAACCTCTGCCCCATGACTATTTGTCACCTTGTGCTCTTTGAAGGAAGAAGGCTAGGTCTCTATAATGTTGTTCATCTGATAACCTGGCATTCACTGAGTTTTAGCAAAGTTGTAGCCTGGGAAGCAGGCTAGAATCATAGAATCATAGAATCATAGAGTTGGAAGAGACCACAAGGGCCATCGAGTCCAACCCCCTGCCAAGCAGGAAACACCATCAGAGCACTCCTGACATATGGTTGTCAAGCCTCTGCTTAAAGACCTCCAAAGAAGGAGACTCCACCACACTCCTTGGCAGCAAATTCCACCGTCGAACAGCTCTTACTGTCAGGAAGTTCTTCCTAATGTTTAGGTGGAATCTTCTTTCTTGTAGTTTGGATCCATTGCTCCGTGTCCGCTTCTCTGGAGCAGCAGAAAACAACCTTTCTCCCTCCTCTATGTGACATCCTTTTATATATTTGAACATGGCTATCATATCACCCCTTAACCTCCTCTTCTCCAGGCTAAACATGCCCAGCTCTCTTAGCCGTTCCTCATAAGGCATCGTTTCCAGGCCTTTGACCATTTTGGTTGCCCTCCTCTGGACACGTTCCAGTTTGTCAATGTCCTTCTTGAAGGACATTGAGACTAGTATTGAGACAGACGATTGGTCCAATCTAGCTCAATATTGTCTACAGCCCTCAGCTGCTATGATGACCCCCCCCCCAAAATAACCTCTTCCACATAGCATATGGGACCTTTTAAAAAAACTAGTTACCGCAGGGGAGTGTTACCCTCCCCTTCCCAGCTGCCTGCCTCTAATTCACCCTGCCGCAACCCGGGCAGGAATTAAGAAAATATCTCTCATTTGTCATTTGGGTGAATGGAAACTTTCTTGGGGGGGGGGGCAGTGCTGAGGAGGGGATGCTGCAGGCCAGATCCAAAAGTGCTGCAGACCGCATGTGGCTTGTGGCCTGGCACTTACCTGGACCTGTTCTGTGCTAAAAGGAGCCTTTCTCGACTCTATACCTAGAGGTTCCAAGGATTTGAACCCTGGACCTTTTTGCATGCAAATTATGTACCCTGCCCTTGGTACACACGCTAAAGATATATACGTTTTGGAGATTTAAATGCAATGAACATGAAGGAACTGTATTAGCCAGTAACAGATCTACTGTATTCTGGATTGACAGAGTCGTGGTGGTATCCAATTACACACAGACCCTGAACATATTGCAAGAGGTGTGCAAACGCCATGGATATTCCTATGCAAGGCTTGACGGCAACACTCCCGTCTCCCAGAGACAGCAGATCGTCGATGGTTTTAATAGTAAATTCTGCCCATCTTTTATCTTCCTGCTGAGTTCAAAGGCTGGTGGCGTGGGTCTGAACCTTGTTGGGGCCTCCCATTTAATCTTATATGATATCGATTGGAATCCAGCCACGGATATTCAGGTTTGTTGTGAATGTCTGAAAAGCCTTTTACACCAGGCATCATTAGCAGCATCTGTTTAATGGCACACATTTTTGTTCAAAGAAACATTCAGATTTTTGTATGCAGGTCTATGTCCTGGGGTTGCTGAGCATACTTACCAAAGACGGATGCAGGTGGAATTAATATATTTTCCATTGCAGAAGTTTAACTTACTTTCTCACAGGAAATTTCAAACAGGATGCTCCAAGCCCAATTCAAATAGGCAAACTTCTCCCTTCCGAGGGTTATATGGTAGTTACTTTGAGAATAGCTACAGTGTCTTCGTCTAGCGGTTTTTTCGTCTTGCGAAGCAACCCTATTAGCGGCTTAGCGGATTAGCGCTATTAGCGGTTTAGCGGCTATTAAAGGCTTAGTGGCTTAGCTGCTAAAAGGCTATTAGCCGCTTAGCGGCTTAGAAAAAGGGGGGAAAGCGAAAAAAAATCTCAAGACTCGCAAGACATTTTCGTCTTGCGAAGCAAGCCCATAGGGAAATTCGTCCTGCGAAGCAACTCAGAAACGGAAAACCCTTTCGTCTAGCGGGTTTTCCGTCTTGCGAGGCATTCGTCTTGCGGGGCACCACTGTAGTTGCATAGGGGTCTCATTATTTTGAGCTCAGCTGCAAGAAACGAAAATGCCATAACTGATTTATGCAGGATGGTTAAAATATCTGAAGTGCTGAATAATTCCCCTTGCATTCATTGTCTGAACCACGCTTTGAAGTAAGCCATTGCCATTATATTATTATTATTATTATTATTATTATTATTATTAATATTATTATTATATTCAACTTATACACTGCCCTATTCCTGGAGGTCTCAGGGCAGTACACAATAAGACCACAACATATAAAATCAAACCAAAAGCAGTAACCCAATAAACCCCCCCCAAAAGCACTAGTTCCTCATTTAGCTCACTGATCTTGAAACCGAGGAAGGTTAAAAAGAAAATTTGTGATCTGACATGGAGGCTTGTTGCTCAAAGAAGTTAAAAAAAAAAGTCGCTGGGCTGGCCAAAGGCCTTGCACACCTAAAGTTGTTCTTTGGATCTTAACCATTGTTTTGCACATTATGCACAGACATACACAGGGTAAAAAAATTGTAGAGATGGCTGCTGTTTTTAATACCAAATTACTTTTAAAATTAGATGTGTATGGAGGAAACAGGCTTTCATCCAGTGGAGTCGTACATTACCTTAATTTGTTGGGAAAGGGTTAGGGATGATAGAGATGCTGTAATCATAATAAAGGGGGGAGGAGCCTGTGTAGTTTTGACAATTCAGTTTGGTTGGTCATGGCCACTGGATGCTTTGCTCTTGAAATTGATGATACACATTCTGTTGGTTTTAATGGAGTCATCTTAAGGCTATAGTTAATATGAGTTGTTCTGTGACTGGTGCTGCCACAGCCTCAGGGAGGCCTGATTTGGAGTGGCACTGCAGAGCTGGGGAATGGGGTTTTAACCCTTTACCATTGTGCTGAGTCTCTGATAGATAATCCCTCATGCCAGAAGCTTCTATTAGCTGTGGAAGGCCTGTGTGTGTTTTCCTCTCCGTAGCTAATAGCAGCTATAGGGAGGGGTGCTGATTTTTGTTACGCAATTGGCAGGTGGAGGTTCAGGCTTGCACTCCCCTCCTGCCATGCCTCAGTCCAAATACTGCATCACCCACAGCTGTTTATAAGACAGGGAAGAGATGTTGGCAGCCCCAGTTACGGTTCTCCTTCACATGTAGTTTTGGCCAGTGGGATCCACTTTTTATTAAACATATATAGGTTTATGTTGCACTTGGTTTTCCTTATAAATTCCAGGACCTGATAGTTTGGGTCCGAAAAAGAACTGACAACCAAATGTTAGAGAAGCGGGTAAATTTAAATAAGGTGAGATGCGCTTGCCAGCCACAATAATACAGAATAGTGTGCTCAGTCATATTTCCCTTCTCCTTCCCTTTTAGGCAATGGCCAGAGTTTGGAGAGATGGGCAGAGACATACAGTGCATATTTACAGACTGCTTACTACAGGTCCGCCGCATGATATTTGCAAACTCTTGTTTGAGTCTGGTTCGCAGGAAACACCTCTAGATGTATCCACTCTTAAGAATTATACAGCATTTTCTGTTGGCTTTTATTTCAGGCCCTCACTTCCAGAAATAAAACCAGTGTCTCTGGTTTTTTCAATGCAGGCACAATAGAAGAGAAAATCTATCAGAGACAGATCAGTAAGCAAGGGCTCTCTGGGGCAGTTGTCGACTTTTCCAAGGGATCCGAACACATCCGTTTTTCTGTTGAAGAACTTAGAGATCTGTTCACCCTGCATGAAGAGTCTAGCTGCCTTACCCACGATTTGCTGGAGTGTAAATGTACAGAAAAGGAAGGTGACCTAGGTGAGTTTTGTTTTGCTTTCGTTCCTCCTCTCCATTGGCCACTGGCTCCTCTCCAACTCGGTATACAATTTGGTTCCCAGCATTCCTTTAATGTCTTTATAAATTGCAAAAATAGGGATTGGTAGCTTTCAGTGGTAATTGCTTTTATGTGAATAACAAATTGCCTCTTTGTGGAACCTCTAAATCAGGGATGGAGAACCTGCTGTTGCCCTCCTGATGACTAACATCCAGCATGGCCAATGGCCAAGAGTTAGAGGTGATGGGAGCTGTAACAGAATAGATTATTATGACTCTACAAAGTTTTAGAAGGAGTCTGATGCTGTTTCAAGCTTCTCTTGGTATCTCAGGATCTTAGCTATGGGATCTCTCTTTGATCAGACCTGGATGGAAGGTGATTTCCTGGTTCACGTCACGCCTCAGAGTATGGGTGAGATCAGTGTGACGCCTCCTGCGCTCCACCGGATCGCGCCATGCTGTTCTACTTTACCATATACCAACAACTATTGCTGCGATATGCGAAATTTCGTAGCCCCAACGTCACGGCGATTATGATCAAATGATCCGATTAACGATTAAAAGTTTGATGAAAAGAAATTTCTTCTCATTGTGAGTTGACTCTCGAAATTTCTGTCACAATTATCTCTTTGAAAAGTTCTGATTCTGAAGCCAATACTATTAATCTATATCAATGAATCTTCTATTCTGGATCAGTGGACGGCGTATTATGGACCTTTACCCCACCGGAAAGCGCGAAGGTTTCTTTTTGGACTGTATACTAACTTTATTCCACACCAAATTGACATGCGAAAGTTCGGTTCAAGCTCTGTTACCTCTTTCAATACCTCTACACTGACAACGTGAGTTAAAGTGAGATGTTCCACGATCTACTATGTTCTGAAACACTGCTGATCTTCATTAAGAAACTATGATTGGCATTCAAATCATTTCTTTCCATTAATACAACTCTTTGGTACCCTCAAAACCTTCTCCCAGTTTACTGCTTAGCATAAATTTGTTTAAAACCTCTCACATTGATTAATGGGCCTTCTTTAGTTCTTTATGTGTCTGTAATCACTGGAAGAAATAAACTCTTATTTTCTTATTATTTGTCATAGCCTTACACTCAACAGATCATTTCTTTATTACCATGATATTTATGTGTTTGACAACTAACTCATTGGGACAACAGAAGATTCTCTCATTCTTTGGTTTTATGGAAAAATTAAAAATGTGTGTCTGACTTTGAAGTACTCTTGTTTACATTCCTTTATTTATTTTCTTGTTAAGATTGTTTTGTAGTATCTTTCTTGGAATTCTTGTGAAGTTTTCTTTATGTCATACGTAGAGAGACCTTCTTATTATCATGACTATTATTTCCGTGGCAGTACCTTCATTTGTTGCTCACAGTTTCCATGTCTTCTGCAGTAAAAGAAAGCAGCTTATATATAAGTGCACACAGCTACACAACTGTTTTCTTACATATTATACATTGTCCACACCTGTAGGCTGCCTGGCATTCCCAAAGAGGGTGAGTAGGAAGTACACTACTCTGTTTTCTTTCTTACTATTCAACATCTCTTTATATCTGTCCACCCATTATATAGTCTTCCCTAGCATTGCTTATTTATTACACAAATATACCCAAAAATATCATGAAAACTCTTACTACCAGGTTCTGTCATTGTGTGAGACTATAGTGTGAAGTTTTTCTTCATACTAAATATGACTATTAATGTTCAGTGATTCTATACTATTTAATTCTCAGTATTACATTTCATGCCTCTGATGTTAACTCTCTATTCTTACTAGATATTACTATCAACATTTATATCTGGCAGTGTCCTCTAACTCTTTTTACCAGATATTTTCGTGGCAAATATTTCAAGCTACAGCTTAGGCTTTACCACCTTACATTTATTTCACCTATTATTCACCTTCTCTGATTCATGTCTTTGGCATATATTCTCTATCCCCAACTTTACTAAATCTCTCTAATGAACTGGATGTTGTCTGTCTAATTAAAGCATTCTATATTCATTTTCTAATTACTTTATGCATCTTCTACATGAAGTTTAGTGATTGTATCTATTAAATATGTCTTTCTAACACATAGCTCATATCTTATAAAAATTATAAACTAATATTTATTTATTCTAAATTCTCAAACATTTATTATTCTTTATTTTAGATTGATCATTCTATACCTTTCTTTAATAATTATGTTATATATTCTTTGTATAACATTACCTATCTAGAAACTAACTCTTCTACTGTGTTAAATATTTCATTTAATAAGTATATTAACAACAAAAATAAAGCAGTTGATAGGTGTTTCTTTATTCAACTTACCAATATTGTTGAAGGATTGATTTATTTATTTTAACAGCTTATTATATTAGTCTGCCCCACCTATTAAGCCTTAGTCAGGTCTTTGGAAAATCACACTGATGATCTATTTAACTAAAATTATCAGTTCAGTTAACTAACTTTGTTAAGCATTTCTAACCAGTTACAGTGATATTTCTTCACCACCTCTCTGTTCCTTCATGTTCATAATTATGAAGTGTTCCATTACAGTCTCTGCCTAGTTTGTCTTATTTATAGGCATGAAGCATTCTTGCCAGATGGATACTACTGTTAAATAGTTGTACCTGGATGATTATTCACTTCTTACATCTACAAGAGTTTCTGGTTATATTTTCCTATCTTTAATTTTTATTAAAGTCATTTTGTTCTTTCACCTTCAGCCTTGTGTGCATGAAAGATCTCTACATTCTCTGTTGACTCTGAGGCCCCAGCGCTGAGCCTTTTAGTTTATATCAAATTAAAATTCTACTCTTTTCCTTCTTCTACTGAGAATTCTTTCTATGATTTATTCCTGAACTTCCCCAGTATATTCTTCCCCAGTGTGTATACAAATCACTTCCTGTTTCATAATAATCCCTCAAATTTTAAAACACATTAATATGACTCTTACTTCCATAAATGTTTGAATTAATCCTTTATTCAGTGATGATATTCTCTCTCTGAAACTATTAGCAGCTCCTTTTTACTGAGTTACACAAGCTGAATCTAAGGCCATGTGAACTGCTTGGCCCCACTGTTCTGGTCTGTCCAGCTTTCAGTTCTCTTTACAGCAATCATTCAAATTATTAATAAAAGACATTTTAAATGCCCAAAATGATTAATCAGTTCAGACTTCAGCTCTTCTATTTTTATTCTTTGTTTCTCTCAGTTATAATCTCAGTGATAACATCTTTGTGTCTTTATGCCCAAATGCCAATAATCTCAGCGCTCTTGACTGGTTTACCTCTCTAACAACTAATTTCTCTGCTAATAAATGTTATGAGCATTCTCTTTATATCAAAAATGATGCTCAATGAGCATGCTATCGTTGACTGTTTATTATTAACTTTAAAAGCGTTATTTAATTTTTAATTTTTAAAATTTGGTTCATATTTTTTTATTTAAAAGCGTAAAATTTATTCTGTTTAAGTGGATCATCTCTTTATTTGTTTTCACATTAAATTAATATTCTGGATGTTCTTATTAATTATGTGGTTATTATTCAATTAGTTAATCATTCTCTTGTTTGTTTTCTATTCCTTCTACCATTATATTTCTTTTTAAAAATTAACTTACTATTGATGTAGCTATTTGTTTGTTTCTGGCTGATTATAGTCTCTAGTTCTAGAAGGCTTTTCAAAGCTAACTTTCTTCTTTATTTTTTAGTATGTTGTTGCCTCCTCTCTGACTAATCAGTGTTTCTTAGTTGATTTCTGAGTGTAGAGGACCTCCCAGTGACTCAAGGGAACTGTTCTCAAATACAATTGAAATTAAATTATGGCGTCTTAGGCTGATTGTGTCTAATTTAACATACAGGTCTGATCTTCTATACTATATTTTCTACATTATACAGAAGTGGTTTTGTGTTACTTTAACAAATTATATTTTGTGCTCAGTCTTCTTTTTCAGTTTGAGGAAAAGTTGCTTTTATCTTTAACTGAATATCTGATTCTCTTGATTTTAATTCTTTACATTCTAGTCTTAATAATGGTTTCTGATAACTAATAAAAATCATTAGTCCACAGATCCTTCAACTGAAGAAGAAAGAGAAGAACCTGGATCTATCATTTATGATCTTGTATACCTCTGTGCTCACTCTTTCACACAGAGCACTTCCCCTGCTAAGAGAAAAATGATCTTCTGTTTATCATTTTTCTTGCTATTCCAATGGTCTTCTATTCTTTAACATCAGATCCTTTATTACATATTATGATGAAATTTATTTTACCAGTTCTCTATCATTTATTGGCTGGTGTTTCTGGCTTCACATGTATTCTACTTCTTGAATATCTGTCTGTTGTGAGAGAGAAAGAAGATATATATAATCAACTATTTAACTGTATTTAATATCCTGAACTATTTGTTGCCTTTAATAATATTTACATCATGTTATCTCTTTCTTTCTTAAAGTATATCTGATTGCTTTAGGGAAAAACTGGAAGTTATTTTCTCAGTCTTCTCTGAGATGATATTCTTCAACACTCCATGATATCAGATGGAAACTATATGTCTTCTTGCTTTGAAGAAGCGATAGTGAGTGATATTATTTTTAATTTCTTATATATTTATTATTGATTTTAGTGATCATACTGATCCATTTCTTGTACTCTGTATTCACTATTGTAGTATTTTACTAGGCATTACTATTTAAGCTGAACTTATTGTGAAAGAAGTTTTAATTTAAATTCTGAGCATTCCCTAAAACGTATTGCTAAGCAAGCCCTTCTAGGTCTGATTTTTTTTGTTTCTACCTATCTATAATATTACTATGCTTTTTAACCTTTTAGTCTAACTTTTGCTTTAATAACACTTCATGTATATAATATGTTATTAATGTCTGTGAAACTTATAATAAAAACACTAACAGAAACTCTATAAGATGGATCTTCTTTAGCTAACTATATGTTCTCTTACCTTATCAAAGCGATTATTTGACACTTCATTTAACTAAATTAATGTTGTTTTACTAGTATGTGAGCAGTCTCTAACTTTATTGTGAAATTCAACAAGGGATCAATAACTTACATTACAGACTATCTTCTGAACTATCAATAATACTCTATTTATGTACTAAACAGCATTTAGATCTATTTCTTATTAGTGATTAATTAGAGCTGACATTCTCCATTAGTCTCTATTAAGTCTAATATGGTAACTATAATATACCAATACTCCCCCTTCTCTATTTAATTTATTCTGATTTATATTGTTATCTTATTTTTAAACATTTATATTATGATTTATTACTATTTATTTAACTTTCACTTTATAATAGTTGTATTCTTTTAGAGAAAGATTACAGTATTAACATATTCCCATTACTTTATTGTGCTGATTACATTATATATTCACTACAACAATACTATGTGTTATGTTGAAAACCATGGGAAATTTATTCTTAACTTTAAGCTGAGTTGAAAGAAATTCATTTAAATTATTCTCAGATACGTCTGCAGGTGATCCCTAGCAAACTCTTCTGATTGATT